AGAAAATGCCAGTTTCACGTTTGCTCCACTCTCCCTGTGACAAAGAAAAGAAAATGCTGGATGTTTGGTTTGGTGGAGAGGGAGGGGAGGGGGGAGGGGTTTCCAGTTGGTGCTACGGCTAAGCTAACAACATCACTTACTGCACCTTTAAGTTCAGTTTGTACACAATTCTAAGTGTTGTCCACATTCTTTTCTCAACAAGAGAGAATCTTTGCAAAAATGATGTAGCTGTGGAGGAGTTTCAAAACATATTTAAATTCAGACACTTTCATTGGTTAAAGTATAGGAAAAAAGATTAGCAATAAAGGTTATACTCTATCATGCACAATGACAGTTATGACTTTTTAGTTTACCTTGGAATGCGCTGGAAAACAGCAGCAAGTGTCTCTGAAACAGTTGTTGTTTTGTGTTTTATAATTGAAATTTTTCTTGCTTTTTTCTGCCTGAGGTGTTGCTGAAGTACAGTGTTCATGGTTTTACACTGGTCCAGACCAGAGCAGAGAGGATTCATGGTTTTACACTGGTCCAGACCAGAGCAGAGAGGATTCATGGTTTTACACTGGTCCAGACCAGAGCAGAGAGGATTCATGGTTTTACACTGGTCCAGACCAGAGCCGAGAGGATTCATGGTTTTACACTGGTCCATACCAGAGCAGAGAGGATTCATGGTTTTACACTGGTCCATACCAGAGCAGAGAGGATTCATGGTTTTACACTGGTCCATACCAGAGCAGAGAGGATTCATGGTTTTACACTGGTCCAGACCAGAGCAGAGAGGATTCATGGTTTTACACTGGTCCATACCAGAGCAGAGAGGATTCATGGTCCGAATCAAGTGGATCAGGTGAAAATTCACTGTAGGAATGCTAACTTTTGGAAAAATGCTAATTAAGCATTTAGCATTTCATGGTCCGTACGATTATTACTATGGTATGTATTTATAGTTTATGTGGAAGTGTTATTATAAATTTGCAAAAGGGTTATTGTAAATTTCTCCATTGTGAGATCATATCGTTAATCTAATATGATTACAGTTTGAGATAAGACGGAAACTTTGAATGTCCAGCCCAACCCTTTCGGTTTGTAAAACTGTCATATTTTAGTTTGGAAGCAAGTTTGTCATTTTTCTTTTCTTGATTTTCCCTTTGACAATAAAAAAATCTTTTGAACGACCAAAGTAAGCGACTGCAAGCTAAAGTCATAATCATCTCATAATTTTCTTTTTTTTTAGAGCATTGCCCATTTGGAAAAAAACTTAAATAAAAGAACTATGCTCACATGAGGCATAAATATAGCACGTTAATTGAAACAGCCTTTGAAAATATCTAAATATCTGCTGAATGCTTATTGTGACGATTTAACAGAGCCTTCTGGAGCGAAACACTTACAGATCTGGGTAAAGAACAAGCAGGAAGAAAAGTCAAAACTCAAGCTCTGCAATTGTGATGTCTTCTCTCGCGTCACATCCACCCAAATTACAGGCCCCCGACAAGTCACCTTCCTTGTCCCAGAAATAATCCCGAGGCTCACGCTGTGTCTTTACCGTCACTTGATGCTGGTGACACCGCCGTGCAGGAGCTAAATCAGAAATGAAGTACAAAAGCCCGCGGCAGTATTTGACTTAACATCCCTAGAGTTTACTTCCTGCCCACTTCCTGCCTGTCCATCACTCGACAGCTCCTATTGGACGCTGTGCCGGCCCCGGACACAATAAAGGTTACGCTTCCTGACTTTTACACAACATATTTTTCACCTTAAGGCATACATTTGTAGTGAAAAGAAATCAATACGGACTTGTCGTTTTGTGGCATTTAGGTGAGACGCATAGACATTTATACAACATGTATTATTGATCATGCTATGTTCATTCGGGAGGCCGCTGCTGCATGAGGTCAGTGTTCATGTTTTATTATTTAAGGCGACGATGCAGTGGCGTTTTACCGTATACATATATATATTAGGTAAGTAATGGTTGGGCTACAAAGTGCTTCGACAAAGTGCTCCATCTGCACCGCTGTATCACACAGGTGTAGCAGCGCGGCCTGAAATAGAACCGCAACGCACATGGCAAAGCTCACAATCTCTCATCTCCCACGACACTTTGAAAGCAGCGTGAGCCAAAGAGACACAATCGTTCATTCTCGGAGCAGTCGCATTTTGAAAAAACGCATTTAAAGTTTCATTTGTGGTTTATTTGAGGCGACAGATGGTTGGGCAGGTGTTGTTATGTGACTTGTGACTGAGAAACTTGAAGAAATTAATTTGATTATTGCCAAGATACTGTTGAATGTCAAGTGTCAAGTTGTATATTTACTGAAAACAAGAATGCATAGAGATTAGTGTACGTCTGTGTAAAGCTTAGAAGACAAAGCCAATACGGAGGAAAGAAAATTAGTAACTTTTTGAAAACGCATGAGAAATATTACCTCATGTGAAAAGTGTGTAGTGTGGGGTAGTTTTGGGATTTGTATGAGGGGTTTAACCGATTTTAATGATATTTCTCTATTATTTGTAGTATATTTTGCGTGGACACATGCTCAAAAACAAGAGGTTTTACGTCAAAAACTGGAAATGTGTTGTCGTGAGACGCTGCATCAAGATGTTTATAAAAAGATGTATGTGCTTCTCCACAGTAAGGCTGCCGACCAGAAGGTGGATCAATAAATAAAAACTTGCATTAAAAAAATAATAAATGGATGAACAAATAACTAAAAACCTCAAGGACTTGTATGTGTTCTGTCTGTTTGTTTTGTCTTTTGTCTTACCTGTTTACTATTCATCTATCGCATCTGAAAGCTTGGGTATTTTGTTTTACCATTGCCTGGTAAGTGGTTTTTTTTTATTGTGTTATGTTATGTTAGATATTGCAGTGTTCCCCGACCTTTTTGAGCCATGGCACCTTTCGCATTGTAAACTTTCACATGGCACACCTCCAGTTGAAACTCATACAAAACTTAAACTGTGAAGCCTTCATTAAAACACAAAGTCATTCTTATCAAAGTGTATCATGCAGAAAATCAAACACACACACAAAAGCCTTTCTAATCTTCTACATTCTACATTATTTTGATCAAGTATATGGAATTAGAGGCACACCAAACACTATCTTATGGCACACCAACGTTCCATGGCACACTAGTTGAAAAACACTGATATATTGTATGTTTTGTATGTACATATTATGAGTGTCTGGTGACTGTGTTGTCTGAAAAAAAATAAGATGTGTCTTTATTTGGATCAAAATCATATTCTCACATTTTCAGTTCCAAACAGTTTCTTGATTCAACTAAACCAAACAAAAAATCATCAGTGGTAGTAAACCATCTGTTACGATAATAGATACAGTAGAAGAGATAATTGTGTTAAAGCAGCCAAAGAATGTTGGCAGTAATGAACTCTCCTAATGTCACCTGACTAACACACATTTGAGTTTTTGTGTGAAAGCCTTCATGGATAAGATGCTAGATACTGAGGGTCTGTCCTGTCCTGTATAAAGTCCTGTGGAGAAAGGACTGTATAGAGAAAGACCCACAGTGCCCCCTGTGTCTAAATTATGAAACTGCATCTAAATGTCACATGTACAGAAGGAAAAGAAGTTGAAATACCTTTCTGTCTGCCTTGCATTTCTCTGACACTACGAGCGGCTGTAAATGAAGCTGTCAGTAGCAGAGGTTTAATAGCAGACAGCAGCCCCAAAAGACATGCAAACGGAGAGAAGGCGGAGAATAAGAAGTACAAATGCATCAGGGACCAGTTTCATCACCACAATGATAAAGACATCAGTCAGTTCTCCGGTGGCAGCCTCGGTTACACTTAAGTCTCTGAACATAGCACCACAGCCTGGGGACATGAGCACCTGATGGGAATATTAGATGAAGCCCTCAGTTCATTTGTGTTCTTGTATTTTAAGAATCTCCTGTAGTTAAGATGTAAGTGTGACACATGTGGAATGTTCCATGCCTTTTCCATGCACACACACACACACACACACTGGCTTAGACACAAAACAAACATAAGCGGAATTTATTTTGAAAATCATCAATATCTAGAAAGATAAATATTTTGTGTGTGGGAAATATCAACAGCAGAAATTATTCAACGCTTTCAATAATGTATCCACCATTTTCTCACATTAACTGCTTGCCTTGCTCAGTGTGATCTTCTGGGAGAGAGGAGCAGAGCACAGTGGCAGGTCTTTCTAATAGATTTCCACATTGGGGCCTCAGGAGGACTCGGGACGCACACACTGACACACACACACAGTCATTATTGCTCTGCTGCCATTCTCCCGGTATTTGGTAACCTCTGCGCCACCTGCACCTTTCTCACGACTGACGAGAAAGTGGCCGAGCAAGGCACAGAACAAAGAATTGTGCGGATAATATGGCAGAGCTGAGAGGTACCAAGGGGAAAGAGATCTCAGGAGAGGCAGGAATGACTCCATTGGTTTCCAGATGAAATACTCCAGCGGGGGCAGCAGAGAAATCCACTTTGCAGCGTTCAGTTGGGAAGCAGTAATGGACCGTGGACAGGATGATATGGCCCGGTAAGGAATGATGCTACACCCAAAGCAGGCGGGATAAAGTGACTGACTGGGAGCCAACAAGGACAATCATTCCCATTATGCCATACATTATAAAGTGAACGTTGACATCCATGCATTTTCTTCCGCTTTATCCATTGCCAAGTCGTAAGGGGAGCAGTTAAACCCCCTCAGTGTGTCCTGGGTCTTCACCGGATATGCCCCGAACACCTGGTTGTGAGTGAGGCGGTTAGTGCAGGTGATCGGAGTGAGGCGGTTAGTGCGGGTGATCGGAGTGAGGCGGTTAGTGCGGGTGATCGGAGTGAGGTGATTAGTGCGGGTGATCGGAGTGAGGTGGTTAGTGCGGGTGATGGGAGTGAGGCGGTTAGTGCGGGTGATGGGAGTGAGGAGGTTAGTGCGGGTGATCGGAGTGAGGTGATTAGTGTGAGTGATCGGAGTGAGGTGGTTAGTGCGGGTGATGGGGGTGAGGCGGTTAGTGCGGGTGATCGGAGTGAGGCGGTTAGTGCAGGTGATCGGAGTGAGGTGGTTAGTGCGGGTGATGAGAGTGAGGTGGTTAGTGCGGGTGATCGGAGTGAGGAGGTTAGTGCGGGTAATCGGAGTGAGGCGGTTAGTGCGGGTGATGGGAGTGAGGCGGTTAGTGCGGGTGATCGTAGTGAGGCGGTTAGTGCGGGTGATGGGAGTGAGGCGGTTAGTGCAAGTGATCGGAGTGAAGTGGTTAGTGCGGGTGATCGGAGTGAGGCGGTTAGTGCAGGTGATCGGAGTGAGGCGGTTAGTGCGGGTGATCGGAGTGAAGTGGTTAGTGCGGGTGATCGAAGTGAAGTGGTTAGTGCGGGTGATCGGAGTGAGGCGGTTAGTGCAGGTGATCGGAGTGAGGCGGTTAGTGCGGGTGATCGGAGTGAGGTGGTTAGTGCGGGTGATGGGAGTGAGGAGGTTAGTGCAGGTGATCGGAGTGAGGCGGTTAGTGCAGGTGATCGGAGTGAGGCGGTTAGTGCGGGTGATCAGAGTGAGGAGGTTAGTGCAGGTGATCGGAGTGAGGTGGTTAGTGCGGGTGATCGGAGTGAGGCGGTTAGTGCGGGTGATCGGAGTGAGGCGGTTAGTGCGGGTGATCAGAGTGAGGAGGTTAGTGCAGGTGATCGGAGTGAGGCGGTTAGTGCGGGTGATCAGAGTGAGGAGGTTAGTGCAGGTGATCGGAGTGAGGTGGTTAGCGCGGATGATCGGAGTGAGGCGGTTAGTGCGGGTGATCGGAGTGAGGCGGTTAGTGCGGGTGATGAGAGTGAGGTGGTTAGTGCGGGTGATCGGAGTGAGGAGGTTAGTGCGGGTGATGGGGGTGAGGCGGTTAGTGCGGGTGATCGGAGTGAGGCGGTTAGTGCGGGTGATCGGAGTGAGGCGGTTAGTGCGGGTGATCGGAGTGAGGCGGTTAGTGCGGGTGATCGGAGTGAGGCGGTTAGTGCAGGTGATCGGAGTGAGGCGGTTAGTGCGGGTGATCGGAGTGAGGAGGTTAGTTCGGGTGATGGGGGTGAGGCGGTTAGTGCGGGTGATGGGGGTGAGGCGGTTAGTGCGGGTGATCGGAGTGAGGCGGTTAGTGCGGGTGATCGGAGTGAGGCGGTTAGTGCGGGTGATGGGAGTGAGGCGGTTAGTGCGGGTGATGGGAGTGAGGAGGTTAGTGCGGGTGATGGGAGTGAGGAGGTTAGTGCGGGTGATCGGAGTGAGGAGGTTAGTGCGGGTGATCGGAGTGAGGTGGTTAGTGCGGGTGATCGGAGTGAGGCGGTTAGTGCGGGTGAGGAGGTTAGTGCGGGTGATCAGAGTGAGGTGGTTAGTGCGGGTGATCGGAGTGAGGAGGTTAGTGCGGGTGATCGGAGTGAGGTGGTTAGTGCGGGTGATCGGAGTGAGGCGGTTAGTGCGGGTGATCAGAGTGAGGAGGTTAGTGCAGGTGATCGGAGTGAGGTGGTTAGTGCGGGTGATCGGAGTGAGGCGGTTAGTGCGGGTGATCGGAGTGAGGCGGTTAGTGCGGGTGATCAGAGTGAGGAGGTTAGTGCAGGTGATCGGAGTGAGGTGGTTAGTGCGGGTGATCGGAGTGAGGAGGTTAGTGCAGGTGATCGGAGTGAGGCGGTTAGTGCGGGTGATCGGAGTGAGGCGGTTAGTGCGGGTGATCGGAGTGAGGCGGTTAGTGCGGGTGATCAGAGTGAGGAGGTTAGTGCAGGTGATCGGAGTGAGGTGGTTAGCGCGGATGATCGGAGTGAGGCGGTTAGTGCGGGTGATCGGAGTGAGGCGGTTAGTGCGGGTGATCGGAGTGAGGCGGTTAGTGCGGGTGATTGGAGTGAGGCGGTTAGTGCGGGTGATGGGAGTGAGGCGGTTAGTGCGGGTGATGGGAGTGAGGAGGTTAGTGCGGGTGATGGGAGTGAGGAGGTTAGTGCGGGTGATCGGAGTGAGGAGGTTAGTGCGGGTGATCGGAGTGAGGTGGTTAGTGCGGGTGATCGGAGTGAGGCGGTTAGTGCGGGTGAGGAGGTTAGTGCGGGTGATCAGAGTGAGGTGGTTAGTGCGGGTGATCGGAGTGAGGAGGTTAGTGCGGGTGATCGGAGTGAGGTGGTTAGTGCGGGTGATCGGAGTGAGGCGGTTAGTGCGGGTGATCGGAGTGAGGAGGTTAGTGCGGGTGATCGGAGTGAGGTGGTTAGTGCGGGTGATCGGAGTGAGGCGGTTAGTGCGGGTGATCAGAGTCAGGAGGTTAGTGCAGGTGATAGGAGTGAGGTGGTTAGTGCGGGTGATCGGAGTGAGGCGGTTAGTGCGGGTGATCGGAGTGAGGCGGTTAGTGCGGGTGATCGGAGTGAGGCGGTTAGTGCAGGTGATCGGAGTGAGGTGGATAGTGCGGGTGATCGGAGTGAGGAGGTTAGTTCGGGTGATGGGGGTGAGGTGGTTAGTGCGGGTGATGGGGGTGAGGCGGTTAGTGCGGGTGATCGGAGTGAGGCGGTTAGTGCGGGTGATCGGAGTGAGGCGGTTAGTGCGGGTGATCGGAGTGAGGCGGTTAGTGCGGGTGATCGGAGTGAGGCGGTTAGTGCAGGTGATCGGAGTGAGGCGGTTAGTGCGGGTGATCGAAGTGAGGATGTTAGTTCGGGTGATGGGGGTGAGGCGGTTAGTGCGGGTGATGGGGGTGAGGCGGTTAGTGCGGGTGATCGGAGTGAGGCGGTTAGTGCGGGTGATCGGAGTGAGGCGGTTAGTGCGGGTGATGGGAGTGAGGCGGTTAGTGCGGGTGATGGGAGTGAGGAGGTTAGTGCGGGTGATGGGAGTGAGGAGGTTAGTGCGGGTGATCGGAGTGAGGAGGTTAGTGCGGGTGATCGGAGTGAGGTGGTTAGTGCGGGTGATCGGAGTGAGGCGGTTAGTGCGGGTGATCAGAGTGAGGAGGTTAGTGCGGGTGATCAGAGTGAGGTGGTTAGTGCGGGTGATACGGAGTGAGGAGGTTAGTGCGGGTGATCGGAGTGAGGTGGTTAGTGCGGGTGATTGGAGTGAGGCGGTTAGTGCGGGTGATCGGAGTGAGAAGGTTAGTGCGGGGTGATCGGAGTGAGGTGGTTAGTGCGGGTGATCGGAGTGAGGCGGTTAGTGCGGGTGATCGGAGTGAGGCGGTTAGTGCGGGTGATCGGAGTGAGGCGGTTAGTGCGGGTGATCGGAGTGAGGCGGTTAGTGCAGGTGATCGGAGTGAGGTGGATAGTGCGGGTGATCGGAGTGAGGTGGATAGTGCGGGTGATGGGAGTGAGGAGGTTAGTGCGGGTGATCGGAGTTAGGTGGTTAGTGCGGGTGATCGGAGTGAGGTGGTTAGTGCGGGTGATCAGAGTGAGGAGGTTAGTGCAGGTGATCGGAGTGAGGTGGTTAGTGCGGGTGATCGGAGTGAGGCGGTTAGTGCGGGTGATCGGAGTGAGGCGGTTAGTGCGGGTGATCGGAGTGAGGCGGTTAGTGCGGGTGATCGGAGTGAGGCGGTTAGTGCGGGTGATCAGAGTGAGGAGGTTAGTGCAGGTGATCGGAGTGAGGTGGTTAGTGCGGGTGATCGGAGTGAGGAGGTTAGTGCAGGTGATCGGAGTGAGGCGGTTAGTGCGGGTGATCGGAGTGAGGCGGTTAGTGCGGGTGATCGGAGTGAGGCGGTTAGTGCGGGTGATCAGAGTGAGGAGGTTAGTGCAGGTGATCGGAGTGAGGTGGTTAGCGCGGATGATCGGAGTGAGGCGGTTAGTGCGGGTGATCGGAGTGAGGCGGTTAGTGCGGGTGATCGGAGTGAGGCGGTTAGTGCGGGTGATCGGAGTGAGGCGGTTAGTGCGGGTGATGGGAGTGAGGCGGTTAGTGCGGGTGATGGGAGTGAGGAGGTTAGTGCGGGTGATGGGAGTGAGGAGGTTAGTGCGGGTGATCGGAGTGAGGAGGTTAGTGCGGGTGATCGGAGTGAGGTGGTTAGTGCGGGTGATCGGAGTGAGGCGGTTAGTGCGGGTGAGGAGGTTAGTGCGGGTGATCAGAGTGAGGTGGTTAGTGCGGGTGATCGGAGTGAGGAGGTTAGTGCGGGTGATCGGAGTGAGGTGGTTAGTGCGGGTGATCGGAGTGAGGCGGTTAGTGCGGGTGATCGGAGTGAGGAGGTTAGTGCGGGTGATCGGAGTGAGGTGGTTAGTGCGGGTGATCGGAGTGAGGCGGTTAGTGCGGGTGATCAGAGTCAGGAGGTTAGTGCAGGTGATAGGAGTGAGGTGGTTAGTGCGGGTGATCGGAGTGAGGCGGTTAGTGCGGGTGATCGGAGTGAGGCGGTTAGTGCGGGTGATCGGAGTGAGGCGGTTAGTGCAGGTGATCGGAGTGAGGTGGATAGTGCGGGTGATCGGAGTGAGGAGGTTAGTTCGGGTGATGGGGGTGAGGTGGTTAGTGCGGGTGATGGGGGTGAGGCGGTTAGTGCGGGTGATCGGAGTGAGGCGGTTAGTGCGGGTGATCGGAGTGAGGCGGTTAGTGCGGGTGATCGGAGTGAGGCGGTTAGTGCAGGTGATCGGAGTGAGGCGGTTAGTGCGGGTGATCGAAGTGAGGATGTTAGTTCGGGTGATGGGGGTGAGGCGGTTAGTGCGGGTGATGGGGGTGAGGCGGTTAGTGCGGGTGATCGGAGTGAGGCGGTTAGTGCGGGTGATCGGAGTGAGGCGGTTAGTGCGGGTGATGGGAGTGAGGCGGTTAGTGCGGGTGATGGGAGTGAGGAGGTTAGTGCGGGTGATGGGAGTGAGGAGGTTAGTGCGGGTGATCGGAGTGAGGAGGTTAGTGCGGGTGATCGGAGTGAGGTGGTTAGTGCGGGTGATCGGAGTGAGGCGGTTAGTGCGGGTGATCAGAGTGAGGAGGTTAGTGCGGGTGATCAGAGTGAGGTGGTTAGTGCGGGTGATCGGAGTGAGGAGGTTAGTGCGGGTGATCGGAGTGAGGTGGTTAGTGCGGGTGATCGGAGTGAGGTGGTTAGTGCGGGTGATCGGAGTGAGGAGGTTAGTGCGGGTGATCGGAGTGAGGTGGTTAGTGCGGGTGATCGGAGTGAGGCGGTTAGTGCGGGTGATCAGAGTGAGGAGGTTAGTGCGGGTGATCAGAGTGAGGTGGTTAGTGCGGGTGATCGGAGTGAGGAGGTTAGTGCGGGTGATCGGAGTGAGGTGGTTAGTGCGGGTGATTGGAGTGAGGCGGTTAGTGCGGGTGATCGGAGTGAGGAGGTTAGTGCGGGTGATCGGAGTGAGGTGGTTAGTGCGGGTGATCGGAGTGAGGCGGTTAGTGCGGGTGATCGGAGTGAGGCGGTTAGTGCGGGTGATCGGAGTGAGGCGGTTAGTGCGGGTGATCGGAGTGAGGCGGTTAGTGCAGGTGATCGGAGTGAGGTGGATAGTGCGGGTGATCGGAGTGAGGTGGATAGTGCGGGTGATGGGAGTGAGGAGGTTAGTGCGGGTGATCGGAGTTAGGTGGTTAGTGCGGGTGATCGGAGTGAGGTGGTTAGTGCGGGTGATCGGAGTGAGGTGGTTAGTGCGGGTGATCGGAGTGAGGCGGTTAGTGCGGGTGATCAGAGTGAAGTGGTTAGTGCGGGTGATGGGAGTGAGGCGGTTAGTGCGCGTGATCGGAGTGAGGCGGTTAGTGCGGGTGATCGGAGTGAGGTGGTTAGTGCGGGTGATGGGAGTGAGGTGGTTAGTGCGGGTGATCGGAGTGAGGCGGTTAGTGCGGGTGATGGGAGTGAGGCGGTTAGTGCGGGTGATGGGAGTGAGGCGGTTAGTGCGGGTGATGGGGGTGAGGTGGTTAGTGCAGGTGATTGGAGTGAGGTGGTTAGTGCGGGTGATGGGAGTGAGGCGGTTAGTGCGGGTGATCGGAGTGAGGAGGTTAGTGCGGGTGATCGGAGTGAGGCGGTTAGTGCAGGTGATCGGAGTGAGGCGGTTAGTGCGGGTGATGGGAGTGAGGAGGTTAGTGCGGGTGATGGGGGTGAGGCGGTTAGTGCGGGTGATGGGAGTGAGGAGGTTAGTGCGGGTGATGGGGGTGAGGCGTTTAGTGCGGGTGATCGGAGTGAGGCGGTTAGTGCGGGTGATCGGAGTGAGGCGGTTAGTGCGGGTGATGGGAGTGAGGCGGTTAGTGCGGGTGATGGGAGTGAGGAGGTTAGTGCAGGTGATCAGAGTGAGGCGGTTAGTGCAGGTGATTGGAGTGAGGCGGTTAGTGCGGGTGATCAGAGTGAGGAGGTTAGTGCAGGTGATCGGAGTGAGGTGGTTAGTGCGGATGATCGGAGTGAGGAGGTTAGTGCAGGTGATCGGAGTGAGGCGGTTAGTGCAGGTGATCGGAGTGAGGAGGTTAGTGCGAGTGATGGGGGTGAGGCGGTTAGTGCGGGTGATCGGAGTGAGGCGGTTAGTGCGGGTGATCGGAGTGAGGCGGTTAGTGCGGGTGATGGGAGTGAGGCGGTTAGTGCGGGTGATGGGAGTGAGGAGGTTAGTACGGGTGATGGGGGTGAGGCGGTTAGTGCGGGTGATCGGAGTGAGGCGGTTAGTGCGGGTGATGGGAGTGAGGCGGTTAGTGCGGGTGATGGGAGTGAGGCGGTTAGTGCGGGTGATGGGAGTGAGGAGGTTAGTGCAGGTGATCGGAGTGAGGCGGTTAGTGCAGGTGATCGGAGTGAGGCGGTTAGTGCGGGTGATCAGAGTGAGGAGGTTAGTGCAGGTGATCGGAGTGAGGTGGTTAGTGCGGATGATCGGAGTGAGGAGATTAGTGCAGGTGATCGGAGCTAGGCGGTTAGTGCGGGTGATGGGAGTGAGGCGGTTAGTGCGGGTGATGGGAGTGAGGAGGTTAGTGCAGGTGATGGGAGTGAGGCGGTTAGTGCGGGTGATCGGAGTGAGGCGGTTGGTGCAAGTGATCGGAGTGAGGCGGTTAGTGCAAGTGATTGGAGTGAGGCAGTTAGTGCGGGTGATCGGAGTGAGGCGGTTAGTGCGGGTGATCAGAGTGAGGAGGTTAGTGCAGGTGATCGGAGTGAGGTGGTTAGTGCGGGTGATCGGAGTGAGGAGGTTAATGCGGGTGATCGGAGTGAAGTGGTTAGTGCGGGTGATCGGAGTGAGGCGGTTAGTGCGGGTGATCAGAGTGAGGAGGTTAGTGCAGGTGATCGGAGTCAGGTGGTTAGTGCGGATGATCGGAGTGAGGCGGTTAGTGCGGGTGATCGGAGTGAGGCGGTTAGTGCGGGTGATCGGAGTGAGGTGGTTAGTGCAGGTGATCGGAGTGAGGTGGATAGTGCGGGTGATGGGAGTGAGGCGGTTAGTGCGGGTGATGGGAGTGAGGAGGTTAGTGCGGGTGATGGGAGTGAGGAGGTTAGTGCGGGTGATCGGAGTGAGGTGGTTAGTGCGGGTGATCGGAGTGAGGTGGTTAGTGCGGGTGATCGGAGTGAGGCGGTTAGTGCGGGTGATCAGAGTGAGGAGGTTAGTGCGGGTGATCAGAGTGAGGTGGTTAGTGCGGGTGATCGGAGTGAGGAGGTTAGTGCGGGTGATCGGAGTGAGGTGGTTAGTGCGGGTGATCGGAGTGAGGCGGTTAGTGCGGGTGATCGGAGTGAGGAGGTTAGTGCGGGTGATCGGAGTGAGGTGGTTAGTGCGGGTGATCGGAGTGAGGCGGTTAGTGCGGGTGATCGGAGTGAGGCGGTTAGTGCGGGTGATCGGAGTGAGGCGGTTAGTGCGGGTGATCGGAGTGAGGTGGTTAGTGCGGGTGATGGGAGTGAGGTGGTTAGTGCGGGTGATCGGAGTGAGGCGGTTAGTGCGGGTGATCAGAGTGAGGAGGTTAGTGCAGGTGATCGGAGTGAGGTGGTTAGTGCGGATGATCGGAGTGAGGAGATTAGTGCAGGTGATCGGAGTGAGGCGGTTAGTGCGGGTGATGGGAGTGAGGCGGTTAGTGCGGGTGATGGGAGTGAGGAGGTTAGTGCAGGTGATCGGAGTGAGGCGGTTAGTGCAGGTGATCGGAGTGAGGCGGTTAGTGCGGGTGATGGGAGTGAGGCGGTTAGTGCGGGTGATCGGAGTGAGGCGGTTGGTGCAAGTGATCGGAGTGAGGCGGTTAGTGCAAGTGATTGGAGTGAGGCGGTTAGTGCGGGTGATCGGAGTGAGGCGGTTAGTGCGGGTGATCAGAGTGAGGAGGTTAGTGCAGGTGATCGGAGTGAGGTGGTTAGTGCGGGTGATCGGAGTGAGGAGGTTAATGCGGGTGATCGGAGTGAGGCGGTTAGTGCGGGTGATGGGAGTGAGGCGGTTAGTGCGGGTGATGGGAGTGAGGAGGTTAGTGCAGGTGATCGGAGTGAGGCGGTTAGTGCAGGTGATCGGAGTGAGGCGGTTAGTGCGGGTGATGGGAGTGAGGCGGTTAGTGCGGGTGATCGGAGTGAGGCGGTTGGTGCAAGTGATCGGAGTGAGGCGGTTAGTGCAAGTGATTGGAGTGAGGCGGTTAGTGCGGGTGATCGGAGTGAGGCGGTTAGTGCGGGTGATCAGAGTGAGGAGGTTAGTGCAGGTGATCGGAGTGAGGTGGTTAGTGCGGGTGATCGGAGTGAGGAGGTTAATGCGGGTGATCGGAGTGAAGTGGTTAGTGCGGGTGATCGGAGTGAGGCGGTTAGTGCGGGTGATCAGAGTGAGGAGGTTAGTGCAGGTGATCGGAGTCAGGTGGTTAGTGCGGATGATCGGAGTGAGGCGGTTAGTGCGGGTGATCGGAGTGAGGCGGTTAGTGCGGGTGATCGGAGTGAGGTGGTTAGTGCAGGTGATCGGAGTGAGGTGGATAGTGCGGGTGATCGGAGTGAGGTGGTTAGTGCGGGTGATCAGAGTGAGGAGGTTAGTGCAGGTGATCGGAGTGAGGCGGTTAGTGCGGGTGATGGGAGTGAGGAGGTTAGTGCGGGTGATGGGAGTGAGGAGGTTAGTGCGGGTGATCGGAGTGAGGTGGTTAGTGCGGGTGATCGGAGTGAGGAGGTTAGTGCGGGTGATCGGAGTGAGGTGGTTAGTGCGGGTGATCAGAGTGAGGAGGTTAGTGCAGGTGATCGGAGTGAGGTGGTTAGTGCGGGTGATCGGAGTGAGGCGGTTAGTGCGGGTGATCAGAGTGAGGAGGTTAGTGCAGGTGATCGGAGTGAGGTGGTTAGTGCGGGTGATCGGAGTGAGGAGGTTAGTGCGGGTGATCGGAGTGAGGTGGTTAGTGCGGGTGATCGGAGTGAGGCGGTTAGTGCGGGTGATCAGAGTGAGGAGGTTAGTGCAGGTGATCGGAGTGAGGCGGTTAGTGCGGGTGATCGGAGTGAGGCGGTTAGTGCGGGTGATCGGAGTGATTTGGTTAGTGCGGGTGATGGGAGTGAGGTGGTTAGTGCGGGTGATGGGAGTGAGGAGGTTAGTGCTGGTGATCGGAGTGAGGTGGTTAGTGCGGGTGATCGGAGTGAGGTGGTTAGTGCGGGTGATGGGAGTGAGGTGGTTAGTGCGGGTGATGGGAGTGAGGTTGTTAGTGCGGGTGATCGGAGTGAGGTGGTTAGTGCGGGTGATGGGAGTGAGGCGGTTAGTGCGGGTGATCGGAGTGAGGTGGTTAGTGCAGGTGATCGGAGTGAGGTGGTTAGTGCGGGTGATGGGAGTGAGGCGGTTAGTGCGGGTGATCGGAGTGAGGTGGTTAGTGCAGGTGATCGGAGTGAGGTGGTTAGTGCGGGTGATGGGAGTGAGGCGGTTAGTGCGGGTGATCGGAGTGAGGTGGTTAGTGCAGGTGATCGGAGTGAGGTGGTTAGTGCGGGTGATGGGAGTGAGGTGGTTAGTGCAGGTGATCGGAGTGAGGTGGTTAGTGCGGGTGATGGGAGTGAGGTGGTTAGTGCGGGTGATCGGAGTGAGGTGGTTAGTGAGGGTGATCGGAGTGAGGTGGTTAGTGCGGGTGATGGGGGTGAGGCGGTTAGTGCGGGTGATCGGAGTGAGGCGGTTAGTGCGGATGATCGGAGTGAGGCGGTTAGTGCGGGTGATCGGAGTGAGGTGGTTAGTGCGGGTGATCGGAGTGAGGTGGTTAGTGCAGGTGATGGGAGTGAGGTGGTTAGTGCGGGTGATCGGAGTGAGGTGGTTAGTGCGGGTGATGGGGGTGAGGCGGTTAGTGCGGGTGATCGGAGTGAGGCGGTTAGTGCGGGTGATCGGAGTGAAGCGGTTAGTGCGGGGATCGGAGTGAGGTGGTTAGTGCGGGTGATCGGAGTGAGGTGGTTAGTGCAGGTGATGAGAGTGAGGTGGTTAGTGCGGGTGATGAGAGTGATTTGGTTAGTGCGGGTGATGGGAGTGAGGTGGTTAGTGCGGGTGATGGGAGTGAGGAGGTTAGTGCGGGTGATCGGAGTGAGGTGGTTAGTGCGGGTGATGGGAGTGAGGTGGTTAGTGCGGGTGATGGGAGTGAGGTTGTTAGTGCGGGTGATCGGAGTGAGGTGGTTAGTGCGGGTGATGGGAGTGAGGCGGTTAGTGCGGGTGATCGGAGTGAGGTGGTTAGTGCAGGTGATCGGAGTGAGGTGGTTAGTGCGGGTGATGGGAGTGAGGCGGTTAGTGCGGGTGATCGGAGTGAGGAGGTTAGTGCGGGTGATCGGAGTGAGGTGGTTAGTGAGGGTGATCGGAGTGAGGTGGTTAGTGCGGGTGATGGGGGTGAGGCGGTTAGTGCGGGTGATCGGAGTGGGAGGCGGTTAGTGCGGATGATCGGAGTGAGGCGGTTAGTGCGGGTGATCGGAGTGAGGTGGTTAGTGCGGGTGATCGGAGTGAGGTGGTTAGTGCAGGTGATTGGAGTGAGGTGGTTAGTGCGGGTGATCGGAGTGAGGTGGTTAGTGCGGGTGATGGGGGTGAGGCGGTTAGTGCGGGTGATCGGAGTGAGGCGGTTAGTGCGGGTGATCGGAGTGAAGCGGTTAGTGCGGGTGATCGGAGTGAGGTGGTTAGTGCGGGTGATCGGACTGAGGTGGTTAGTGCAGGTGATGAGAGTGAGGTGGTTAGTGCGGGTGATGAGAGTGAGGTGGTTAGTGCGCGTGCTGAGAGTGAGGCGGTTAGTGCGGGTGATGGGAGTGAGGCGGTTAGTGCGGGTGATGGGAGTGAGGCGGTTAGTGCGGGTGATGGGAGTGAGGTGGTTAGTGCAGGTGATGAGAGTGAGGTGGTTAGTGCGGGTGATGAGAGTGAGGTGGTTAGTGCGGGTGATGAGAGTGAGGTGGTTAGTGCGGGTGATCGGAGTGAGGTGGTTAGTGCGGGTGATGGGAGTGAGGCGGTTAGTGCGGGTGATGGGAGTGAGGCGGTTAGTGCGGGTGATCGGAGTGAGGTGGTTAGTGCAGGTGATGGGAGTGAGGCGGTTAGTGCGGGTGATCGGAGTGAGGTGGTTAGTGCGGGTGATCGGAGTGAGGAGGTTAGTGCGGGTGATGAGAGTGAGGTGGTTAGTGCGGGTGATCGGAGTGAGGTGGTTAATGCGGGTGATCGGAGTGAGGTTATTGATTATTCTTAGAGCTCGAATTAAAAGTCAAGACTCATAAAGAACCTCCAGAACAGGAAGATCACAGTCCTCTCTCAGAGCGGAGCACCTCTCTCTGGTCTCTCTCATGGTCTTTCTGGTCTCTCTTTGGTCTCTCTCCTCTCTCTCGTCTCTCTCTGGTCTCCCTCTGGTCTCTCTCTGGTCTTTCTGGTCTCTCTCTAGTCTTTCTCTGGTCTTTCTGGTCTCGTTCTGGTTTCTCTGGTCTCTCCCTGGCCTCTCTCTGGTCTCTCTCTCTGGTTTCCCTCTGGTCTCTCTCTGGTCTCTCTCTGATCTCTCTCTGGTCTCTCTCTGCTCTCTCTGGTCTCTCTGGTCTCACAGCTCACAGTCCTCTTTCAGGACTTGTTTAGAACTCTCCTTTCTTTGACTGTGATGTCGCCAAACCACACAGTCAGACAATTATTTCTGTATTTATTTTTGTCTGTCTTTGAGCCTCTGCAGACTGATTTGAGTCTGACTTAGAATGCTCTGACCCTGATAAACCTGGTAAACGACGGCTGTTCCCCTCGACTGTGGGGTCCTACAAAAGTTAAGCAAAGTAAGTGAATTCAAAAGTTAATGTGTTGGGCCACGGCCATTATTTACGGCCAATTAGGCAGCAGCTCTGTACACGAACGACCAGAGGAGGAACGAAAACCTCTGCACTATTCCCTGCATATCGTTAGGACACGGACAGACCTAATGCATCGTAATCAGGTTTTGGCTTCATTTGTGTTTTTGTTTAGTTTTTTGTTGTGGAAAAAGCCATGATTTACTCATTATGACCAAACCAGCAGGAAATGTGCAAAAACACATCAGTTACATTTAGATTTGTGATTCACTGATGAATTATACATGACAGCCTTTTCTGTTGGTGTGAATGATGTATTTGGATATCAGCGTAATTCCCGAGCACAAAAACATCTGAAATGTGTGAAAATCTTGATTATAAATTAGTTTTGTTCAAAGCTTTTGTTGTCATGTTTTTTCTAGGAACACAACGTGCCAATAATGTTAGGATATGAATATGATGTTCCCTATTTTTCTTTTCTGAGTCACTGCACTGCAAAGGCACTTCATCCCAGGATTATCACAAATACCAGCCATGACAAATGTTACAAAGGAAAAAGCGGCTCTACTTTCTGCGGAAACTTTGAGAATTTACCTCTAACTCTAAGATCCTGCTTAACTTAAGGGACCAGAGAGAGACCAGAGAGAGACCAGAGAGAGTCCAGAGAGAAACCAGAGGGAGACCAGAGAGAGAGACCAGAGAGAGAGAACAGAGATAGACCAGAGAGAGAACAGAGAGAGAGAGTAAAGAGAGACCAAATAGAGACCAGAGAGAGATCAGAGAGACCAGAGAGAGACATGAGAGAGACCGGAGAGAGACCAGAGAGAGACCAGAGAGAGACCAGACAGAGACCAGAGAGAGACCGGAGAGAGACCCGAGAGAGACTTGAGAGACGAGACCAGAGAGACGAGACCAGAGAGACCAGAGAGAGACTTGAGAGACCAGACCAGAGAGAGACCAGAGAGAGATCAGAGAGAGACCATAGAAAGACGAGATCAGAGAGAGAGAGACCAGAGAGTGACCAGAGAGAGACCAGAGAGAGACCAGAGAGAGACCAGAGAGAGACCAGAGAGAGACCAGCGAGAGACCAGAGAGAGACCAGAGAGAGACCAGAGAGTGACCTGAGAGAGACCAGAGAGAGACCAGAGAGTGACCAGAGAGTGACCAGAGAGAGACCAGAGAGAGACCAGAGAGAGACCAGAGAGAGACCAGAGAGAGACCAGCGAGAGACCAGAGAGAGACCGCTCTGAAAGAAGACTGTGATCTGTCTGTTCTGGAGGTTCTTTATGAATCCAGACTTTTAAACCGAGCTCTTAGAATAATCAGTGACTCTTCTGGCTCCTGGAAACGCCATGTTCCAGCTTCTTCCCTCTGACAGAAGATATCATTTGCTTAAATACAGGACTCAGGTTTTGCAAACAGCTTCTTTCCACAAACTATTATCAGTTTAAACACAGCACTTTAAATGACCTTGCACTTGTTCTGAAAGTGTTTTAGTTTGATCGATTTCACACACAATTGTTTTCATGTTTCGTTTGTTTTATTCAGACTTTGGCACATGTATTCCAATGTGGTTTTACTGCAAATGGCAAATCACATGAATCTGAATCCGTTTAGACTAATATGGGATGTAAAACCGAACACGGTAATTGCCAGCTCCCTGTGCAGGACCCGTGAGAGAGCATTAGGCACATTTTCAAGATGGCGTCTGACCGTCAGATGCTGGAGAGGCTCAGAAACCCGGCTGGGGACTGTCCAACACGGCTCTCACAACAGCTGGCATCTGTCTGACACACGTCTCACATCTCTGCTTGGAAGTCAGCGCAAAAGCAAAACACGCTCTGAATGTTTTTGGCCAAGCTGCTCAATTATAGAAGCTTGTAAGAGTTTTGATTTGACACCAGTCTCTATATGTTGTTTTTGTGTTGAGTTTGAGTTTGTAGCACTTTGAGGTTTCTTTCAAATCTAAGGTACAGTATAAATGCTATTTCTGTAATGCAATGTCAGAATGTCCACTGAACAATGTCACTTTACTTTATATACTTATTATTATTATATGTACAGTATATAACTCCTGTCCTATATGTACAGTATATAACTCCTGTCCTATATGTACAGTATATAACTCCTGCTCTATATGTACAGTATATAACTCCTGTCCTATATGTACAGTATATAACTCCTGCTCTATATGTACAGTATATAACTCCTGTCCTATATGTACAGTATATAACTCCTGTCCTATATGTACAGTATATAACTCCTGTCCTATATGTACAGTATATAACTCCTGCTCTATATGTACAGTATATAACTCCTGTCCTATATGTACAGTATATAACTCCTGTCCTATATGTACAGTATATAACTCCTGTCCTATATGTACAGTATATAACTCCTGTCTATATGTACAGTATATAACTCCTGCTCTATATGTACAGTATATAACTCCTGCTCTATATGTACAGTATATAACTCCTGTCCTATATGTACAGTATATGACTCCTGCTCTATATGTACAGTATATAACTCCTGTCCTATATGTACAGAATATAACTCCTGTCCTATATGTACAGTATATAACTCCTGTCCTATATGTACAGTATATAACTCCTGTTCTATATGTACAGTATATAACTCCTGCTCTATATGTACAGTATATAACTCCTGTCCTATATGTACAGTATATAACTCCTGTCCTATATGTACAGTATATAACTCCTGCTCTATATGTACAGTATATAACTCCTGTCCTATATGTACAGTATATAACTCCTGCTCTATATGTACAGTATATAACTCCTGCTCTATATGTACAGTATATAACTCCTGCTCTACATGTACAGTATATAACTCCTGTCCTATATGTACAGTATATAACTCCTGTCCTATATGTACAGTATATAACTCCTGCTCTCTATGTACAGTATATAACTCCTGCTCTATATGTACAGTATATAACTCCTGTCCTATATGTACAGTATATAACTCCTGTCCTATATGTACAGTATATAACTCCTGCTCTATATGTACAGTATATAACTCCTGTCCTATATGTACAGTATATAACTCCTGCTCTATATGTACAGTATATAACTCCTGTCCTATATGTACAGTATATAACTCCTGTCCTATATGTACAGTATATAACTCCTGTCTATATGTACAGTATATAACTCCTGTCCTATATGTACAGTATATAACTCCTGTCTATATGTACAGTATATAACTCCTGTCCTATATGTACAGTATATAACTCCTGTCCTATATGTACAGTATATAACTCCTGTCCTATATGTACAGTATATAACTCCTGCTCTATATGTACAGTATATAACTCCTGTCCTATATGTACAGTATAAAACTCCTGTCCTATATGTACAGTATATAACTCCTGTCCTATATGTACAGTATATAACTCCTGTCCTATATGTACAGTATATAACTCCTGTCTATATGTACAGTAAATAACTCCTGCTCTTTATGTACAGTATATAACTCCTGCTCTATATGTACAGTATATAACTCCTGTCCTATATGTACAGTATATAACTCCTGTCCTATATGTACAGAATATAACTCCTGTCCTATATGTACAGTATATAACCCCTGCCCTATATGTACAGTATATAACTCCTGCTCTATATGTACAGTATATAACTCCGCACTACTACACATATATATATATTTTTGTCTGGTATTGAGGTACTTACAGGAGTTAAGAAACATAGCTCCTACTTATTTTGTATATTTTGTGTTCTCCCTGTGTGCTCTTACTACTGTCCTGTCTCTGCGCTGCAACATTGAAATTCCCCCACTGTGGGACGACTAAAGCAACTCTTATCTTATCTTACTTGTCAAAGGGAGATATTGGCAGAATCTCTCACGATTCAGTTTATTTTTGTGTAGCCCTAAATCACAAAAGCTGTCATTTTGGAGGATTTTACAAAGTAGTCCATTCACCGACGACAGATCAGAAAATGAACACAGGAAATGACAATAATAACAAACAAATAGAAGACAAAATGAGAATCCTTTTTAATGACATTTGTGAGTAACAGGAAGTCACAAATTATAAGATATGTCTGTCTTTAGTATCCACTTTCAAGCTGTGCCTTAAACTGTGGAGGAAATGATGTCTGTGAGCACTTTGACACATTTTTCCATGTAAAATGTGTTAATGTTTTTCCTCAGATGGAAATGAGTGCTGTAATTACTGCTGTGATGTTTACAGTCTATGGTATTCACACTGTATCTACAGATGTTCACGATTTACACTGTCTCTATCAAAACAAACAACATAAATAGACAAAATGATAATAATAATAATAATAATAATCAATTCCACAAGGGTTCAGATTATATTCTAGTCCGTGGGTAAATGCTTTTTTGGGCCGCAGCACATCCTCTGTATGAATCCATGGAAAATTAAAGTTTAAATGGTTTTACAAATATGTTATATGGAGATTAGAAAATGTATCTTTGAGCATGTATCGTTCCCTCAAACAAATCTCACTGATATATTAATTATAATGCGTATAAGTCTGAGTGATTCACAGATACAGCTGTCGTCTTCTTTCACAGATTTACAAACTTTTGTCTCAAAAGGCTGACACTGACATATTGTGTGTCAGATGAGACCAGAGCCATAATTACAGATCTCATAATGTCATGTTCTCGACTCTCTTTAGCATTCAGCCTGACGGAGGAGTCTTATTTTCTCTGCACATTTGTACTTTTAATCAGAGCCTAGTTTTAATCAACCTTGGTTAGTTTAACTCACCTCTTCCTCCAAGAAAACCACTCTTAGTTTCAGCATTGTACTCTTCTTTCCTGCTTCTAGATTTTTAGTTTTGTGTGTCTGTGTGTCTGCCTGAATGTGTATGTGTGTCTGTCTGAGTGTGTATGTGTGTCTGTCTGAATGTGTATGTGTGTCTGTGTGTCTGTCTGAATGTGTATGTGTGCCTGTGTGTCTGTCTGAATGTGTATGTGTGTCTGTCTGAATGTGTCTGTGTGTCTGTCTGAATGTGTATGTGTGTCTGTCTGAATGTGTATGTGTGTCTGTCTGAATGTGTATGTGTGTCTGTGTGTCTGTCTGAATGTGTACGTGTGTCTGTCTGAATGTGTATGTGTGTCTGTCTGAATGTGTAAGTGTGTATGTCTGAGTGTGTGTGTGTGTGTGTGTCTGTCTGAATGTGTATGTGTGTCTGTCTGTCTGAAGGTGTCCGTCTGAATGTGTACGTATGTGTGTCTGTCTGAATGTGTATGTGTGTATGTGTGTCTGTCTGAATGTGTATGTGTGTCTGTCTGAATGTGTATGTGTGTCTGTCTGAATGTGTATGTCTGAATGTGTACGTGTGTCTGTCTGAATGTGTATGTGTGTCTGTCTGAATGTGTATGTGTGTCTGTGTGTCTGTCTGAATGTGTATGTGTGTATGTGTGTCTGTCTGAATGTGTATGTGTGTCTGTGTGTCTGTCTGAATGTGTATGTGTGTATGTGTGTCTGTCTGAATGTCTCTGTCTGAATGTGTATGTGTGTCTGTCTGAATGTGTATGTGTGTCTGTCTGAATGTCTCTGTCTGAATGTGTATGTGTGTCCGTCTGAATGTGTACGTATGTGTGTCCGTCTGAATGTGTATGTGTGTCTGTGTGTCTGTCTGAATGTGTATGTGTGTCTGTCTGAATGTCTCTGTCTGAATGTGTATGTGTGTCTGTCTGAATGTGTATGTGTGTCTGTCTGAATGTGTGTGTGTGTGTGTCTGTCTGAAAGTGTATGTGTGTCTGTGTGTCTGTCTGAATGTGTATGTGTGTATGTCTGAGTGTGTATGTGTGTCTGTCTGAATGTGTATATGTGTATGTCTGAGTGTGTATGTGTGTCTGTCTGAATGTGTATGTCTGAGTGTGTATGTGTGTCTGTCTGAATGTGTATGTCTGAGTGTGTATGTGTGTCTGTCTGAGTGTGTATGTGTGTCTGTCTGTATGTGTATGTGTGTCTGTCTGAATGTGTATGTCTGAGTGTGTATGTGTGTCTGTCTGAATGTGTATGTCTGAGTGTGTATGTGTGTCTGTCTGAGTGTGTATGTGTGTCTGTCTGTATGTGTATGTCTGAGTGTGTATGTGTGACTGTTTAAATGTGTGTGTGAAGCGTCTTTGAGTTTTTGAAAAGCGCTATATAAAACCTATGCATGTATTATTAATAATATATGCAAAATTATTATTAATAACATTAACATTTTAAAATAGCTAAGCCCATAAACCATAATGCAGTATTTCTCAGTCGCTTTGGTGCATTTCTCAGACTTAAAGTTCTCAAAACTATCAGTTCAACCTCCACAACACTGAGTCATGTGTGACATCATCGCAGCAGTTGAACACTTTGAACACTTTACAAATGCTTTTGTTCATGTATCAGTTACTTTCATACAATTCTCTGCTGTTTTATAACATTATCATTTGCATCTGTCCTGTCAGTCAGAATGAAACATATTTATCACTTCTGAATAGTCATTCTCTACAAAAACCAATAGTCCTCATTTCATCAAAAACCAAAATCTGTCAAGCTAATTTCATACATTTCATAGTCAATGGCAACAGCATTTCAAGTCTATTCTCTGAGCCACAGATGCAGAGACCTGAGGACTGGACTAATTTGATGGTACTTCCTGGTTCTCGTTGATGGTAGTGATGGTTGATTGATGGATTAAGATTTAGCTCTGATCATGACCTGAGTCTCCATCTGTCTTTTCAATCGTCAAATGTGGTTGGCTCCATCATTCTTGTTAATCATATAATGTCCTATTTTGATTATTATTATTTGTTGTTAATTTCACTTGCCAAGTTGTCATTTATCCCAAAACAGTTAATTTTTCTAAAAAGGTAGGCTTTGTGGACTGCTGCCTTGTTGTTTTCTCTCATAAATCCCTCTTCTCTCAGATGTTGTTGGACTGGAGTCTGTATCTGACGTTGGGCCATGGATCGTCCCCTGTCTTCATGTCTTCTGATCTTCTGTCTCAGCCTTGGAAATCTTTTGTGTTTCTACTTCCCATTTTTGTTTTGGTCAGGATCTTTTTTGATTGCCTGACTTACTGCTTCCAACTTTACAACCCAAAGGTGCATGGAAGCGGTTTAACTTTACAATCCAAACACACCCAACAAGAGAAATCGTTCTGGTTTTTTTCCGTTAGACAAAATGGATTATGAAAAAACCATTAAAAGCTGTGTTTTGAATCGTTTGTCTATTTCAGTTTCATTGTTGTTTTTGATAAATTGCCTTCAACATATTTTTGTCTCACTCCAAACTGGCATAAAGAAACAATTTTGTTTTGTATGGAAGTTTTGTTAAGGCTTGCTTTTAATGACACTTTGACCATGCACAATTAAAGATGAACCAAGACAGAGTCAGAAGCCGTGGAGTCATGGGAGTCATGGTATATTCCAACATACATCTGCTCTGCTTCTTTTTTCATTTGTTTCACAGACTGTGGAAGCCTAATTGTACCATTAAAAAAGAATGAGGTCGGAGCGTTATTATAATAGATCCATGGGTCGGAGCCATATTGGATTTTCTCTACACTGATACAGGAACAGTATGAGCAGCACATGTTCCTGATCTAGCACTGACCTGATAATTCACATCCCCTATTGTCACGTAGATAACGCGTCAGCAGTGACAGTGGAGTTCTGCTGCCATCTGCTGGTCACATTTGGAAATGTGTAACGCATGTCCTGAATTAAAGAGACTGTATAGTACCAATATTTGTGATTTAATATGGTTAATTACAATCCAACATTTCTAATCTGTCGGTTTAGCAGATTTAGCAAGAAACAGTATTTACTTGTATGACTTGTTTTTATTCATGTGTTCATTTAAATAAACGTGTGGTGCCGTTTTTGTGTGAATTTTGTTTAAAAAAACAAACAACTTCCTACATTTCACTTAACAAACTAGTTCCTCCAAAGAGAGACTGATTCTGTTCTTTCATTGGATATTCTTCTTGAGACTCTCAAACATAAATATTGTTGTCCGTGGTATTTTAATTAAGAATCTCTCCTCTTTAAACTTAATCAGAAAAGGACCATGTTGACCTATTATCTGGGGACACATAAAAGATGAAGATGTAATTCATAATTAAAACATTGCATACTGTTCCTTTAAATACCTCTATGATTTGGCTGTTCCTGCATTGTGAATGGGAATCTTTTGATGTTTGGATGACTAATCCCCTTGTCACCCTGTCCACTGAAGATAGTGCTAGTTTGAAGGCTGCTGTTTTTATGGTGTTTTTAATGAATAACATTGAAGCAGTTGATGTGAAGGACATCTAAACGCCATGCCGATGTGTGAAAGCTATGGAGAAGCCACACATACCATAGAAATGTTTTATATATAAACATTTAATATACATTCATACACTCAATAAATACATTAATGAAAAAATAAATGGAACTAAGAAATGTGAAAACGTGTGAAATGTGTTTTTTTTTCCTCAGATAAATCTATCATAAAGTGCAAAAATATCAGCAAACATATTCACAGGTGAGTAAGTATGTTTTCTCTGGACGAACACACACATTATGTTAGTATAGCCCCATTTTTATATGCTAATTATATGTTAAACATCTTCTAATCCTTATGTACAGTGTCATGTGTGCAGAGGGCCTTACACATGTATTTATTTTAAAAGAAAAGAGCACCCTCATTCAGCCAATCAGCTCTAAGTATGCAAAAGATCACCTGTTTTCTTTTAAGATAAAGTAGCATGTTGTTGTTTGAGTGGTTCACGAAATGTTACTGAAACAATAATTTGTATCTGTTTGAACCAAGCAAATGAATGACATAAAAAAAAACTTGAAAATCTGCGTTTGACAAGTGTGAGCGCTTTAGTTTGTTTTGGAAACCCAGCTCTTTTAAAAGCAATTTAACCCTATATAGGCGGTTCATGATTAAAGTATTTTTTCACTCAGACTTCACATCTGGATTGACTGTCAGAGGGGTGTGTCTGCTCGTCTACTCCTTTAAACCGTGGACCGTAAATTCCAAAATAAAGTTCGCGCATACCTGCTACATGTTCTGACTTACACTGCCCCCTCGCGGCCACACACTGCATAGCAACAATAACAGTAGGTCGGGACTGCACCATTAACTTCAACAGACAACCGTGTGTTTGGAAGAAAATACATAAACCCACTTCACCTGTGGATATTCTTATGTGTCAGGGTTGTGTTTAAGTAGTGGTGCACTTTTTCATTGGATTCAAACGTGTTAAACAACTTCATTAAGACGTCCCCTGCTCCGTGGCTGTAATGGTACAGTCCGGCAGTATTGAAGGAAACAGAAAAAAGGGCTCGTTGTTGGTACACTGCGCTGGTGCAGACAGTACACCCGCGGTTTACGGATCTATCTCAGAATTGCACTCCACTTTACAAGCTTGCCATGGCTCTGTGCGGGGGAGTCGGAGCCATGGCTTTGCCCAGTGAGCTTATTGTCCACATATTCTCCTTTCTGTCGGATCGAGACAAGCTCAGGGCCTCCACCGTGTGTACGCGCTGGAGGGAGTGTCTCTTCTACCCTGCGCTGTGGACCGAGCTCAAACTGCGGATTGGTGGAGGCTCCAGCTCCGAGGAGACTCCCAAGCTGGAGTTTCTTATGCGCAAATTCGGCTCCTTCGTGCGGGAGCTGCAGCTGGAGCTCGCCCCGCTGGAAGGCTCTCTGAACACGGACACATCTGCTGCAAGAATGGAGCCCTCTCCGCGCTGCAAAGACGCCATGATCACCTTTGTCAACCAGGTGTTATGTGTTTTCACCAGCGTCAGGAATAATAGGTAAGTAACGAGATAGTTTTGCATTGTGTAACAGATTGTATGCATGTGTGTAGTGGTAAATGTTGTGGATATTGTGCATGTGTTGCGCAGTTGCTGCTTAGCTTCGGTGGTTATAAACAAACCCTGACATTTGCTGTTACGTAATCGATGGTTTATGTCTGCAATGGCGCAAATAGTCTCACAAACACAGTGTAAGACTATTTATCTGCAGCCTTGTGTTTATTTTACACAATTATAATGCAGACGTGTGTATGGTGAGTTTTGTATTTATATTCACGTTATCGATCATAATACAGTTTACTGTTACTGTTTGGAGACCATGATTAGTAGTTGATTGTCAAGTGAAAAGACATGTTTAAAGACATGGAAGATGCATGTGTTTGTTTATTTGTGTGTAGAAACCTCCAGCGGCTGCGTCTGTATGGGGACACCTGTGTTCTTCAACAAGAGGGACTGTTGGACAGTTCCAACCTCCACCAAATGGAGCAGGGGGACAAAAAGATCAACGAGTAAGCAAATACAATTCAAAAGCTATTGATGGGCTCTGCCTTTTATGTTTTTGGGCCCAATGAAGATAATTTGTTTAGAGAATTTTACAAATTGATTTAACATCTTTTAACTTGATTTTACTGTTTTATCTTTTGAATCCTTTAGTGTAATTTAGACTAAATTCTGTATTCATTCTCCTCTTTGCTTTGTTCATCACAATATTCTCTGCTCCACAGAATCCAGCAATTGTTCATGGAGTTTTTGTCCAATAGCCGGCAGCTCCGATGGCTTTCATGTAGCTTCATGCTTGGTCTAGTGACCTCCAACTCTCTTGCCTGTCTGTCCAACCACTCAGCAGAAACTCTGCAACATCTAAGTTTACTGGACCACCAACTTGGTTTGTACATTTAATCATGAACTTCTCTGCCAACGAGTTTGAAAGTGTTAACATTTCAATGACTCTTTGTTTTTGTTTATCTTAGGACCACTTATCGCACCGTCAGAGTTGGCTAGGCTTTCAAGTCTTCAGTCACTTGCTCTAGATTTTTCTGATTTGACTTCAGAGCTTTGTGGTTTGCTGGCATCTCCACAGCGCACTCCTTTGTATCGTCTCTCACTTTTGCTCAATGGTGCAGCTCTAGAATATAAACCCTTAGAAGGGATAGCAACAGATGATGACTGGAAGGCACTAGTAAGTATGAGTTTGTTACTCTCCCTGATTATAAACCTCCTCTATATAAATGTCTGTTTCCAAATAGGTCCGTTCTAGCACTAATCTGAGAGTCTACATCATGGCACTTGAAGTAGTCAGTTCGGAGCTCCTGCGGGTCCTAAAACCCAGTCTCCCGTTAGAGCGCCTCCACCTGGACAGCTACAGCACCATTGTGACTGACGCCACTTTGGAGCTGGTTTCTCAGCAGTACAACAAAACCCTGACTCACTTTCTTCTTCTGAGAGACGATCCTGACTTTCCTGACCTCAGCATCAATCGCAACGAGGATCCTTTGGTCCTCATGGCTTGGAGGTGTACTAAGTTGGCTGTATTGGTCTTGCATGGTAAGTTTTTCATTTTGTGCTCCTAAAAGTTTTTATGAAACATGTGTAAGACCTTTCCTAACCGCTGCCCTGGTCTTTCAACAGGATACACTGTCTGGTCTCATAACCTAGTAGCCATCTCCCGCCTGCGAGGATCCAGCCTTCGGGTCTTGACGGTGTCTGAAGAAAGCATCGACTTTGACCCTGACCAGTCGATGTGCATGGAAGGTGACCCGGTTCATAATCTGGTTAAAGAGGTGTCCCTGGGCCTTGGACGCGTCTGGCACCCATGTCTGGATTCTAATCTAGTTTTATCTGAACCCACCCAACATTTTCACCAAGAGGTGCATGCCTTCAGCGTGGGCGTGTAGACAGGGTGGCAACGTGTGCTTGAAATAGCCAAAAGGTGTGAAAACCAGGCCAGCTGTGTCAGATCAGACCTCAAATCGTATGTTCATAGCAGATGTTAAAGACCCAAGGTTTTATTTTTGCTATTATTTATTTGTATTGTCAGCTAACTGATCTGATTCTGTTGGCTTAGTCTGTCTGGTCTGGTTTTGATCAAGTTCTTTTTTGAACTTGACCTTATTAACCTCATTATTTTATTGTTAACTTTTGCTCTGCTTCTAACCCTTATTGGTGTGTGGTGGTTCGTTTGCCTCTATAGATGTGTCTATTTGCATATATTGCTCTCCTGCTCACAGGGAAGATGGACTGATACAGGCTGAATGAGGATGAATGGAATAATGGGGACTTAAAGTTCAGCGAGTGCTTTAGTTTAATGATCTTTTGGCATTTGTCAGTCACTTAAAATCTTCTCTAGCAGTGAAGGTAATGCCATTCTAGAATGTTCTTAATTTCTCATCTAAGTTGAGAACATTTCCAGCAGGGTGGGAATCGTATACAATAAATTGAGTGACCATGGGAGGTGCAAATGCCGTTCTTTGCCTACAGTCATGTTTCCTTCATGACCGAGTTTTGAGCATTGTTTTTGTAGCATTTAAAAGCTAAATGCACCTTGCTGATGGATTCTGATGTATCTCCCTGCTGCTAGTCTTCCCACCCTGCTAACCTTCTCAGCTATTCTCATGACAAAGGATGGCTTCTTTGTCTTCCGACTGACACTTTTGAAGCCAATTTTTAAACTACTCAACAGCCACATTCACTGTAAAAATCTCCCCTATTTTTATTTAGTTTTGTTAAGTCAGTATATTTGCATATATTTTGTATAATCCTGGTGATATCAGTGGTATCCTTTTGAAGGTTGAGCTATTTTGGCATGTTATAGTTTCAGAGTGTTATATATCTTGATGCCATTGTTGGCATCCTCTTAAACCATTGTGTATCACTGGCTCTGAAGTGCCACATGTGAACGACCATGGCTCTGGAGGTTACATGTGAACGACCATGGCTCTGGAGGTTACATGTGAACGACCATGGCTCTGGAGGTTACATGTGAACGACCATGGCTCATGGAGGTTCTTCTTCAAAGGTAGTTCCTGGTTTTATGCTTTTACCACGAACATGTTTCTGCTGCTGATTCTTCAGAACTGTCACTGTCCTCGGCAGTATGTCACTTATTATTAAAGAATGATTGTTTTGCTCGCAGCTCAGCAGCTGAAACTGTTGCAGGTAAATCCATTCTCCGGTTAGTGCCGAAGATGTTGAGAAAAGAAACACATGTACATTATTGGACCACAAATGGCTTTTTGATGGAATTGCAGTTTCTTGTGGAACACTTACTTCCTGGGCATTTCAGGAGCCTGTGGTTTTAACACAATAGTTGTGCAAAGACTTGTTTTGGCAGAGCTTTTGAACCAAGATGTTGCGTACATACCAGCAACAGCACAGCCAAACCGTTTATCTTTAGAGGCTGGAAATGCTCTAAACAACAGGGACAAAGAAACGGATGCACTGAATGTAACTATTCCATTCTGTTGGCCAGTCAGTTTATCAGGGTGCTTTAGTTTTCTCTTATATATAAATATATATATGATAAGTTTTACTCTTCTAATATCAACAGCCAGCAGTCAGGGTTAAACATTGCATTTCTCACGTGTTTGGGACACGCAGCACAACGTCGGGCTCTTGTTTGTGACTTGGGTTATTGTCGTCAGTCTCAGGTAGGATTAAAGAATCACTATGACCATAACCATCCATTCATGTTAATGTAAAGAGAACTTATTTATAGTCACTGTTGCCTTCCAAAAGCCCTTGTTTTGTGGATTCTTTGTTATTAACTTGCCATTTGAAAAAAAAACCTTGACTATTCAGGAGTTACCAACTTAATCATACATTTGTTTTCAAAGATTAAGAGAGAATGGCAGAACGCTTATTGCACATGTTTTCAATCCCAATGTGCTGCTCACGTTGCAGCTTTAAGTTGGATATAAGATCTGTTGTAGATGGTGGAAGTGCTCGACCCAATATTAGATCAGAATAGAGAACGTAGAGTATTTTTATCGAAAGCGTAGTTTTATTTATACTGAATGTTTGGAAACTTTCATGGCTTGTGAATCCGCTTGACGAGTTGCCAAATGTTTTTGTCTTAACAACATTATTGGGCCGAGTATTTTACCATCCGATAATCTAGTGTGCGGTAAGTTTTGAGAACATGCAAAGACATTTTCCGAAGCAAGAATATGAACAGTTGTCATGGGCCAAACCATTGGAACACGTCAATGCTTTGTGACTATAGAGGTCTGGGCTTGATTATTGCTGGTCCATATCAAGGCTGCGGTGCTGGTAGGTCTCATGTTTCATCGTCATCTGTGCTTGGGCCGAAGGTGTTTGCTTGAGGACTTCTTGGACTATCGTTTTTACTCGTGATAATCTCAAATCCATGGTCTATATCTCAGGATTAAAGCAGTTTGGTTCATAGGGAGATTATGAAAGCGCATGTGGAGCAGTGGACTTGAATACACAGAGCTGCTATGAAGGCTATCTCCTGCTCGGGTGTGCGAATACAGAAGCTCTGAGATAAATCTTATATACGTTTAAATGAACACCTTCAGATTTTTATTGCTAGTCAATCCTTGTGCAGAACTGCGAGATTGTTGGTCTGCTTAATTTCAATGAGCAACAATAGCAAATGAGGATAAAAGCAAAACATTTGTTTAAATTTGCTCTTTCATCCTTGACCAAAGTGACCAAAACTCTAACGAATATATTCTAAAATAAGGTTTTATTAGCTGCGGATTGATTGAAAGATTGTGTTTTGTGGTGGATGGAAATGACTCAGCTCGTGCCTAATAGTATTGATATTAAACTTTTAAACCTTTTTTGTTGTTGTTTGCATTGACGCTTTTGACATTAACTAGCTGTTCTTTCACACATACCTGTACAGAGTGTGACTGTGGCGTCTGCACAAATTGTAATAGTTGGCACATCTATACCGACACAACTAAAGTAGTATTACTGTGGCTGAGACGGGAATATTCTGTGTATTATAGCAGGCAGCAGGAAACATGGATCCTTATTCTCAGGATTAAGGCCGAAGAAGTCACTGGATCTGTTCTCCTACATTGAGCTGCCACAGACCATAGTGAAAAGCCGGTGCATGAGTTCCCAGGAGGCTGTGCAGACTCGGATCCTCCCTTCTGTTTCCTCAAGGTCATGCTAAGATACTAAATCACTGACCTTGGCTCTTTGCTCCCCTTTTTTATTCAAGCACCAAAACCATTCATGTTTGGCCATGTTTTACTTCAGCACGAGTTCATCTGAGCCGTGACCATGCAGGCGCCTCAATCCTGGGCCTTCACTTTAAGTAGTGGCTGAATGTGAACGTGAATACTGCGGGGAAAAGAGCCAGCTTTCAAATGCCAGGACTGAACACCTTATGAGTTTGCATTCTTAGATGAATTATCACAAATGAATCCCGTATGTACTGCATGGCACGCATGTAACCAAGGCTGCGTGCTGTAAAGCCAGAGCCTGAAATGCAAAAATGGCAGGTTTTCGGTTCCGGTATCAATGCTGCACAGGAATTGCTGCTAGAAATGGTTAAGAAACATGACATTCCATGTGGAGGTTACTCAGGCTATTTTCTCTGCATTTAAATAACTGTATACAGTGGTTTGTTGGGGTAAGCAGGAAATCCTGACGATGACAAGACACCAGCTAAATATTCTGTCAATGTGAGGAGACGAGAAACCATTCAGAGCGACTTAATGAAGCTGGTCTTTTTCAATGTGTTTTTATTTACTGTATTCTGTCAACAACTTCCAGAGGCCATTAGTGTAACTTTTGTGTCTGGTACACCGAGGAAAGCTTGATTGGCTTCATTTGAGAGTAAATATGGTTTTCTGTGTGTGGATGTATACAATAGTATTCATGTAAGGGGGTCTTGTTTGATTACAATTGTGACTGAGTAATTGGAACAGTGAGACCTTTTATTTTGCCCAAAGTCTCTGTTGGTATGCACATGCTTTTGTTGTTTGGAATTAAAATGTTTATAGTCTCACACCAGCAGACATTTATTGACTCAATAATCCCAGCAGCTGCTGAAAAACCAAGAGCTGGTCTCAATGAAGTCCATCAGCAAAAGAAAACAGTTGATAGTCTTAAGTATGAGGATTTTGTTCGATATGTCGCACATAAACTGGAGAAGGTTCATTTTGGTCTAACCCACTGAAGCAGCATCTGTCCAGCGCTGCTTAGACAAGTCCAGAGAAAGTCTAGGCCTGGTGAGCAAACGGAAGGCTGAGGTTTTCTCATCTGATCTGTGTCACCAACTACAAACTGACATGTTCTTTTACAGGGAACAGCTTTACTCACTGCATCAACCACAAATGTAAGAATTATTTTTCAATATGCAAGTCAGTGAAACCAAAGGTTTCCAAACCCAAGTTTGAAAACTTTTGCTATAAAAGGTCTGAGAGGTTTCAGCTACACTAGTGACATGTTATTTTTTCATTTTTGTACAAGATCACCAACGGCCACAAATAAAATTGTGACTGTCCAAATCTGTGTTTATCTGCAAGGCAAGCTCACACTGAGGGAGGAAAAGAATATCTTATATTTTCAGTTATTGACCTTCCTTTTCCAACAGACTGGGCTTTGTCGACGGTCAGCCTCAAAGCTATGCAAAAGGAATGCCACACGGTCATCCACATGGTTCTTATGGTTTTACTCACAGTATTAAGATCTTGCAATGACAATACTTAGCCTTATGATTAGGTGTTTTTGTTTTGGACTTTAATAAAACAAACTTCTGATCAGTCATAGAGATTGTGACGGTGGCTCTTGGTCTCTGTGAGACTGGTTTGATGGCCCCAGTTTTATTGTGGTACAGATGTTGTGTGTTTGTTTTCATCAACATTGTTTGCAATAATGATTTGACTAATGGTCACAAAGGGGAACAAGCACCTCGCCACTTCTGTAAAAACAGAATGAGAACTACATGAATATGTGAGCCCAAGTTTGTTAATGCATTCATGACTAAACATTTTGTTACACAACGTATCATTTCAACACAACACAACATTTCAAACTTGTTTCTCTTGAAAATGGTTTCTGTTTTTTCAAAGAGCTTTCGTCTGTTGAAGTTCAGGTTTACAGTGGGCTTTCGGCAACATCGAAAGGAAAGTTGTGAAAATAACTCAAATGTTTTGCCCTCATCCGTTTGTCTGTTGAATAACTTTAGTGGGCAGCATAATGTGTTTGTTTCAAATAAACTTGGAAAATAGAAGTTTGATTTTTCCCATGGTTTTTGTTCTTTGGTTCTGTTATTTCACATTCATGTGTTGCAGAGTTGATCAAATACCTCCTCCATGAATCAAAGGAAGGACATGTGAGCGGCCAGATGTTGATATATATCTATGTGGAATGAATGCTCCTCTTCTAGTCTGTTAATAAAAGTGTAAACTATTGAAACTCATTTTTTTCTGCATGAACCAATAGTTTTAGAACGGGGGGGGGGGGATATATTTATTTAACAGACATAAATATATCAACTAATTATACTTTATCTTAAAACCAATAAGAAAAGTCTACTTTATAATTGGGCGCCACGGTGGCTGAGTGAATAGCACTCTCGCTTCTCAGCAAGAAGGTCCTGGGTGCCCCGGTCGGACCAGGGCCTTTCTGAGTGGAGTTTGCATGTTCTCCCCGTGTCTGTGTAGGTTTCCTCTGGGTGCTCCGGTTTCCCCTACCACTAAAAGGATGTACCATAGTTCTGGCATGCGCTTTCTGTACTGGCGACACTGCTCCCATCTCTGTGTGGAGTGAGAGGACAATTGCCCAAAAATAACCATTGTAAACCGCTTTGTGACTCTGGTCTGTGAAAGGCGGTATATAAATAAAGATTAATTACTTAATTTAGCTGGATTCTTATATTTTGGGTGTTTGAGTGTTTGTATTAGTCTAATCGGACAAATTACATGAGGGATTAATGGATGAAGAAAAGTCACCTCTCAGTTATGCACATAAGACTACTACATCCATCCACACGCTGTGAACCCCGGTGGCCTGCAGAGGGCGCCGGTGAGCAGCACGTCCCGGAAGCACGCGCCGTCTACGTAAACCGCGCGCACACGTGACTGGCGCTAACAAGAAGCAAGATGGCGGTGGTGGTGCGGAGTCTGCAGGATCAGCTCGAGAAGGCGAAAGAAGGCCTGAAAAGCGTGGATGATAATATTCGAAAATTAACTGGACGAGATCCCAATGAAGCGCGGTAAATGAGCGTTTGTTTGTGTTTCCTGAGTCTGGATGAGGTTCTGTGAGGTCCGTGAGTGCAGCACGGCAGGACCATGGGCAGGACCATGGGCAGGACCTGTAGGAGCAGCCAGTCCTGGTTAGAGCCATGGTTAGCACACACAGGCTGCTCATGCTTTTCTGCCTGTGATGGTTCCCCAACATTTTAGTAACATATTTCCATAAAGTATCACAGAAGTCTGTAGTGACTCCACCTGAACTCAGAATGTTTATGGTCCGGGAGCAGGACATGGCCAGGACCGGGAGTCAGGCCTTGTGTCTTGACTTGTGTTTTGAGATGTGTTTTGAGATGGATGGGAGGGATCATGAGCCACATGTGATGGATTTGTTATGGTTTACTGTTCAGGCAATCTTAATCAGTTTTTAATATTAAAGTTTAACCTGTTGTTTGTACTTAGACCGGGTCAACTCCGTCGTGTGGGCGGCCCCTTGGCAGGCCCAGGTGGAGGTAGAGGCAGAGGAGTCAACTTACTCAGGTAAAGTACATGCAGCGCAATTCATTAATGTCGTTCAGGCTGAATTTGACGTTTTCATTCTTGTTGAACATGAATGTATTTTAGAGTAATGATGATAAATTAAACATTTTCAGACGCAGTCTCTCTGACATCGGTACAGGTGGGCCCCCTGCCAAGCAGCGGGATATCGCTGGAGCTCTGATGAGGTGAATCTACTGTTTGAAATATTTGTTCAGTTTGAAACAAAGAAGTATTAAAGTATTTCCAGACCCATTTTTTTAATATTGTGGGAAAACGTCCCTAAACCCTAAAAGTAGTCAAGTTAGATGACTTGGATGCCTATGGTCTACAAAAATTGATAAACAATATTTGAGCGGACCATTAGAAATAAACCAATGGAATTTGTTCATCACCAACGAACCAATGGGATGCGTTTACCCCCTTCACCCTCTTCCTGTTTCTCGCAAGTGCACCTGAGTTATTGGATTTTCTAAAACCTAAAATGGTTGAACAGAAAATGCCAATTTCACGTTTGCTCCACTCTCCCTGTTCTGACAAAGAAAAAAAATGCTGGATGTTTGGTTTGGTGGAGAGGGGGGAGTGGTTTCCAGTGGGCGCTTCGGCTAAGCTAACAACATCGCTTAATGCCTCTTTAAATGTGTGGCGTGTCTTTTCAGGCTGGCAGGAGGAGGAGACATGAGGCCCCGGAGGGAGATGCGCCACGACAGCGACGCTGAGGATGATGACGATGTCAAAAAGGTTTTCCTTGTCACCAGTATTAGATTCAATCAACCATATTTTTCATGTTTTTAATGTGCAATTGTTTTGATCATACAGCCAGCGTTGCAGTCGTCAGTTGTAGCTACCTCCAAGGAGAGAACACGCCGAGACCTCATCCAAGATCAAACTATGGATGACAAGGGCAAACAGAGGTAATATTGTTAGTCCTGCAATGGATCTCCCTTTTGTGACGTCAAATTTAAAAGAATATTTGTGTCCAGGAATCGGCGTATGTTTGGCCTGCTTATGGGGACCCTGCAGAAATTTAAACAGGAGTCAAACGTTTGCACTGATAAGGTAAGGGCCGTTGTCTTTAGAGGTGTATTTTTTTTTTGTAATGCAATGCTCTTAACTTCTCTACATTACGTGCAACAGCAAAAGAGGCGTTCTGAAATTGAGCAAAAACTCGAAGTTCAGGCCGAAGCTGAAAAGAAAAAGGTGGAGACCGAAAAGAGGGAATTATTTGAGGAGAGGCGAGCTAAGCAGACCGAGCTGAGATTACTGGAACAGAAAGTTGAACTGGCTCAGCTGGTGGGCGTGTTTCAATATTCATAGTTTAATACATCTTGGTAGAATGTTAACAAACCTTTTTCTTTTTTCGTAGCAAGAGGAGTGGACTAATCACAATAACCACCTGGTCAAATTTATCCGCACCAAGACAAAGCCACATATTTTTTACATGCCTGGGAAAATCTGCTCCGCAAAACAGAAACTCCTCGAGGACTCTACCAAGAAACTGAATGGTCAGTATTTTTTTTGTTTTTTTTTTACAGGCTGCCAATGACGACCTGTATTTGAAAGAAAAGAGAAAAAAATACTAATTATGTGCACATTGGTTTTTCCTCAGATGTTTTTGAAGAGCGACGTCAAGCATTTGCCGAACACATCAGCAAGATGGAGTCTCGCCCACGCCGCCAGCAAATCCGTGACCCAGACGCCACCAAAGTGACCCCAGGGATGGACCGCTCAGCCGAGGGTAAGCCAGCAGGTCAGATAGTCAAGGTGAGGAAGAGCTTAGCTGAGATGGAGGAAGATGAGGAGGAAGAGGATGATGATGATGAAGAAATGCAGAAAGGGACAGATGAGAAAGCCGACGAGGGGAAGAACAATGGTAAAGATGTAGCGGAGCAGGAGAAGGGAGAGGGGACACCGGGAGAGGGGGAAATGGAGGTAGGAGAGGAAGGTACAGGAGAGAAGATGGAAGTGCAGGGAGCTGAGGAGCCAAAGGAGGCGTCTGATGTAAACGTCAAAGATGCCAGTCCAGAATCAGAAACGAAGGAAGCAGCTGAGGAAAGTGCAGAGAGGAAGGATCAGGTAGTGACCAGTGAGCTGCAAAACGTGGGAATATCGGGCTCTCCGTCTGAAGCGCCTGCCGCCGTCCAAGAACCTACAAAGTCATGTGAGCAGCCTAGTCCCCTCGAGGAAGCCACAGTTCAGACACAGGAAGCCCCCTCAGACACCGTTCCACAGGATGAGCCCCGGGTGGAGTCTTTTGCCATACCTGGTCTCGACGTGCCCAGTGAGGCCACAAACAGCCAGGGTTTAGGAGAGCGACCCCAGGAGGCTGAACCAGAGACCACAGCCGAGTCCACCGACATGCCGTCTGAAGAGAGCCCCAAGGAGAAGAGTCCAGGGAGGGGGAGGACCAAGGAGGCTGGGAGAAAGAGTCATAGCAGGAGCTCCTCTTCTTCATCCGGGTCCAGCTCCAGCGGTAGCTCGTCTTCATCCGGGTCCAGCCACTCTTCCTCCTCCTCATCCTCTTCATCCTCGTCCTCGAACAGCAGAAGCCGCAGTCGTGACGGCGAGAAGCGCAAGAAGAAGCAGTCAGAGAAGGGTAGAGATAGAAAGAAGGGGGGCGGTGGTAGAAGTGGAAGGAGGGACGTAAAGGGGTCAAAGGAGAAGAGGACAGAGGATGGGAAGGGCAGTGGTAGTTCTTCTCGGGGCAATAGGGAACGGAAAGACAAAGATAGAAAGGACAAAAGACGTTGAAGTTCCACCGCTGGTTTTAAGTTTCATCTTTAACAAGTTTTCTTTTAAATCAAAATCTTTCGAATTGTTGACTCAAATCTACAAACTTTTTATGTGTTCATCCAGTATACACATTCATGCTTGATTTAATATTGGTGATACTTGGCTCTTTTTTTTTTTTTTTAAATTGGATTTTTAAGTTGGACGGAAACCCTCGGAACCTCCGATTCAATCATTTTAGCTTTATCAACTCTACAGTAACATTGTACCAGAGACATTTCTACTGTAGCACGGTATTGTCATTTTGACCGCTCACGTCTGGATGTCAACATTTGTACATTTGCTATTGGCCCATGTTGTCTTTTTGTACCAACTGACTTGTCTGCTTCAAATTAAAGGTGAAATGCTGATAACGTGGTTGTGTTTTTCTGTCACAAATGTATGACTGGTTTTGATCTAATGGGGTTATTTGTTCAGATTACTATTGAATCACTAATGCAAAGTAACAGAATGAAATGAGCATTTGTGGATCAAAGTAAAGCATTAGCAAAGCATTTTTCATTGGCGTGATGTTTTTCTAGCGGTTTAAAAGTTAACTCATTGACTGCCAGCTGTTTTTGATTTCTCATTTTAAAGACTCACAGAATATTATGTGCTATGACCAGATTCTGAAAGATTAGACTGTCTACTTTCATCAGCAAAAATACGTTTCTAGTTCTCCTGTAATCGGCAGGTGAATTAAGTTTGACAAATCACTTTGGAGAACACACATCGCACTAGTCTCATAGTTCCAAAACGTCTTGGTTTTATGTTAAGTGTTACATGTTTTGCTCCAATCCTGACCTGCAACAACTGGATTTAATTAGATCAAAATAGAAAATGTTTACACCAGTGAAATCAGTTGACCGACATGAATTTGAAAAGTTACAGGACATGATGGACCATAAATCACTGGCTTTACTTGGTATGTTAGTATATTACTGGTATATTGTGCAGGCATGAATAATTCTTCAAATGCCACTTTCACATTAGACATTTGGGCATTTTCTGGTGTAAATGAAAAGCTGATACTGGTATTTGTTGATTGTTCAACCAAGAATTCTGTAAGCTAAAGACAATTCACCACACTAATCTTAGTCTTTGAAAAATATTTTAATAGAAAAGATTTAAGGCAAATTCTTAGTATCAAGGGCTATAACCAACTCCATTTTTAAACCTCAATTATCAGCTTCTGGTTGGTCTGCAAGGTCACTCTGTTCAAAGTATCTGCAAAAACATACAATTCAAATGATTATGATGTACTCCACTGACATAAAATTGTATAAAAAATGTCACCTGGCAACAAGGCAAATGAGAAGATTGAGTGCAGGTAGTTTTTCATCATCTTGACTCTCCTGAAAAGAATTGGCACAAAAATTACTTAACCGAAGGAATCGTTTGCGGCCAAATAAAACCATTTAAATTACCAATGTGGTTCGTAGGTGTGCGCATCTTCTGGCCAGTTGTCTGATGGAAGAGTGGGCCTCAGGTATTAATGGCTTTTCCAGACAAGCCAAAAGTGCATACAACCATTTGCCCTAAAAAAAAGTATTACACGCCGTTTAAAATCTAAATCCTACATTTCACCGAATGAATATCATCGATTTACCAATTGTGGAATAAAGTCTTTTTCTTCAAACCAGTTAATAAGAATTTCAAGAACTCCCAAAACTGCTGACTGGCATAAATATGGACAATTAACATGACCATTAAATGTGGGATTTAAACATGGCTAAATAAAAGTCATTAAGTACCTGGTTGAGGCGGCTGACAATACTAAGGAAAGGAGGGAAGCCCACCTGGATAAAGTATAGTTATGCATAATATTCTGACCGTACATTAAGATGACGGACAATATTAGAATATGAAGTCTTACCTGGCTATAATCAAGTTCCGCATCAGGGTCTGCATCAGCATCGGAACATGAACCTAAACAGAATTTCTCCCCCAGACAAAATCTCTTCCAACCCTCCTCGTCGGAAACACTAGGCTGTAAAGCATAAAATATTAATACATAACGTTTATGTGTTTCATGTTAGGTTCAGTTCTTGGGTAAAACATGCTCACCATGATCACGTTGCCCTCAAGAGGCTGTGTACCCCAGTGTGTCCTGTTTTTGGTGATACTCTAGAGACAAAGGCAAGTTTATTTGTAGAGCACAATCATACACAGGGCAACTCAAAGTGCGGAAAACAAAACAGGATAGAACAAATCACACAAGGCGTTAAAATAATAGATCATCACTAAAGATTGTTCCAGATTTTAGCAGCATGAATCTGAAATGCAGCCTCCCCATGTTTAGTTCTGACTCTGGGACCAGCAGGAGTCCAGTCCCTGTGCTCCTCAGAGTCCCAGCAGGAGTCCAGTCCCTGTGCTCCTCAGAGTCCCAGCAGGAGGCCAGTCCCTGTGCTCCTCAGAGTCCCAGCAGGAGACCAGTCCCTGTGCTCCTCAGAGTATCTTCTTCTAACTCACCTGCCTGACGTCTGAGAATGTGCTAACTTGCTTCTGCTGCCAACGGAGACTGGGAGAGAAACCTTTTGGGGCGATGTGACAGCTCGGAACCTGGAAGTAAGTAAGTAATTTTTATTCAAATAGCGCCTTTCACAGATCTTAAATTGTTATGGGCATTGGTCTCTTACTCCACACAGAGATGGGAGGAAGGAAGAACTTATAACAGCAACGTTAACTAGTGTGTTGGTCAGTTTCAAAGAAAGAACTTACCGGGGCGTTATCCTCTCCCTTTCAAGAGTAAAGAAATTAAATCCAAAATTATGAATAGGATTTATCCAACTAATGAATTCTTAATGCACGGATTTAAATTGGATGTGGACAAATGTGGATTCTGTCAAGACGGTGACAGAAGATTGATACTTTATTTTTCTCTTGTGAATCGGTCCAGTCATTTTGGTTTGACTCTCAATGGTACGGATGAAAGGAATTTTACTGCCAAATTTAACTATTCTTGATGTAAAGGTTTGGAATTCCAATTAATAATAGTTAAACCTATATAGCTTTAAACTGCTATAATTAATTGATACATGCCCTTTACATTTACATATGACAAACTTCTAAATGTATACCCTGCTTTTCGTATATAATGATCGCTATATGTATTTTAAGGCACTTGTTCTGCTTGTATTATCTTTGAATCTATAATCAAATATCTATATTAGAGAAAAGAACTTACCGAGGCGTAAACTGTCTGTCTCTTTGTTAACTTTTTGGGATCAATCTGAGCGATCATCACATCAGGACACTTTGACGCCTCCAACCTTGGCACACAGAGGGGACGAATAAGTGAAAAAAACAGACAATGGACCTTTTATCATTTTTAATATATCGGTTCACAAATCGTACTGGACTTGGCGCATGTATTCTTGGGGGTTTCTTGGCGGTCCTTTTAAATCCAACTCGTCTTTAATGTCTTTAAGCTCCACAGGCAGGAGTCTTGGCATCAGTTCCTCCACGTCAGACTTCATTTTGTTTAAATATGTTTGCTAATAATCAGCGTTTGAAGATAGCCCAGTGTGCGTTTGTCTGGGCGCTGATTGATGACGTAACTCTGATGCGTCGCGTGTTTAAGCAACGTGCAGTCAGGTTGCTATAGTGACGAAATGAGTGGGAATTACAGACTACGGGTGGGAATAATGGGATTGCATTTTGTCAATGTTTTTTTACTATTGTTAACATATAATCAAAATATAAAAAAATAAAAAACTGTTTTCACTATATAGATTTATTTGAGTTTTAAAGCTATTTGAAAGGTTAATAATTACCCCACACAAGTTATATCTTATCTCGCTCCTGCTCACACGCACCATTGACTGAAGGCTGCAGAGAGGCAATGTCCATTTGTCTCAATCCCTGGCCAAATGGGGATTTATTTTACACAATTGAGAAAGTCCTTTTACTGAGATTATGGATGCTTCTGTGCTGCACCAGATTTTAGGCCTATTTATTCTAACTCAAACTCACTTCACTTCTGGATTGCTGTCTGACTATAAAATCTGTGGAGACGCAGAATGTGAAAGTAAGTACTCCACAATTTGTTTGTTGTCTCATTACTAATAGCATTTCATATTTCATGTAGGTCGGATGAGCAGAGTGCAAGCTGTCCAGGACCATTACAGTAAAGACTGCCGCTTCCTGAATTTTCGACAAGGAGATGTAATCTTTGTATACCACAAACTAACAGGAAAGAGAGAGGACCTTTGGGCCGGCAGTGTATGTATTGTTCATTTGTTTGGGACAGTGCATGTCATGAACGCACCTCATTAACACGTATACAGAGACTCACAAATAAATCAGACAATATTTTTTTTAACAAAATGGCATTATTTGTTAAACTCACATACATGTTATGCAAAATAAAATGTACGGTGAAGAAGTTATTTGTCATTCTCTAATCATAACCAAAACTAATTGAGCATCACTGTCCTTTGCGGTCTTTGTCACAATGCATATTGAATTAATGTGTTTGTCACATTTTGTATCAGATAGATAGAAGGTTTGGTTATTTTCCAAAAGCTGCAATCAAAGAAGAAGAAATATATGCAACTGCAGAGAAAGTTCTGGAAACACAGGTAGGCTAATCGTGAATTGCATTGTTAATTTTATAATATTGTTCATCGTTTTCACATTGTCCATCATTTGTATAACTTTGAATGACAGAAATCAGATTTCTTCTGTATGAATGAAAATGGCTATCCAATCGACACAACCGAAGACGATGGTAACTCTGATGGTGTTGACAATGAGCCAGAAAGTGCTCACACAACACCATCAACGCTGCAAGGATCCTCTGAGGAATCACATGAAATATCTGCCAACACAAAAATTGAAAGTGAAAAAGAAGGAGAGGACCCTGGGTCGAATTCTTGGCTCAAATCCTCAGTGACAGGACTGTGGGAACTTGTCAAAAAAGAGGAGCCAAGTGCTATCCTTAAAGAAGACACAGCAAAGGAAACAGATGAATCGTCCCTCACGTCTTCTGTCACAGGGTGGTTAGGGCTGGGACAAAAGAGCAGCGAAGAACCAGTAACTCAGGACACAGACACGTCTAATATTGGCTCTAGCATGACGCAATGGCTCAACTTTGGAAGTGAAATTAAAGAGCAAGACAAAACAGATTCAGACAATTCAGATGAAGTATACAGGAGCAGGAAGATTGCTCTAGACATGGAGGAGAACCCATTTCATCATCAAGAGAAAAAAGATTCTGGGACACTGGGATGGATCGGTGATGGAATTTCAAGTACATTGGGTTTTGGCTCGAATGATCAGGGTTCTACAGAAGACAGTAAATTTGCAGAAACGGAGAAAGAGTTCGACCCTGCAGCCAGGTCTTGGTTTGATATCGGTCTCACAGACATGCTGGGGTTTCGAAAAGGCGACGTCAAGGGGAAGGACGAGAAGATAGAAGATACTGTAGAGCCAGAACAAAACGCAGATGATCCACAGAATGACCCTGAGCACAGAGATCAACCTGAAGCATTGGATCATGAGACGATCATTCAAACCACCCCAAACACAGATTTAAAAGAGTTGAATAAGGACTTTGATTTTAAAACAGAAATACTCGGTGTAGAAAGAGGGGCAAGTGGTCGGAGTGAGCCAGCGCACACAGAAGTTGAGACGCATACTTCCAATCAAGATGGATCCACACGTACTGAGGACACAGTTGGATTTGAGCATCCAAAAGAGACGGGTGAAGACACAGCCATTTCAAGTGACAGTAATTCTCATGTAATCAACAACCTCCAGTCACAACACAGCAGTGCAGAGGAAAAAACAGACTCTCCGATTCTTGAATGTACTCAAAATGGTTCAACATTCGAAACAGCGACAGATATAGAATCAAGAACCCGAGTCGAGGAACTGAAAAACTCTGCGGTTATTGAGACGCTCGAGTCAAATACGCAGGGAATGCACGATACGCCACAAGATCAAGGCAACCAGCAGGAAATGGCCAGCGCAGTTAGGTTGATTAACAACATCCAGGAGGTTTTAACTGATACTGAACTATACTTGAGAGAGGAGGACGTAGGCATGACACAGGATGTTGTGGATGTCAAAGAGCCACCTAATAAGGATAACAAGACGCCTAACGAGGACGAATTAGGACAAAGTGAGACGCAGGGTACGCAGGAAAACTGTGATAAAACCGAGCAAAGACAGGATGTAGTTGTGGAGATAGAAGAATGGGAAAACAGTGAAGAGGTTGTTGAAAAGGAGAGTGGCAGGAAGATGTCGCAACCTGATGAAGATGCATTTGACTTTGTTGCAGAAGGAAATGAAGGGAGGAAAGTTGGTTTGATTGGGAAAGGATGGGAGTTGGATCAGAACACAGGTGTTAGTTCCACAGAGGAGGTGATGGAGACACCTGAAGGAAGAAGCGCCAAGACAAATCAAGTTGAGAAAGTGAAAGATCTGAACGTGACCAGAGATGGAGGCATTAACTTATTTGAAGCCGTAAAGGAGGATCTCCATCAGCTGGAAGTGGAAGAACATATTATTGAAGAGAAATTGGATCACGAAAGCCTTGAAGAAGTAAAGCAGATATTTTCTAATAATGATCAAGTCTTCAAAAATGCCAAAGAGAGAAGCACAGAAGAAGAAAAACCACATTTAAAACACACAGATCAAAATGCATATGAAAACGTCAATGAATTATCCTTTAATCTTGCAATGGCGACTGAATTAAATGCACGTCTTGCTGATCCAAATGAAAAGAACATTGAAGAGAACACAGACGATAAATTGGTACATTTTACAAAGTCGAGTCTTGATGTTGATCCAAAAGAAGATGAAATTAAGATGATAGAAACAACAGAATTTACTGCTTCACAGAATATACAGAATGAGCCAGCTGCAAGTCCAGACCACACAGACAAGCCCCAAAGTCAAGCTGAGAAAGAGGGGTTTTTGCATCGAGAATTCCATTTCTTTGCCAACAATGAAGAGATCGACTTTGACAATGAAGCCTCAGGAGCGGAGCACGAGCCTCAAGTCAATTCTGACGTTGAAGAAAAAGTTGGAAGTATTGCAGCAAATAACTCCAGAGAGGATTCGCAAAACATCTCTCCAACAACACAGCCTGCAATTTCACTACGTCCCAAAGCAACCAGTCTGAATCCCAAAACGCTACACAAACTCTATCGTTCTATTCTCACCTACATGGATACAGGCGAAGTTATGATTTTAATAAAATGTTTCGGAGAACACAAAATGCAGTTTCTGGATTACGTCTTGTCCAGCTTTGACACTGTCTCTGCTGAAAATGACGTCGATCAATCCTTATTGCTGGATATAGAGAGACTTTTGAGTGACCAGATGGAATCGTTGACGGCTCCCAGGATAAACACACAAGAAGAGGCTACAGACAAAACTAAGACCATTAATGCGCTGCGGAAAGTGGAAATTGTTTTAGAAAAAGTCAAAATGGGTTTCAAGATGGGCAAATCTGAGCCTGAGAATAATGAGCAAGGTATTGGTTCTTTGATGTTATTGTTGGCATATCCCACAAATGGATCTAAACTATTTGTGTTTTTCAGTGTCAGATAAAAACAAAGAAATAAACAGTGACATTTTGGGCGTTCAAGGTGAAGCAGTTGAAATCCACACTGATACAGAAGGTAGAATATGTTCTTTTTTGTTTTAGCTGGGGTACCTAAGTAAGTAAGTATGTTTATTTGTATACCTAACACTGAAACCACAAAAATGTAACTATTTAATAACATACTGTAAATCTGGATAATTTCCTGTTCGCAAAACTGTCTGCTTCTATCACAAGTTATCTAATGAATGTATTTTCGGCTTTAGCGCTTAAAAAGTGACCAAAATGTCAAATATAACTCACAGAATGCAACAATAGCATGTTTTCTGAAATGATAAAGACAGCATGTTGTGGCCTGGTTTGTTCACCAAAAATAACAAACGACATGTGTCATTAATAATAATAATAATAAAGGTATCCCAGCTATAAACCCACTGTCCATAAAAATAATACATTGCATGTATCTTTTAAGGTGTGACAGGCCAGACGGTTGAAAATGCTCTGACACAAATCCATGCAGCGTTAAAAATCATCACCTGGATTACTGTGAAGGTAAGAGGGCTCATGATGTGTCACTATGAAGCTTAGATTAAGATTAACAGATGCTTTAGTTGTGCCACAGCGGGGAAATGTCACTGTTGCACCACCGGTTGCAGAACAGTAGGAATACGTTGCACACAAGATAAATGAACAATAACTCTATACTAAAAAAAAAGTAAAATATTCATCCCTTACTCTAGCATAACAAGAAACAGTATATAATCTCTATTTTTAGCATAATGGGCGACAGTAGCTCAGTTGGTAGAGCATTGGCCTTTGAGCCTGAAGGTCATGGGTTCGAGCCCACCGTAAGACCTACTTCACAACTCCCACTGATGTCAGCTGTCGTTGTGTCCTTGGGCAAGACACTTAACCCCACTTTGCCTGAAGCTCCCACTGAAAGATCTCAGCTCCTGTAAACTCACCACCTGCAGGAGGATCAGTGAGGGGCTGGTGCTATGTGGACTGGGTGGCATCTGGCCACCCCCCCCCCCCCCCCCCCCCCCCCGACCCAGACATGGATTAAGGGGAAGAAAATGGATGGATGGATGGATGGGTACAAAAACTCTGACTTTAGTATATTTAAGAAGTATAGAATCTCTACCTTTGGCAAAAGAAGAAGCAATTATAAAGTACTGTATATTCTAGTGCAAGAAATATGCAGTTGTACCTATACATCTGTTGTTTAGTTTATTGTAACTGTAGGATGTGTACCTCTTTAAGACATGCCACTACAAGTTATTGGCTGGGGACTTTTTCTACTCACTTGACAAGCAGGCTCCTTCATAACAACACAGACATTCCTTACTTAGGCTGAGTATATGATATTACCAGTACATGCTGTACTTGACAAGAGAAACACTGGGAAAACGTATTATGAGAGGGTGAATTGGTGTGTGCCTTCATGGATAAGAATGAATTTGAGTCGGTAAGTGATGACAGCAGATATAGACCAAATGCCAAATAATGTAGAAGTTAGGCAACCGACGCTATTAAAACGCCAAGTTAAAGATCTGTTGTATACACGTTTTATTATTTATTTATTTAAATTGTGGACATAACAATACTCCACATTATCCACATATTAATGTCTGACCCTGTAACAGACCATCATACATTTAAAAACAATGAAAAGGAGCAGAAAGAAGACAAACAATCTCAGGCAAAACAAGTTAAACCTTTACATCCTGTAATTAACAAGTTGTTGCTGTATGTATGAAAGAAAATCTCTGTAAAAACGACTGGTTGATCTATTTGACTATTCTACACCTGCTCAAGTTCTCAAATCGCTCCGTGGCAATGCTGCACAATTTTGACATGCGGACTGAACCACCTCAAACGCAGGGGTGTAAAACCAGAGCTTATCATGAGTATATTTAAGAACATATCAGTAAGTCACCGTGTTATTATATACAATTACTTGCAACCAAGCTTAAAATACTTGAGAATATTTATAAATAGAATATTGGTGAATTAGGTTGAAGTTATTGTAGATTTTGTAATCGACCACCCCTCCCACTTGTGCTCCGTTCTGCAGCGTCAGTGTTGTGAAAAAGGATGAAGTCGCCGCTTACCGGAGTTATGGCTTCAGCTTCATTATTTCACACACCATTATGATACAGAATTATACGATTTTTATAAGTATCGACCCGTGAGAAGTTGCAATTATGACTGATCTTCCAGCCGGTGATGAACTTGCCAACAAGGCGTCTGCGTTCCAGGCGACAGCTGAGGCTTACTACAGCATCGCGGTGCAGAAAGTCAAGGATGTATGTAGCATGTTGAATTTAGCATATGGCAGTACGGATTTATGTATTAATTTCATGTTTACTCGATTATTTTTGTATGTTTACACTGCTGGGTATATGTGTTTAGATGCTCTCTGCCATGTACATTCACAGCTGGTCTGCTAGCTATAATGCTACATGGTCAAGACTGCTATAGTAGTTATCCATAAGCCTATTTATGTTGTTTTACTGTTTAAATACGGGTTAATAATAGTTGTTTAGCTGTGCAACAACTGAGGGATTTTCTGTTTTTATCTGTCTTTTTAATGCTCTGTGATTATTTATGTATTCTAATGCCTTGTGTGACTGTTTCTATCTTGTTTTGTTCAGCACTTTGAGTTGTCTTGTGTAGAAAAGGAAGGTTTCTCGCCCATATTATGTACCTTCCTTCGCTTTGACTAATCCCTGTACGACTGAGAGCTTACACAAACTTGCCTTAGGTTGACTTGAGTTTATTTTATTCAGTGTCATGCACAAAGGTCCCAGCCCACATGAACCTATACTGAAATAACAACATCTGATGGCTACAGACCATATACTACTGTTTATGTTTACCATATGCATACACGACAAACTGAAAACCATTTGCAATAGACATGTCATACAGGCTTCAGCAACAAAAGAGGCAAAGGCAAAAACTTCATTGTGATACTTCCAGTTCATAATTTCACCCCCAAGCCACCGAAAGACCTCTGGGTTAGAAGCAATTACTCTTTCAAATAAGATGTTTCGATACTCAAAGTAAAATTGACAATACAAAACAAAATCAGGCTCATCCCCTACCACCCCCAGGTCACATACTGAACAGATACAGGCCTCTTCATGAACAGCTGTAGGAATCGTGCTATACAGATAAACAGTACCTTTTCTTGCCTATGCCTTACCTATACATACAACTTAATTGGGGGCATGTACTTTTCATTTTCTGTGTTTTATGTTGGTATGATTTTTAATTTAGGATAAAAGGAGTTCTTCTGCTCAGCTTTTCACATTTTGGGTGTTATTTAGTGAAACGTAGCACCCAACTCAGTGCTCACGTGAATTGTAATGAAATTTGAATCACTTAATTATTTGCCAAGGAACAATAGCTTCTTAGTGGGCAGCGTTACACTCTTGGATCCTGCTCCTGTGTAAACAAATGCTCCTTTTGTCCTGTGTTTTCAGGTTGTGTCTGCTCTGCCTGAAGACATAAGACCTGGGCCGGACCTTTATGGAGTACCATGGGAACCCGTTATTGTATCCGGCCTGGTGGGATTTCTCACAATGTTGTTTTTTGTCTGCAGATGTTATAGTTCCGTAAGTACTAGATCAAAATCTGCAACGCACAACAATATTTGTGACTTAAAACGGTGATTTTTATTTTTAACAGGTCAAAAGCAGATTATATCGAAGTAAGCTTGTCTTAACCCTTTTGTGGGATGATACTAGTATACATTCATTTAATATTTCTTAGGTTTTTACTTGTTATTTTCTCTCTTTTTATAGGTAGAGAACGGCAGATGGCTGAACAGGTTGCTCAGCTGCTAGATGAGAAATGCAAGGTTCTTGAGACCTTGAGTAAAGTTCAACAAGAGGTAGTTTCTAATTTATCTATTGGCTTGCATTTTGTTAGGTAAAATTAAAGTACCTTGCATTGCGCTTTCAGTATAATGGAATAGAGGACTCGCTCAGAGACAGTGGTGTCTTAGCCCAAACTCAAAAGACTATGCAGCTTGAGGTAAGGCCTTATATGTCTACAATGTCTCTTATGAAATACCTGCTTAAGTAGGAATTGAATAAAGCGGTAATTATAATGTCTATTTTTATTGAATTACTCTCTTCAGGTTAAAGCCCAACAGTTGGAAAGCACTAAAAGAGAGTTTGAGAAGGATCTTGGACAATTGAAAGAGCAGTTGGATCAGCAAAGTGAGCACAGACTACAACAAGAACAAAGGGTAATTTAAAAATGCTTTTCACTTTATTGAAACGCTTTTAGTTTGATCCTTTTCAGTGTCCATTTTTTTACGGTTTAATTAGTTTTATTCCTGATCTTTTAACCTTATTTTTTATGTGCTTGTCTGGTGCACACTGGGGATTTTTGCTGATGTAATCCAATGTGGTTTTACTGCAAGGGCAAAAAAAACAATGAATCTGAACCTTGCTGCATTCACTACTTGGATTGATTTAATATTGTTCTTATTGGTGACCTCTTCGTTGTGCAAAATGATTTACCGTGTGTTGTAATCCTCAGATAAAAGTCCTAGAAGAAAGCATTGAATCGTGTGTAGAGGAAACCAAATTGTTCCAGTCACAAGAGGAGCAGGTAATAACTGTGGTTTACTTTTTTTCATTTTTACCAACTGTATGTTTAGTTCATTTATGTCTTTTTTTTCCTTGTCATGCATGACATGGAAATAACAATTGCATCTGACTTTCCAGGCTCAAACCACTCTTAAAGTTTATAGTATGAATAGTGACAGACTCCAGAGGAACCTGGACACTGCTGGGGAGGAGAATGCTCTACTACTTGAGAACAACACACATGTAAGTCTGGTCCCTAAACAGGTCTAGTGTCTTATTAATGTCATGATGTAATTCTTTGTCTCCTCCTTAGTTGTCCCAACAGTTGGAAGATTGGGTAGAACGAGTCGGTGAATTGGAGCAAGAGATGAGACGGTGTGAACATTCCCACAGCGGAATGCTACAAGAGGTTGCCACGAAAGAGGAACGTATAATGGTATTTGTCTGACTTGAAAGTTTTATTTATTTATTTATTTGCTCATGTCATGTCAGGCCATTACACCATTTTTTTTAAATCCATACATGAACAAAAAGGAACAGAATGAAGATTAATCTTGTAATATCTGTTCCCATTAGCAAATTTACAAAATAAAATCAGAAATTCCCATCATTATACCCCAACTCATCACCAGGTCACAAAACATAACAAAACAGCTTGTCTTTTTGTTGTGTCTCAGTTGTTTTCAATTTTTTCGTAATCACTCAGAATTTTGTCTTTGTACATTTTTTTTTGAATTTGTAAACACTAGTACAACATTTAAATTCCACACTTAAAGAATTCCACAATTTGACTCCATAAACAGACGGACATTTCCGTTTCACCGATGTTCCTGCAAACATGTTCCGAAATTATATTTTCTTCTATGGGAAGCATAGAAGAAAAGTAGCTACTGAAAAGTGTTAGCCTGGTCGTACCACACCATAGTAGAAATATCATTCAGTACTAAGGTCTGGATTTGCTCCATTGAGCTCCGTCAACAGGTGGGAGGGGCTAACTCCTTTTGCAGATTGAAACGATTGGATCTGAGTTTACTGTGACATATTTAATGCACCTGAGTGAGTCGTTAGCATTTAGTCTAGCTTTAGCATTTAGCCTAGCCATCTCCTTTGCCGCTAACTGAGCCCGTGGGGAGTAGCGCCACAATCTTTGCCTACAATTACATTTGCTAAACATTCCTCTTGCGCCGGCTTGGATCAGTTTCTTGATAGAACCAGACCGGAATACTTTACTATCATATTCTTCGCCATTGCCGAACTCCAACCTGCCCGTTCGGCGCAAACTCTCCCGCGCTCATTGATTGGTTGGATGGAATTCGATTGATGTAATCGCAAACACAGGGACCAGACCCAGACGTTACATGCAGGAAATGATAATGACCGGAGTGTACGGATGGATAAGGCCAGGCTAGAGAAGTGTATGTATCGGAATAACGTTTGCCCATTTTGTGAATAGTCTTTGACAGATCGGCTGCTTCAAATGAAAGCATGGGATTCAGACCTCGAGGAGAAACAAGGAGCTGAGGGAGAAACTCTGAATGGATCTGCTGGTTCTAAAGAGTCCAATGGAAATGAAGATATAACAGACCCACAGCGACATCTCCAAAAAGTGCAAAAGCTAATTCATGCTGCTAAGGTGCGTACTTAGATTTTGTGTAATGGCCTGGATAGTTAAAACATTCCAACATTAAAAAAGCTGATTTAACCCAAGCTCTTTCTGATACTGCTTTAGTTGAATGCAGACCTCAAGTCCGTAGATGAAGACAAGGATCGGATTTTTGCTAAGTTAAATGATGAAGTAAAAGCCAGAGAAGATCTTCAAGGTGACTGACAATACATGTGTAGATATTGAGCTGGAAATTGAACTGAAACAAACTGTACACTTAATGTTCACATTCCCTGGCAGAAAGCATCACAGGTTTGGAAAGTGAGAAGTTATCGCTTCAGTCTGATGCTAAGCACTACTCAGAACAGGTAGTCCGCTCATTTACAATAATGTTTATTCCATTTTTAGATTTATGATGACTAATCTTAATCAATGTTATCCTAAGGTGCAACTACTGCAACAGAAGCTTCAGATTATGACAGAAATGTATCAGGAAAATGAACTCAAGCTGCACAGGTAACTTCACACAATAATAACAACATAAATAGATAGATACTTTATTGATCCCCGTTGGAGAAATTCAGGTGTCCAGTAGAAGCAAAAATAAAATTGATCATTCTAAAAAGATAACAATAATAAGCAACAGCAGCAGAGGTGGAGTAGCCTCTGGGTGGAGGACGGGTCAAAAGGTGGAGTAGCCGCTTGTTTTGGACCATTTTCTCTGCTCTGGTCCAAAGTAAAATGCTTCATTAGCATTTTTCAAAAAGTTAGCATTCTTCCAGTGGATTTTCATCTGATCCACTTGGTTCAAACCATGAATCCTCTCTGCTCTGGTCTGGACCAGTGTAAAACCATGAACACTACTGCAGCAACATCTCAGGCAGAAAAAAGCAATAAAAATAAAAATTGTAAATCACAAAACAACAGTTTCAGAGACAGTTAGGACCTGCAGCCGTTTCCCAGCGCATCTTTACAACAAAATGAATCATTGACCGACACTTGTCTTTTTAGATTGCTGACCGCTGAGGAAAAGGAGCGTCTGCAGAAGGAAGAGAAGCTGACCAAAGCTGATAAAAATATAGCAATGGCGATGGAAGAACTTGATAATTATCGGTAAAACATCTCTCACTGGTAAAATACTGTTGGTCAGAGACTAAAGGGCCTTCATATAAAAACTTCCTTTGTAGACAACGGGCAGATGATATGGAGGAGGAGCTTGACAAAACAAAACAGTCGTACCAGACTCAAATATCATCACATGAGAAGAAGGCTCACAATAACTGGGTAAGATCCATCTCTGTTTGCACTACTTTAATATAAATACTGTAATAAATGAAACGCACATGTTGAAAGTGAGGCAGGCACCGGTTAGAACTCTTTCAGCGACTGGTGAGACTTCTGGCAAACTGACCCACCGGTGGTTATGATTAATATAAAGATTTCTTCTCATGCAAGTGGAAAATCATAACGTGCTTTTGTAGTTATTGACATTGCCTTTAAATTAAATCTGTTGTTTTTAATGTTTCAGCTGGCAGCTCGATCAGCAGAAAGAGAACTGGCAGAAATCAGAAGAGAGAACGCCCTTCTCAGACAGAAGTATTTGATTTTTTTGTATTCATATTTTATCCTTTATTTTTTATTTTTTAAATGTTATGATCTTTATTTCACAGGCTTACAGACACACAATTCAAATTGGAAGCCATTGAAAAGGATCCATATGCTTTGGATAGTCTGGCCAGACCAATGCCTTTTATGGCAGGTATGCTGTGTTCTGATGTATGAACCTTTGGCGTAGGTTTGCTCCGGGTGCTCTGGTTTTTGTAAAATCAGTCTGGGATGCGACCCCAGCTTCTATTACTGTGTGGAGAGGACAAATGGCCACTATTGTAAAGTGTAATATGTGTTATAAATATAAATGCAGATTACGTACTAGTGCTAATAAGTCATAGTTAGGATCTTGATTATTGTGCCTTGTACTTTATCAGCCGACCGATCTCCCCATGGGCCGTCTCCACTTGGCAGACCAGCTTCTGAAACAAGACCCTTTCTTTCTCCTCCAACATTGATGGATGGACCACCCAATAGATTATCTCCAAGAGGTGACTTCTATGAATGTATATATCACCTCAAACGTGCACTCAGCATGCACCTCGCCAAGGGTCGTAGACTGGATAGGGGTCTCATACCATCTCCCTGCCCAGTACAGTGCACAATCCTGCCCAGGTCTGATGGGCCGATACAGACACGGGCAATCACATTATCCCTTGGCAGGGTGTAAAGAATGCTGGTCATATGGTGCATGATTTACATTATTTTAAGTTTAATGGTGATGGCATGCATTGATTGATTGTTTGAGTGAGTTTTCATGCTCATTAGCTAGAGCCACTTTTATCAAAAGGATTATGTTTGCTGACACAGTGAGCTTGAGATGGAATAAGAAAGCCTGGTGCTGATTCAGGAGGGAGGGAACTTGAAGAGAACAGTGACAAACTGTGATTTGATTAAAATAGATTCATAGACTTATAGGTGTGAGCAGAAGGTGACTCATGAATTATGCGAATCACAAACTTCAGTATCAATATTCACTTTATTTATTTGATCTACCTTGTTCCTCTTCAATCCTTGCCCCCTCTGCCTTAGTGATGCATGGACCATTAGAGCCTTCACTTGGACCGGGGGAGTCAGAGCGTCCTAGAGGTCCTCATTCTGACAGTGGGTCACTCTCCCCGATATGGGAGAGAGATCGTAGGGGGCCCATGCCAGGTCCCCTGCTTGGGCCAATGGCCCCACCTGGTAGGTGCTAGAAATACTATACCTACATCATCATTGTGATCTTGAAGATGTTTGTTGTCAAGAATGTGTGGTGAATTACTACAAAGATGTACTGTATATCATTGTCAGACCATACTCCGGTTCACAAGTTCTCTAAACCAGAATCATGGTCTTAGTGACATTAGAAGTTCATGAGTACAACGCAGTGGCATGTTTTGCATTGCACATCTACTGCATTTGGAATCACCTCAGGGAGCAGGTTTGATCAATATTATCATAATTTTTATAAATTTCCTTTTTGTAGGTTATATTTTTCCTGAACAAGGAATGCCCATGTATAGAAGGCCTCCAGGACCGATGGTTCTCCCACCCAGGAATAACAGACCTCCAGGACCACCTACTGACATGGCCGGTCAGTGCAATTTGTATTCTACTACAAATAAGGCTGATTTTAAAACGTATATTGTGTTGTAGATGGAGCTTATAGAGAAAACAGCTTCGGACCTGGTGAACATGACCAAAGAGAGGTAATCTACGCCATGTTTTTTTAAATCTAATTGTATTTGATAAGTTTAACACATGACTTGTATACAGGCAGTTCTTGGTGAAAGAACGACTCCCCCAGGATCAGATGTTCGGATGGGAGGCATGCCACCTCCAGGGCCCATGATGGGGCCAATGGATGGTCCCTTTCCTCGTAGAGGCCCATATGGTCCTCTACCTCCTGATTATTACCTGCCAAGGCTGCCAGGAGGGGGCCCTATGGGCCCTATGGGCCCTGGGCCAGGTGAGCCATTGACAGTATATGCTTTCTAACACTGGGATTGTCTAGGATTATGACTGACTAAAAATACCACTGAAATGACTGATCATCACTTTAGTTTTGTTAGGGCTTATTAACAGTTGTAAATGTCATGTTATCTCAAACTGTTCAAGGACAAAGCCATGTTTTTGATCTTAATGTCATGGTTAATGTCATTACTGGTTCATCCCATATCTGGGGTTTATAATACAACTATTATCTTCTTGGTTCTTTTCAGTGTGGGTACCTCCACGGCCTGGGATGATGTACCCTCCTCGTTTCCCTCCAGGTGGAGCACCTCCACCTCACATGGGTCCGTACAGCGGCCCTCCTATGCGGCCCCATGTACCTGATGGCCATCCTCCTCCATCAGCAGCTCCCTCTCAGCCCCCGGCTCCGGTGCAAAGGCAGTCCTCAGAAGAACACAGGCAATCGCCTCAAGATGTCATTTGATTTGGACCAGGACCTAGATTCTCTGCATTAACGGAATACATACATGTACGCAATACTTCTTGGAGTAACTTATTCGTAATAGTTTTATTTTGGTGGTATTCTGAAGTTATTTTTCAAAAATGTAAGGAATACATGTTATTTCGACATGTACAAGTGAAACTCTGAAAATGTTTGTTTTGCGCTAAAGTTTTATTTTTGTAATTGAACCTAAAATGTTAAACCAATGTTTGGTATAGACTCATGACGTGTAAAGTGATACATGTGGAGCCTTTGTTGTAATGATTAAGGCAGTCAATTTTCAATATTCCAATTTTATTGTAGTTTTACAAGCTGTGAGTCAAAAATATCAACATTTTTAATAACGGCCCGATAAGATTTATTACACGCGAAGTGAAAGTTTCACATGGTATGTTGAACAATGTGCTAATTTTCTGAGTTTCACTTCTAATTGCAATAGGATGTTATATAAAACTAATGAAATCTCCTTTAATGATGTAAGAGAAAACTTAAAGAATTCTCCAACACTTGATACTTCAGAAAATAGACATTTAAGCCTTTAACATTTTACAGACTTGAGTTTGCCTTAAACAGTGGAAACTGGTCATGTTTGTTTCTTACTGGATCAAATTTCTTTAAAACAAACTTTTTTTTGTAAATAAAATTTTAAATTATAAAAGGTAAGAAAAAGCCTCAATTTCATTCTTTATTCTGAAATATAAAAAACCAAATCTTTAAAGGGGAAAGGTTCCGTTCTCTTCCCCCAAAATATGAAGAGGCACATTCTGCATGTTCTTTAACCATTAAGTCTGAATTTTTGGAAACGTTGGAAAAACCATTTATGAAAATGTGTTTGAAGCAAATACAGGTGGAGAACGCAGATTTACAATAACAATGAATACAAAGGAGGAGGAGGGGTTTATTTAGTGTAAAAAAGGATTCGTATACTCAAGACTTAAACATTTTTTATAAAATCCCATTTGCCAAGTCGCAGAATGAATGGAAGATTTGATGCAGATCAGAGGTAGATAGTAATAATACTTAGTGACTGGCATCATTCTGAGAATATTAACATTTTTAAAAGTTTCATCTGAAAACCTGATTGTAAAAGATGAAATATTTTTTTAAATACGGTGTTTGTTACTTCAGTAGGTAAACTTTCCAAAACCAGCACAACAACAAACCCAAGCACGTTATACTCAATTTAAGTGAGAAACATAAAAAAACAATGTACAATAACAAAAAAGTCATTAAAAATATATACAGTTAAATCACAAGATCTTTTCATCTGAGAAATACTTTGCTTCTTAAAATTCCCATTTGTACTTTACATTTGACTTTCAGTAGATTGCTATTGGTCAAATAATATAATTACAAACAGCAGCTTTAATGCACAGGGACACTTGTAGCTGCCCCAGTCACAGATCTCCGTAGCCGCTGACCGCTTTGCTTCAGCAGTTGAGTATAGATCTGCTTCTTTCTTGTCTTAATGGAAACACACAACTGTCATGGTCAGTCTTTCCTCTGTGGGGCCCGAGCGTGGCCACAGCCTGATCAACAACGCACGTTTAGGAACATAAACACAGCAATATAAAAAACAAAGTAAAAACCCATTGCGTGTACCTTTCTGATAGCCGTCCAGTCCTCCAGAATGTCCAAATCGGGGAGCATGTAGACTATATATGGACGTGAGCAGGTTAAGAAAAACAAAACACTCAGTAAAACATTCATTTAAACATTCAAACCACTGAAACAAGGATATCCGACACCACTGAAGGCCGCCTCCTCTTCTTGTCTGGACTCAATGCATCTAGTCTCTTTTTCCTTCCAGACAATTCGTCGTTCCAAAGTTCTGGGAAAACATAAAATAAAAATTGTAGGCTAAATTGTAGTGTCCTTTTAATGATGGTGTGTACTCTATAACTGCAAACTTAACCTGCTGAGGGTGCAATGTCCCCGTCAAGTAAGTAAATAAATAAGGCTTCTACTATTCAACCTTACCATCAGGTATCTGTCTGGCACAATACACTTCCAAATGTACTGTACCTGATGTGATGTCTATGCTCTGTCTGTCTTCTTCAAGTCGTCTAATTTTTTCTTCCAGCTCATTTTGCACAGTATCAAACAGGAGCATTTTCTCACTCTTGGTATGGAAAAAACCCCAAAACAAATCATCAGTATGTATTTAAATAAACTTAGGTTAGTCCTTGATTCTTTGTAAACTTGTAATTTACCTCCCAGTGCTGGCTTGCTGCTTGGATCTCGCATTCATATTTGTTTTTCACTGATTCAAGACATAGCTCTTTGTAGATACCTTTAAAATTCCATAGCGACAAAAAGTGTTGATAGAAACGTATGCTCCAAACAAATATTGCAATTTTAACATCAAATTACCTGCTACTTTTGTACGGACTTGCATGTTTTCAAGCAACACAGCGAGAGGCTCTAGGTATTCTGATGCCTTTCCAGCTTGTACCTCTGAAAGTTTGCCATTTACCTGGCTTAATCTCTCTCGATACAACCTGCAGAGAACATTTATGAACGTCACATTTTTAAGATATTTGTTTGTGATAATTTTGAGTCTTACTGATCCTTGAGATCTGTAAATTGTTTCTCCAAAGTTGTCATTTCATCTAAGCACTCCATCCGCCTTCGCTCACAGTCCTCTTCATCCATTTCTGAAAGAATTATTAAGTAAAATCCAACCAGTGATTTCGGTCTTTCAGTATGAATAGATGGACACATGATGTTAATAGTTTTACCAGAGCTATCACCATCTTCAGAGACGGAGGAAGTGTCAGAATCCTCCTCATCAGAGCTGGATGCATCATGATCATGATCCTCGACTTCCATCTCTTCTGTTGTGTTTTCCTTCTTTTCTCGATCACGATGGACAGGCATAGCACCTGCCAAAATGTGTTTGTTATCCAATGGTCAAAGATTATTCAACGTAATTGATTAACCGAAGTCTCCTTTAGGTTTTGACATTATATAGCCAAATAAAATCATCCATCTCGAGTATTATTATTTGAATTAATTTTTATACATAGCTGTTATACCACCAATTGGAGGACATTTAATGAATGTGAAACAGGTAAAAGGAGAGAAAACACTGGCGCCCAGAGCGTGCTACACGTCAAGCTATAATGGCATTTTCTTCTCGTTGATCTGTGACTATTTAGTTTCTTAACACATTACTAATTGCGAAAGTTTGTTTTAAGATCGGAAAACCCACCTCAATTCCTTCCTGACGATTTTCAAAGAGGCGCAACACCAAACAAACAACTTGCTTGTGCTAAAAACAAACCTCGGCGCTCTTCCTGGCTACGGAAGTGTAGTTTTATGGACCTGTAGTTCTATGGCCCTGTAATTCTTGGGAAGTGTAGTTTTTTGACACATGAGGAGAACGAGTGCGGGCGTCTCTTAAACTACGTTACCCAGAATACCACACGATGTGTTTGTTTAGTTAACAAAGTGAACATTTTGAAGTATTATCTGGTAAATAAACCAATTTCAATGAAAACATGCCCAGTAGAATATAAAGAAGGTAGTGACAGGTGCATGATGGGGACGGAGCGCTATAGTTGGATATTTCTGTTATCTATTACTTTGTTTTCCCTACTTCCTTCGCCATGATGCTAAGCTAGCAACAAAGCTAAGCTAGCAGCAGAGCTAAGCTAGCAGCAGAGCTAAGCTAGCAACAAAGCTAAGCTAGCAGCAGAGCTAAGCTAGCAGCAGAGCTAAGCTAGCAGCAGAGCTAAGCTAGCAACAAAGCTAAGCTAGCAGCAGAGCTAAGCTAGCAGCAGAGCTAAGCTAGCAGCAGAGCTAAGCTAGCAGCAGAGCTAAGCTAGCAGCAGAGCTAAGCTAGCAACAAAGCTAAGCTAGCAGCAGAGCTAAGCTAGCAGCAGAGCTAAGCTCTTCTCTCAGTCTTCTGCGGAATGTTCAGAGAGCGGCTGCAATGGATGGATGCTTGACCACCCCGCAACGTTTATGGCTAGAATAGATGAAATATTGCACAAAATGATCTTGATTCGACAAATATATTTCCATAGACATAACGTGGCTGTGGAAAACGACCTTTTAAAAGCGATGCGTTAATATATTCTCTCAAGAATTTAGGTGAAACAGTTTTAAGAGGCTACGATCTGCTAGATCTGCTAGATCTGCTAGATCTGCTAGATCTGCTAGATCTGCTAGATCTGCTAGATCTGCTAGCCCCTACTGACCACCAGGGACCTCTGCCTCAGGCATGTTTTCCAAAAAGCCTCATGGAGATGTCAAAAAATCTACACAGAAAGTGTTGGATTCAAAGAAGGACGTGTTAACAAGACTGAAGCATCTAAGGATTGTTATTGGTAAGTTACAGATCTTTGACAGCTAACACTGACAGCTTGACTAAACACACTACACAGATATAGCACAGAGTTTCCTCTGTACTTTATCTTTGTAGTTATTTGCTCATGTAAAGTTTAATTCAGTTGTAATCATGAATCACAGTATTTCTGATGGACATTGGCACCGCCCATTCAGTGTTTGGATTGATGTTGTGTTGTATATTCTTGTTATACATCTAATACTGTCCAATTCATCTTCACTTTTATCAAAAATGTCTAAGTTGTGGATATGTTAGTAAAATATACAGCTATGGGTGAATGTTGTCACGTCATCTTTTGTAGTATCGCTCATTTTAATTCAATTGAGGGTGTGTCTTTTTAATTACTCCTAAAACCTGACATTGTGATGTATTCCTACAAGTAATATTAAAAAGTTAAACATACAGCACTAGTATCAACTGAGACGATACATAAGAAATCACTGAAGTTAGATTAAAAAACTCTCTTCGTCTCATAGTTAGTAACTTTCAGTGATCATTCAAAACAAAACAGATCGACTTTATTTAGAGAAAAATATTGTTTCACATGAATACACATAACACTATGACTCTGGGGTTTACATTACAACATTTACAGTTACACAACAGTTGAGGTGTTGCTGAATGTTGTGCTCAGACAAACACAGTGGGTTGATCCAGACAATTGGGGTGATGATACATACCCAACTGAATGTAGAGGGAACACACATTTCCACTAATCCTAATAAATCTTTGCCCATTATTTAATACGCTGTCTCCTTTTACCAAAAATATTTAAAAAAATAAACTAAAATTGGTTATCTGTATTGATATTTATCTAAAAATATATATTGTTAGCCCACCCCTCCGGCCAATGTGGTGTCACTGTACAACAACAGGAATTTAAAACTAGAAACCGTTGCAATGGCTGAAGCCATTGCGATTGACTGCGGAACAGATCTAATGTGGAATTTAGCTGAAAAATCCTTGAAATCCTTGAAACTGTTAAAATACTTTAAACATCTTTGAAACTCCTGAAGTATTTGAAGCTCCTGATATCCTTTAAACTGTTATCCTTTATACTGGTTTTCATGTAAAAACCCCTATTAAGTTCCATTATACTGGTTTACATGTAAAAACCCCTATTAAGTTGCATTATACTGGTTTACATGTAAAAAACCCTATTAAGTTGCATTATACTGGTTTACATGGAAAAATCCCTATTAAGTTGCATTATACTGGTTTACATGTAAAAAACCCTATTAAGTTGCATTATACTGGTTTACATGGAAAAATCCCTATTAAGTTGCATTATACTGGTTTACATGTAAAAAATCCCTATTAAGTTGCATTATACTGGTTTACATGTAAAAACCCCTATTAAGTTCCATTATACTGGTTTACATGTAAAAACCCCTATTAAGTTGCATAATACTGGTTTACATGGAAAAATCCCCATTAAGTTGCATTATACTGGTTTACATGGAAAAATCCCTATTAAGTTGCATTATACTGGTTTACATGGAAAAATCCCTATTAAGTTGCATAATACTGGTTTACATGGAAAAATCCCCATTAAGTTGCATTATACTGGTTTACATGGAAAAATCCCCATTAAGTTGCATTATACTGGTTTACATGGAAAAATCCCTATTAAGTTGCATTGTACTGGTTTACATGGAAAAAACCCTATTAAGTTGCATTATACTGGTTTACATGGAAAAAACCCTATTAAGTTGCATTATACTGGTTTACATGTAAAAACCCCTATTAAGTTGCATTATACTGGTTTACATGGAAAAAACCCTATTAAGTTGCATTATACTGAGGTTGTAGTTTAACCGCTATGAACTTTTATTGTGTTGAGTGGAAGTCGTTACATTAAACCTCTTACTTTTCACGTTTCAGATGCAACTTATACAAAACATTATACTGGTAAAGGGACTCAACTGAAACTACTGTAACAATAGGAAAAAGTCAGATGTGTGTAATGCAATTCCAGGTAGAATGACAGCTCTGGAGTAGCTAACATGAACACATCAGACCACAACATGCCTTCTTTATCTTTATTTATAAAACTCATTGGCTGAGTGTCAGCTGGCTGAAATAGCTGACATAATGATTCAGATTCAGATTCATTTATTTGCCATTTGCAGTAAAACCACATAGGAAAAACTGTGCAAGACTACCCCAGTGTGCACCAGACGACACACACCAGAGCTCTTGCCAGATGTGACAGTGTGCATGGTTTTATTACATACTTTCTTTCTTTGTAAGTTAAATACTCCCACTTTCATTTTATTTTATTAGTATTATCACCTGTAGCTGAACACCATGTCATTGAATTACTCTTGGTTAATGATATATTTAGAAGAGACTACAGTGGAGAGGATTCTAGGAACTTTCCATCCAGCACATTTTCTGTTACAGCCCAAGAACTGCTACCTGAGACAGAAGAACTTGTCATTTTCTATATTATTAGAACAAAATAAACACACACACACAGGTCCAGGGCAGAAACCAAAACAACAGTAAAAAAATAAAAAATTAAAAGTATTTCAAAGAATTTGTGATGAGCTGTTCTGACGTACTGAACCTAGCCTGCGAGTACTGATCCTCAAGACCAAAACATTGTACATAATCCATATGTGGCCCACGGCTTCCTGCACAGTGTGTTGTGTATTTCATGTGTCACCTCTGTTTCTGTATCTCTGCAGACTGTCCACCCTTTAAATCTATTTTAGTCTTTTTTCCATTCTGTGACCCCTGGGAGTCATGTACGAGAAATGAATTGTGTATGGACGCAAATGGTAAATACATATTTTTCTTGAAATGTTGAAATCGAGATGTTTTTTTCTCTCCCTCACTTTACAGAAAATGCAGAAGCCTCAGATCTGAAGCATTTCTTTGATGTCAACTACTCTCACATCTACTATGTGTTCTTTGAAAACTTTGTCACCTTAGAAGTTAGCCTAAAACAAAAAGGTTAGTTTCACGCTCCAAATCTCAAAAGTTGAAATATTCGCCCGCATTTCCTAAAGTGTATTTGTTTGTTTCAGGTCACAAGTCACAGAGGGAGGAGCTAGACTCTATTCTTTTCATCTTTGAGGTAATTAGCTACTGTACATTGTACTGAGATGTGTTTTATTGACTCAATGTCATAATTTAGTATGTTTTATTGATAGTCTGTCCTCGCATTCGAGAAAGTGGCTTTTTAACCTAAGGCCGGCGCTTTGAGCTCGCCTCAATTATTTACAATGAGAGGACCCCACCGGGTCACACCTCATTAGAAACTTGAATCTGGACACAGCACTGCAGCTGAAAAAACTTTTTTGCACTGTGTAGAGAAACACTTCTTCTGCTGAATTATCTTGAGGAAAACTAAACTCACTACAAGCAGCTCAAGCGAGTGCCTTCGTGAACTGAATATTTAAATTCAGATGATTTTTCTGCGCTCTTGGCTCTACTTTGCTTTCCTTTCATACATTTCTCATTTCTATATTCATAATTATATTTTACAGAAAATCCTTCAACTCCTTCCTGAAAGAATCCAGAATAGATGGCAGTTTCACAGCACTGGTAATTATTGTACTATTATTATTATTATTGTTTTCATTTTAACAGTTATTATAAATCCTGCCTTGTCTTGTAGGACTCATTCTCAAAAAACTATTGCACACTGGGAACTCTCTGAAGGTACAGTACAGATTCATATAAAACCACAAATGTATAAGTGGTTATTTTCTGACTTGTAAAATGTCTCCATATTGTCTGTCTGATGTAGATCCGCCGTGAGGGTGTGCGGCTGTTTCTGTTATGGATGCAGGCTTTACAGAGCAATGCGGAGCGAGAGCAGCTCTGCATGTTTGCCTGTTTGATTCCTGGTTTTCCAGCTCCACTCCTTCAGGGGACGCCGCGCACGCTGGACACTTTGATTAACCCTCCTTTGAGCTTGACAGAGAGTTAGTGAATTTACAGTTATATTTTATGTCTAATATTAGTTTTTCAAAGTGAAAAAAGAATTTTTGCTTTTTTCTGCAGCTCAAGTGACACCTGAAGAAATAACTCCGTTGGTTCCTCCGCAGTCGGGTGATAAGAACCACGAGGATCTCACTGCTTATTTTTTAGAGGCTCTGCTCAAATACATGGTAAACCAGGTATTGCACTTTTCTAACTAACACCACTAATGGCACTAATGGGAGAACCAGGTACTGTCTGTTTATCATTTGCTGTGCAACAATCTTTTCACTAGCTTCTGCTGAAGTAACACTTCACTGACAAACTGGCATTTGACTCTGACAGCTCTGGCATTTCCCTGAGATAGCATGCGCATGGAAGCATTCAGACAGACCGCTAACACATTCTGGATTCATACAATGGCGCTCTTCTCCACTTGACACAATTGTGTGTGTTCCTCTTTATGTAACTGGAGTTTGTTTTTTGCCAGGCCAAATCGCTTGAGTGGAGAAGTAAGGAGAACCATGAGCGCGGTTTCAGCTTTCTCTTTGGACACTTCAGAAAGTTTTACCTCCCTCATATCTTCCCTAACTTCGCCACAGAGACCACTCTTTACAACCCTTTACTTGGTACATAACATGGCTTCATTCATTTGCATCGCAGAGACTGTTAATATGAAATACTCTTTGTGGTGATGTATAAATGTCTTCCCGCTGCAGACGTGCCCCCCATGCGCCCCAAGCCTTATTACAGTGTAGTGCGCAAAGAGCAAGATGGGGGCGAGACCATCTACTGCACAAAGGAGAGCTTCCTCCAGGCCAGAGTCATCTTCATTCGTTGGTTGGTTTCATTTTGGCTTGAACCTCGACCCAACATCCAGACACAAATACCAGGAACAGAAGGAGAGCATGTCCCCAAGAATATTCAAGTAACAAAGCCTAATTTTCTAGAAACATGGTTGATTTTAGAAACTCAAACAAACATTATATTTCTTTCCTCAAAGCGAGCTGCTGCTGGATTAGCCGCCCGCTCTGCAGTCAGCTCGGATGAGAGCGGTGGATGTGGAATTCGATCTGATCAGCTGGAAGTGAGTGGAACCTCTTTGGGACCTGGATTCGCCCGAGGGGAGATCATGGGTGCGGGACTTGGGGCTGAACCTGAACACAGCCACTCCAACACATCAACACTGACAGAAAGAGAACCAAGCTCCTCCTCTCTGTGCTCCATGGATGAGGAGCAGTTAACGGACATGGAGGTGGTGAGGAGAGTGCTGACGAGCTCCCGAACAAATGTCAATTTCATTACAGAAATTTTCAGACAAGTAATGCCTATATTTTGTTATTAATACTATTTTCGATTCTAATTTTCTCACTCACAGCTGATATTTTCCCCTTCCGATATTCAGGCTTTTCTCCTCCCTATGTGTGAAGCTGCAGCTATGCGTAAAGTTGTGCGTGTTTACCAGGAGTGGATTTCCATGGAGGACAAGCCAGTGTTTATGAAAGATCCGGACGAGGGCCCCTATCCCACAGATCATGACTCAAGAGAAAATGAAGAGGAGGTAGACTTCTGAATGAAATGGCTTGCATGTGTTGTGTTTGATTGATTTGTTTATTGATATAACTCACAATACAATACCATACCATACGGCACGGTGGCTGAGTGGTAAGCACTCTCGCCTCTCAGCAAGAAGCTCCTGGGTTCGAATCCCGTTCGGACCAGGGCCTTTCTGAGTGGAGTTTGCATGTTCTCCCCGTGTCTGCGTAGGTTTCCTCTGGGTACTCTGGTTTCCCCTACCACTAAAAATATGCTCACTAGGTAAAATCCTCCAGCTCCGGTAGTCCTGACCAAGCCGGGCATTAACACCTGGAGATGGGTCCCCGGGCGCTGTTACTACGGCGACCACTGCTCCTGACGTAAGCCTTAGTGGCATCAGGATGGGTCAAATGCAGAGGACAAATTTCCCTACCGGGACAATAAAGTGCACATTTACATTTACATTTACCATACAATACCATACCATACAATACCATACTATACCATACTATACAATCCCATACAATTTATTCTTCTATTGCCCTAAATCACAGCAGCATCATCTCAGAGCCTTAACAAAACCATTGAAATCACCAACACAGATCAGAGAATCAACAATTAAGACACAAAAATAGAATATAGAACACATGTTGATAAATGTCATACATGTTCTAGAACAGTGTTTTTCAACCACTGTGCCGCGGCACACTAGTGTGCCGTATGATATTGTCTGGTGTGCCGTGAGAAATTCGTCTACTTTGTCTAAAAATAGCTGCATTCGCTGTTGACGAGCGGTGACTTGTTTTGAACTGTGAGTAACCATGTAATACTTTTTCAAATCAGTAGATGGCAGCAGATAGCTAAGTACTTTGAAACTGAAAAATTGGATGCGACCACTGGCTGTAACAGGTCAGCATTGTGGCGAGAAAGGTAAAATTGGATGCGACCAACAAATGTGTGAGGGAGCGAGACAAGAGCTTTGTGGCGAGTGAGAAGTGAAAGTGATAGAGACGTTTTTGAAAATGAATTATGCCGTTTCTGAACAGGATTAACATCCTCCGCTCTGCCCCGGGGCAGCTGTGGCCGCGTTGTAGTGGTTTAACTATGAAATGTACAATTTTTGTACAACAGCTCTCGCGAACGCATTTCTGAACTGGGTACCGAGCGCAGACCATAGTCGAGTGGACAGAACCACAGACATGCGGACCGGACAGAACCATGGACTCGCGCTCAGGACCTCCCGTGTCCCTCATCCAAAACTCCTGAATTTAAAGCTCGGATACCAAAATGTTTCCCATGCACTAACAATGCATGTTCTTTGTGTGAGTTATTATTTGACTATTTGGGCAGAGAGTGGATTTTCTTAGTTTTTTTCCACACAGTTAGTGCCACTTTATTCCCAAACTCTTGTTAATTGTATCGAGAAATATTAAATAAAGCTTAATTTCAAGGCCTGGACTTAAGCATTTTGATGAGAATAACTGTATATTGTGAATATAGGCTACAGAGTATACTGTATACATTATAAGATAAGATATACTTTATATATCACACAGAGTATGTACAGTATATATTTTTTTACATTAGTACTGTATACATTTTTACATTTTCTCCTGGAGGTGTGCCGCAAGATTTTTTCAGTGAAAAAAGTGTGCCTTGGCTCAAAAAAGGTTGAAAAACACTGTTCTAGAATGTTAAAATGTCCTGGATCATCATGATGTGTTTTAACTTATCTTGAAGGGAAACAAAGATGTGGACAGTGAATTGTTGGAGTATAGTGTTCATGCCGGGATCCAAACCACCCTACAGGTAATAGTTATGGTAAAGAGAGTAAGCTGGAAAGCCTTTTACTCATTTGATCTATTCTTTGATCTTGTTTTACCAGGTGTTTATAACTCACTCATCCAACGTGTTCCTCCTGGAGCCAGCTAACGACATTAAGATCCTACTGGAGGAACACGTGGACATGTGCAAACGAGTGCTAAACATTTACCGCAGTCTTGTCATGCACGAAACCATGGACCAGAAAACATGGTATTTTCCATCAGGAACTTTGATAAGTATCGCTATGTTTTCCAATCGTTTTAATTCCATTTGTTGTCTCCAGGGAACAAATACTGCTGGTTTTGCTGAGGGTAACGGAGTCTGTGATGAAAAGGCCTCCGTCCATTATGCCTCAAGGCAAAAAGAATAACATACTTTCAGGAAGATTGGCAGGACCAATATTTCAGGTGCATTTTGATTATTTTTATCCATCCATCCATCCATTTTCTTCCCCTTAATCCACTTCTGGGTCGGGGGGGTGGCCAGATGCCACCCAGTACACAGAGCACCAGCCCCTCACTGATCCTCCTGCAGGTGGTGAGTCCACAGGAGCTGAGATCTTTCAGTGGGGGCTTCAGGCAAAGTGGGATTAAGTGTCTTGCCTAAGGACACAACGACCGCAGTCATCAGTGGGAGTCGTGAAGTAGGTCTTACGGTGGGCTTGAACCCACGACCTTCAGGCTCAAAGGCCAATGCTCTACCAACTGAGCTACTGTCGCCCCATTATTTTTATATTCTTTTTACTTCAGATTCATTTATTTGCCATTTGCAGCAAAACCACATTGGAATACAAGACTATACTATACATTGTTACTGAGATTTGTTTGATCTGTGTTGTGTCTTGTAGACCCTGATTGTGGCTTGGATTAAGGGGAATCTAAACGTGTACATAAGCAGAGATCTGTGGGATGATCTTCTCTCTGTGCTGTCTACTCTGACCTGCTGGGAGGAGCTTGTCACTGAGTGGGCCCTCACCATGGAGACCCTCACAAAGGTACCACCAGAGCCTATTTCTACACACTTGACACACATTTTAGTTAACAATCTCCTTATATACATCTTCTCTTTGACTAGATAACATACAAGTACAAAGATAGAAATGTAAGACAAACCCTCATCCAATGTGTTTTTCCAGGTGTTGGCCAGAAACTTGTACAGTCTAGATCTAAATGAATTGCCTTTGGACAAACTGAGTGAACAAAAGCAGAAGAAGCATAAAGGAAAAGGTCAGTTAACTCATTATGTACGTATACTAGGTGTACTTCTAGCCTGGTTGTTCCACACCATAGTACATATTACATTTAAAACTACGGTCTGAGGGCGCTCCATTGACTCCTTTAAAAGATGGGAGGGGTTAACTCCTTTTGCAGATTGAAACGATTGGATCTGAGTTTACCATGATGTTTGTAATGTGCCCGAGTGAGTCCTTAGCATTTAGCATTTAGCCTATCCACCTTTTTTTCCGCCAACGGAGCCCGTGGGGAGTAGCGCCACAATCTTGACCAGCGATTACATTTGCTAAACATTCCTCTTGCTCCGGCTTCAATTTCTTGATGGAACTAGACCGGATTACTTTGCTCTCGCGTTCTTCTTCATTGCCAAGTTGCAACCTGCCAGTTCGGCGCAAACTCTTGACGTCCCCCACATCTAACTACAACACCCGCCTCCCGCGCTCTCTGATTGGTCGGATGGAATTCAACCGATTGTAATCGCTTACACAGAGACCAGACCCAGACGTTACATGCAGGAAATGATGATTGACCGGAGTGTACGGATGGATAAGGCCAGGCTAGGTGTACTTCTAATAAAGCAACTTGAATTACCACCGCTGCCTATACTTTCATTCATTTTGGGTTTTTTCACCACTTCACCACAGGTATTAGTGCAGAGACCCAACGACAGATTGTAGATCGGTCTTTCTCTAAAGGTTGGAGCCGAGATCAACCAGGTCAAGCTATAGCCATGAGACAAAGGAGTGCCACCACTGCTGGCTCACCTGGCATCGAAAAGGCCCGCAGTATTGTTCGTCAGAAGACTGTAGGTTAGTATTTGCATGTAATCATGGGTGGCTGTGATCATGTTTTAAAGGAAATGTACTTCCTTGTTTCCATAATGAGTTCAGTATCTGTAGTGATTCTTTCGTTTTTCACTTGCTATACCCTTTGTTGTCTTCTGGTCTGCAACTTATGGTCACAAAACGCACTCTGCTGCCCTTTTCTAAACTTATCTTGGATTAATGTTTCTTCTTTCTCGACCCACTCTCTAACCTTCTCTCGTTTTCTACTCTACCGCTTTTCTCGGCTCATCTTTCTCGCTTCTCTCGTATCTCCCCCTTTTCCTAGCCCTGCGTAGCTGCTCTACAGGGGACTCTCTGCTGTCCTCAGCCTTTATCCGCAGTGCCAAGAGTGCTCCTGCTCTGGCTCCGCCTCTTCCTGTCCTCCTTCACCACCACCACCCTTTTTTACCCCCCCTTGCTGACCACTTAGCAGGTACACTGTCTTTGCACCGCCCGTCTGCCTGCTGCTGTCAATGCGATAGATGTGTGACGTCATCTTTCACAAAACAATGCATGTTTGGTCTTTTAAAAGCTGGAATTCCTAACTTGTTTTTGTTCCATGAATACATGTTGTTTGTCCACACAGAAAGATTCTAAATTTAAGATATTGTAAACATATATGCTGTTTTAAATTAGAAACCATGTCATATTTTACATTCTGAAAGCTAATGGATGTGTGAGGGTATGGAGTCCGCTCATTTTCACGTTTTAGTTATAGTTAGTTAATTTTAGTTTCAAGCTGTGATTGAGGCCATAAATACATGCATGTAAAAACGCGTTCATATTTTATTTTTTTGTGGTTTCAGTTAGGTGATCCATAGGGGTGGGCGATATGGCCTAATATACAAACATTGTTCTTAGTGGGGAAATTTACTTCCTGTCCCTCGGAGCACTTTCGTCACGTGCAACCATAGACTGTATATTCGTGCAACCCAGCAATTTGATGATGTAATGACCTATCGCAATATGCCGGTACAACAAAAATCTCTACCGTTGGCCAAATTTTTATCGCATACTGCTTATCCCGTTTATATCGCCCAGCCCTAGTGATCCAGCTTGAATAGACTAGCTATCGGGGCTTATTTTAACAACAGGATAAGAGTCGTTTTCAGCTTTATGACGGTAGCTAGCCAGTAAGTGTACTAACGCTTTGTAAGTTGTATTTTCCATTTCTTTTACTTTTTGTTCATGTCAAGTCAGTTTTTCGTTTCGCTTTCTCTATTCCCATTCATTGTATTTTTCCCATCCAGATCTGGAAGACCCTCCAATTACCTTGACCAGCAGAGCCACTCGCATGCGTCACTCTTCTCAAAGCGATGAGACTCCTCCAGTGTTGTGCAGTGACGTCTTCCAGGGTGTGCCATGCGACCTGGACGACCCCCCTCCTTCTACTTTGGCACGAAGCAGCAGTGCGTCTGACATCATGGAGCCCTTCATCGCAGAACGGGTTAAAGGTGAAGAGCCTGAAAGGAATGCCTGTTCAGACCAAAGTCCTCCTCATGAGCACCTCACAGCTACTTCCTTACTTTCTGCCAAATGCCACATGGCTCCACCACACTCACCCTCCTCTCCTTCTGCCTCCTCAATTACTTTACCCAATGATGTAGTTACAGCGTCCGAGAAACAAGATGATGATAGTTCATGTAGGCATTTTTGGGAGCAGGCTGGTTCTAAAAGCAACGATTCAAATTCTGATTGGGTGAAAGACTGGGATTCAGCTTTTATTTTTTGTGCTGAAAGAGAAATGGATGTAGAGGACAGTGATGTGGGAACCGGCTTAGAAGATGATTTATTTTCCTCTATAAGGGACTACCTCATCAATAAGGGAAGTGAAAAACATGAAGAGGAGGAGAGGAACTACTCTGTTGAAAACAATGCCGCTGTACCTGTGGAAACTGGCATAGCAAGAACAGAAGTTGAATATGCAGGGCAGAGAGAAGTTCAGCAAGTGACACAAGGCCTAGCTGGCCGTGACGGCAGACACGGGATCAAAGGTGTAAGACACAGCAGCGTAGACTCCTCTGAGGACATGGAATCAGATCAGCGAAGCATTTATGAATGTCTTGAGCTGCAGTGTCCGTCACCCAGAGTCAAAGGTAGTTCACATTTAGAGCGACATGTGGGAAAGGAGAAAAAGGGAGAACATGCAGTTAAAGATATTTTTTTGGACGACTCTGGGAAAGTTTTTAACACAAGTGAGGGATGTATCGGTTCTGAAGACCCAAACAGTGTAGAATCTAGTATTGAATTGACTGAATCTATAGACTCTAATAAGAAACGTGGTCCCAGAGGGCATCAATGTGGGGGAGTTCATGTGAGCTTCCGGCCCGCCACCGAATCTGTCCAGTTTCACAATCCTTTCGAAAACAAAGAGGCGCACTGGAAAGCAAGGCTGCGCCGGCTTAGCCACTTCCACACTCACAGTAACTCAGCTGGGGACAGGCATGTGTCTGGGTCAGGACGACTGGGTGCATGTGGGGCAGGTAAGTTTGTGTCAGTTCCTGGTGTTGGCCTCAAAATAGGAACTCATGACAAAGCTGGAGCTGGTACTGAGCGAGTTGAGGGAGGCGGACATCACAATAATGGACCTGGAGGGGACAAGGACCAGCAGCAGTGTCCTGCGTTGGGAGTCAAACTGAGCTCTGATGCACATTCAGAGTTATCGAGCAGCACCAGTGTGTCATCAGGGGTACGAGGCCGTTTAGGACGTTCGGTCTTGCGATCAAGAGCTTCTCGCTCACGCTCCCAGGAGCCAGGCACGGTCTCTCGTCACCACCAAGGGGCTATTCTTGGTGGTGTTTATAAGAGTGTTGTTCATGCTCTGTCGTCCAAGCCCCGGCCCCGTGGTCAAGGCTCTTCCCAGGGCTCGTCGCCTCAGCGACAGGCCCGAGGCACTATGGGTGACGCGTCGCTAAAGGATCTCTACTCCCATGTCCTGGGCTACTTTGGAAGAAAGACGGCCACTCCAGGTGAGGATTGTGACCAAAGAAGTTCTTAAAAAGGACATATCACCTTTTTAGGTCCAGCCATTACTGGAAAAGAAATGTACTCACCCAAACACAAACTTTTTCTTTTTGGCTGTTTTTAACTGGTTTGTTCTGATGGAATGATATTTTTGGCTGAAACTCATCATCTTGCTGCTGGACTGAGTTGTAAATTGTTGTGTTTTCCTAAACATAGTTACGGCCTGTCTCCTTTTCTTCGGATTCCTTTTATTCCCATTCTTTTCTTATATTTAGAGGTTTCTCTGCAATTACTTCTACCGGCTTTGGACTTTTAACATTTTTTTCCCATGCACCCTGCACCTTTTCTTCTTTTATACTTCACTTTCTACTTCACTTTCTGAAGTTGCATGCGGCCTCATCCACCTCCTCCCTCCCGGATATCAACTGTGAAGCCGCTCAGACTTAGGTCTAATAGAAATGACAATCAAAATGTATTATCCTTATTTTTACCACATAACATGTGTCCAGACCATACGGAACAAATACTGAATAGACTTTGCTGAAATAGAAAATTAAAACCATTGATTGCGCTACTTAATATGAGATTTAAAGTTAATTGGGATAACAATGACACATTACTTCACTTCTCCCACTAGATGGCAGCAAATAATTTCACTTTCTGTGTTTCTGTCTCAATTTAGTCGTAAGTATCACCCTCAGGCTGTTCATGTGCAAACCAACCAGGTTGACAACAACTGGACAAGTCTAGCTTCTGTTGTATTGTCCTTGATATTGGTTCTTGTCTGTTCTTACTTTCATCTGTATCGTCCATAGTAACATTGCTCCACTAATACCATCCTGTGGTTTGCTGCTTGTTTGGACCTAACAAGGTGTTGCCACTTCCTCATGGGTCTTGGGTCTTGGGTCTTGGTCCGTGTCTGTCTCGTCTCTGTGAGCATGGTGGAACATAAATATAATAATCCCTGCATTGCTTTTATATGTGCTTGCCAACTGTGAGACTTTTTAACATCACTCAAATCACAGCATTTTCAGTATAATTAAATTGAATGTTTTAATTCAATGTTATTTTAAAATATAGTAAGTCATTCATTCAATGCTATCTGTATTACAGCAGAGCCATATTATAATACATAATAATACATGTTTTAAAAAGGTAGTCTGAATGGACTTTTAACTTATATCTGAAATAATTAAATAATCATACCCTGCTTTTTTGTGCTTGATTTGTGTTTTACGTTTTACAATTTTGTCTTTACATTTCCATAATCTTTGTGTCTTGCTTTTCTGACTATTCTATTTGTATTATTTTATTATAAAATATGTTTTTCCCTCCCTGGGTAGCAAACAAAGAGGAGGTAATCCCAAAGGCTCGACCTGTTTCCACGGACGTTGGAAGCACCAATCCCAACTTCTCAGACCTAATGGATGAGTTCATCCAGGAGAGACTGCGAGCCAAAGGAAGCGGGGTATGTGCCACATTCATACCGTCTTCTTCTCCATGTCCAGTCTTTGTCTTTGTGTTTATCTGATTAGGACCTTCTCTTGATCTCTCAGGGTCGACGTGGCAGCAGCCCGGGCAGTCTGGAAATCCCCAGGGACTTGCCTGAGCTTCTTGAAGCTGCTCAGAGTCCAGGATCTAGACCTTCAGATGATTCCAGGCCCATAGATGACCCTGGGGTTCCTTCTGAGTGGACCTCCCCTGCGAGTGCCAGTGGTTCAGATGTCGTCAGCTCAGACAGCCAGTCAGATTCTTTCAACGCATTTCAGTATTCAACATGCAAATTTGACAGTAAGGCATATTTATTCTAATGTCAGTCACTGTTCTGAAGTGGCTTTGTCAGATTATACTTTCTGTTCAGGCTCATGTGGAGGTAGTGCCGCAGGGTCTGGAAGGGGCGGTAGGGGAAGCTCATTGGACCAGGACAGTTTAGGAGGAGGTGCGGCCAGTGAAGAACATGAAGTTGCCAGCCTAACGACGCTCCACATAGACTCTGAGACAAGTAGTCTAAGTCACACGGTCACTGTCACCGGTAGGCTCAAATTCTTTTTTATACATAGTAACATTGACATTTGACGCATATAATGGCACCTATTTTCTTTTCCTTAGGTTCAGAGAGTGCGTCTCCCATGCATTCTCTGGGAGGCTCTCGTTCTCAGACGCCCTCTCCTGCCACCATGACCACAGATCATGCAGATCACTCACATGCACACCTGCAGCTGGACCAAAAACTCCATAATTCTGTTCTTCAAACTCCTGATGACCTTGGTACGAATGCCACACAGAAAGTTAGAAATAATGTTTGATTTATGAACTTCCAATGAAAGTCTTTAACTACTTAAATGTGCCACACAGACTATTACAAACCTTCCACTGTGTGAAAAACAATATATTTATGTATAAGAAAAGATTTTATTCTACAACAAAAGATCGATGATAGATAGATATATACTTTATTGATCCCGAAAGGAAATTGTGCACTGGTCCCTTGCTCCCAATCATACAAAGATACATACAGGAGGAGCTCAGGGCCGCAGAGAACGTTCATATTTTTAAGAGTAGGCTCAAGACGCACCTTTTTAGAGCAGCTTTTGATTAGTATTTATTATCTATTATTGCTTTTTAGTACATCTATTTATGTTTTTAGACGGATTATATTTTTATTTATTTTTATTATTTACTATTTTTAATTATTTATTGTATCTACCCATTTACTATTGTTATTATATCAGGCAGCTGCCATTTTTCTTTTTATTTTCACATTCTATTGTTCTACTTTCTATTGTATTATTGTATTGTTTTAGTGTCCCCAGTGTTTCCTCTGGAGGAGCCCTCTGCACTGAGAGCTGGGGTCTGCTGTGGCTTCGGGGGTCTGGCTCTTGGATCCGGTGGGGGTCTGGGGCCTCCTCTCTCCTCTGGGTCCTATGGGGTCTGAGTCCTGGGCCTGGTGGGGTCTGGGGCCCCTCTCTCCTCTGGGTCCTGTGTCGTTGCCTGTGGCTGCAGCCGGCTCTCTGCTCCTGGTGCAGATGGCTCCTTGGATGACGCTTCTTCAGCCGGTTACATCTGCTCCCAGCCCCATTTCTTTTTATTGTTTTACCTATTTTACCTGATATGACTTTATACTTGTGTGTGTGTGTGTGTGTGTGTGTGTGTGTGTGTGTGTGTGTGTGTGTGTGTGTGTGTGTGTGTGTGTGTGTGTGTGTGTGTGTGTGTGTGTGTGTGTGTGTGTGTGTGTGTGTGTGTGTGTGTGTGTGTGTGTGTGTGTGTGTGTGTGTGTGTGTGTGTGTGTGTGTGTGTGTGTGTGTGTGTGTGTGTGTGTGTGTGTTGTATATATAATTATAAATGTGATTTTGGGGGGTCTGTGGGGAGGAGGGTTTAGGGCTGGGCATGTTGGATTGTTTTTAACTAAACTGTAAAGCACTTTGTGTTACACTTTTTGTATGAAAAGCGCTTTATAAATAAAATTTGATTGATTGATTGATTGATACAGAGGTTAGAATTAAAAGATGCAAAATAGTTAAAAAAGAAAGAATAAATACATTAAAATCATTAAAAGAGAAGTTAAGGCACTGCAAAACAATTCAAAATGTTTTGAATTGTTTTGCTTCAGTTCTGGTCACAAAATCAAAATGTGAATGTGTTGCTTAAAATTTGAACCTAATTTTGTATTATTTATTTGCATTTTAGAGACCAGTGAGTTTCCAAATGAAGACTGCAGCGTGATGGCGGGTGGTTCTTTAACTGGCTGGCATGCTGATGTCGCCACGGTCATGTGGAGGCGAATGCTGGGTATTCTCGGGGATGTCAATACCATCAAAGACCCAGAGATCCATGCTCAGGTCTTTGATTATTTGTGTGAACTGTGGCAAAGTCTCGCTAAGGTGTGTTTGCAAACAAATGAAGTAATTACCGCACAATTATACATTTTTTTGATGAAGCTTTACTGCTTTTAGATAAGGGACAACTTGGGGATTTCTTTGGACAACCAGTCATCCCCCCCACCGCCTGTTTTGATCCCACCTCTGAGGATTTTAACACCTTGGCTTTTCAAGGTAGGAAAAAATTTATACATTGAGTTGGGCAAAATATACATACCTGAAATGATGAGCTGTGATTCTACAGGCCACTATGCTCACGGAGCGCTACAAGCAAGGAAAGCTCCATGCTTACAAGCTCATCTGCAGAATCATGAAAAGGCGGCAGGATGTGTCGCCAAATACAGACTTTGTCACACATTTTTACAACATCATGCATCACGGATTGCAACATCAAGACCAGGTATTTTTGCAGCTATTGCTTAAATGGACCGTGTGTATTATTTTCATTTTCATTTTATGTGTCCCCAGATGATAGTTTTACATTTTCTGAACAGTTTGAACCGGAGTTATTAACTGTAAATCCATCCATCCATCCATTTTCTACCCCTTAATCCATTTCTGGGTCGGGGGGTTAGCAGTCAGAGATGCCACCCAAGTCACATAGCACCAGTCCTGTATATTTTAACTGTAAATACAATATTTATGTTTATCTAATCAGCGAACAGAATCAGGCTCCCATTTTGAGTTGCCAGTTTGTTAGATGAAATTTAGCTGATTTTGGCTTCAATTTCATATTATGTCTTTAATGACAATAATGCAAACTACACACGGTCCATTTTAAGTGGGATTCAATTAAAACTTTGACTAAACGTTTTCTTAAATATTGAAACTTGTTCCAAAACAGGACATTGTGAACACCATTATAAAACACTGCAGCCCAAGGTTCTTCAGTATTGGACTTCCTGGAGCGACCATGTTGATCATTGACTTTATTATCGCGGCTTCGAGAGTCACTGCCTGCTCATCACTAAATGTAATTACTGCTTCCTTTCAAATAATACTTTAAACGTTTTGCTCTGTGTTTTACCCAATTGTTACGTTTGTGTTTCTGAATCCAGGCCCCCAGAGACGAGGCCCAGATCCTCCTGGGATCGCTGGTCTGTTTCCCCAACTTCTATTTTGAGCTTCCAGCCCTTCATCCAACCACAGCTGATGTAGTGATCACCAAGTTCCCAGATGTTAAGGTAAGGAGCCGATGGTTTTGAGATCAACTGAGAGTAAGGTATAAAGCTCTCTAAACTAAACTAAACTGTACTTATGTGTTACATTTGGGTCAATAACACAAAAAAGTCCTGAAATGTCCGCTACTGCCGAATTCTGCCCCCACTCTTGTTTTTCTCCATCTTGTTTGTCCAGTGGAGGGCGCACTACTTAACAGTGACTCAGTTGGTAGAGCATTGACCTTTGAGCCTGTAATGGACCAAACATAAGGCAAGGACAACAGGTGTAAAATCATCTCTAATTTAATTAAGGAAAAATATAATTTGACAAAAATACACGAACATTTTTTTACAAATATTTGTGGCCAACTAAAGTACACAACTTAACCAAACCAAAAGAAAAAGAACCCCCCCCACCAAGAATTAAGGAGGGCTTAAATACAGGAGGAGTAACCCAAAACTAACACAAGAATATACCACAGAGCCTGAAGGTCGTGGGTTCGAGCCCACCACAAGACTTTCTCCACCGACTCCAACAGCTGTCTGCTGTCGTTGTGGCCTTTAGCAAGACACTTCACCCCCATTGCCTAGAATGAGTCTGGTGTGTGTGAGAATGGTTGGTGGTGGTGGGAGGGTCGGCTCTAGATCATCTACGGAATCGGGACGAAACCGAAAGTAACAATCCTACTTTCAAATTAGTTTTAGACTAAAAAGTCCTTAAGTGGAGACTTGTTAAGTTTTAGGCGTCTGAGTAAGATGGTTAAGGTTAGGGTTAAGGCTGGGTTGGGGTTATTTTATGGGAATGGCTGGTTAAAGCTGCACTAACTGACTTTGGGATTTTGAAGCAGCAGACCCGCTGGCCTCTCTCTTTCTGCTCCCCTCCTCGCACCCACGAAGCTATCGCCCCCCACACACACCCACTGTTGTTATCCAATATGGATAATACATGGATATGGATTTGCACGTGGATGGCGTGACCATAGAATGATAGAACCGGGAAGTGCGGAGACTTTCTTTTGGATGGCTGTTTCGCTGAGTAAGCAGTAACCGGTGACGAAGACACGAAGCTTCAGGTTAGCTCCTCTTCTTGTTGTGCTAACTCAGCCGTCTGTGCTAACGGACCTGTAGATTTCTCACGAAAGTGGGGCCAGTGGTCCGCTGTGATTGGTCACAATCTGCGATCCGAAACACATTCTCTTGTTTCATCAAAACTCGATCTAAAATATAATGTCACGCCAGCACAAATCTGCGCTACTTTTTCTTCAAAAGGACGTACATCCCAATGCACTGCATGGACATGGATAGCACTTTTGTAATGAATACAAAAATAAAGTCAGTTAGTGCAGCTTTAAGTTTAGGCATGAATAAGTAGTTTGTTATATTTACTTCCGCTTCTGTCCCGATTCCATATATGATCTACAGTAGTGCTGACCGTGGTGGCTAGGGTTAGGGTTAGGGTTAGGCTGATGGCACAGACTGGTTGCCTCGCTTCTGTCAGTGTGCCCCAGGGCAGCTGTGGCTACAGTAGTAGTTTATCACCACCATGTATGGAGTGAAAGAATAATGACATTTGAAGCGTCGTGTCCTGTTATGGCTTGGCTCTGAGCCACAACAAGAATAGGGGAGACAAGGCGGAATTAAGTGCTCACAAAGTATATTTAATTGAGTAAACGGAATAACAGATATTAATATATACAAAAAGGTAACGTATGGGGTGTGTTGTGTAGAAATCAGTGGTGTAGGTGCAGGTGATGCTTGTGTGCAGTGAGGGTGTCGTATGTGCGATGTGAATGTGGGTGCATAAAACAAGAGACAAACTTAATAGTGCATGTGGAAGGAGAGCCAGGGAGGAGATGCTTCCAGCACCAGGGCAGGTGTAGAATGGCCCTCAGGAGCGCGCAGAGAGAGCGCGTGCACGTTGCCTCCAGGCTATATGCGCGTGCGCTGATTGCATGCGCGAACACGCCCACTGCTTCAGCGCCAATCGGTCCCCCTGGGCAGACAAGAGAGGAGCGGCAGGACGGAGAAATGGGCCAGTCCCAGGACCCCCATAAGGGCCTAGTCCGTGGTGGGAGGGGCTGATGGCACAGACTGGTTGCCTCGCTTCTGTCAGTGTGCCCCAGGGCAGCTGTGGCTACAGTAGTAGTTTATCACCACCATGTATGGAGTGAAAGAATAATGACATTTGAAGCGCGTGTCAAAAAAAGCGCTACAAAAAACGGATGATTTTTTATTATTATTATTATAAACACACCTGTTCTATTAACATCGCTCCAGCTGTTTTGGACGCAAGATCCAGTAGACGTGATGTGTTACGTCCACAATGCCTGGGTTGTCTGCAGTTATTGAATAATGTATAATCCATAATTAGAGATTGATTCTAGTTATACCCCCCAAAAAAATCCTCTCCTGATTTCATTGACAAAGCCTCCAACAGCTCACCACATGTCCTGTATGTAACCTGAGATTATCCTCTGTATATTTATAAACTACATGGTGTTAAAGAATTATGAGGTCCAAACATTATTGGTACATACATTTATTTTATTGCAGCTTGAAGTAAGATTTGACGCATTATACGGTTTAGCGTGGACTGAGCCATGAGTGTTTTGGTTTCTCAACTCATTTTCGCTAAAGGAGATTACTGGGTTAATCTCTTATCATCAATTCAGGGAACCATCCAGAGCGATGGGAGTTATACCGCTGTTGTTGTTTTTTCCTCGTAAACACTTTATCGACATGCACGGCTGCGTCTCGGGCTCGCTACTGTTTTTTAGTGAAGAAGAAACTTGGTGAGAATCAGTAAGCGGTCATTAGCACCGATCATGCCTGAGTGCTGTGTTTGCTGGCTTCACTGGGTTATTACCATCTTCTCCTCAAATGTTTGAACTTTGCTTGATTTCATATCTACTTTTGACGTTTACGTTTGTCTCTTTTTGTGTGTATTTTAGGAACACATCATTAAAACTATCTTAACCTCAGCGAGAGATGAACCCTCTGCTCCAGCGAGGTAAGGTTCACTGCATAAATCATTATTATTTGTTTAATTTAGATCAAGAAAATACTGTTCCAAGAAAAAAACTACAAACAAAAAGGAAAAAAACATAACCCACACACTGATGCTTGAAAGGGACTGGGGAGAAGTACGATCTCTGAGTAAAAAGTAAAAACTAGCTGCTTTCTGGTTCAGTTATCAAACAATACAGTAACACAATGCCACATTCAGAAATCATGTTAAAGTTAAACTTGGGAAACCTTACAGTGAGTAATAATCAAAATAAAACAAGATCTGGATCGTATTTTTCATTCCTCAGATTAAAGGAGCTATACTTGATTCTGCAGGTTTTTTTCAATTTGAATGTTTACCACCGCCCCCAACTCCCTCACAGGCTCCTCATTTTGAGAAACCCTCCTCCTCTCCTCTACGCTCTCCTCCCACAGAGCCATCTAGTTTTAGTAGTGATCTGGTTTTCTGACATTAGCATTAGCACTACTTCTTGTAAGCTGCACAACAATCACTGATGAAATGGTACTAAAGCAACGCACTGCTAACAAAATATACCAGTACCAGGCAGGAGAGAGAGACCGGAGAGAGAGACCGGAGAGAGAGACCGGAGAGAGAGACCGGAGAGAGAGACCGGAGAGAGAGACCGGAGAGAGAGAGACCGGAGAGAGAGAGGGACCGGAGAGATATACCAGTACCAGGCAGGAGAGAGAGACCGGAGAGAGAGAGACCGGAGAGAGAGAGACCGGAGAGAGAGAGAGACCGGAGAGAGAGAGAGACCGGAGAGAGAGAGAGACCGGAGAGAGAGAGACCGGAGAGAGAGAGAGACCGGAGAGAGAGAGAGACCGGAGAGAGAGAGAGGCCGGAGAGAGAGAGAGGCCGGAGAGAGAGAGAGGCCGGAGAGAGAGAGAGACCGGCGAGAGAGAGAGACCGGCGAGAGAGAGAGACCGGAGAGGGAGGCTGGAGAGGGAGGCTGGAGAGGGAGGCCGGAGAGGGAGGCCGAGGAGGGAGGCCGAGGAGGGAGGCCGGAGAGAGAGAGACCGGAGAGAGAGACCGGAGGGAGAGGACAGGACAATAACTGAAAACCTATGAAGTAGAATAACGGCCAAATTTAGTCCAAGGCTGAGACTCCCGCAGGTCACTCCAGAGGATATGATGTAAGCTACCTATATTCCTCGGAGCTTGATTTCTTCTTTGATCATTTTTTCCGCGCTTTAGTTCCCTCTTCTCTTCCTCGCTTTTTCGTCTTTTGCAGCGTTTTGCTGTGTCTGCAGTTACAGCCAGAGGAGGTATAGCCACTTTCAGCTTTGATCCTCCTTCAGCCGCCGCCCCTCCGCCGCAAAGTGTCACCTCAGCACTTTACACGGCCTGAATTCATCCATAAGCTGAATCAATGAGCTCAATTTTTCAATTAAATTATGTTTTTTGTGTGTGTAGTTATACGCATTTTTATGAACTCATTAGAAAATAATAAATCAGGTATAACTCCTCGTGAAGAACATTCATGTATATTATTTTTTCCACATGAATTCAAATGGTGCTCACGTACAATCTTCTGGTTTGGCAGGTGCGTGGCTTTGTGCAGTCTGGGAATCTGGCTGTGTGAAGAGTTGGCCCACGGCACTCAGTATCCTCATATCAAGGAAGCCCTCAATGTCATCTGTGTCACACTAAAGGTATTTTATACACATTTTAATTTGTTTGTCTTAAGAAAAACCTGGTGACAAGTTTAAGCTTTCGGCCTCTAACTATGAGTTGCATATAATAAGCCAGATGTTTTTTTTTCTTTTCCTCTTATTGATTGACCTCCACTCTGTTATTTTTTTTTTGCTTAGAATTTTAAGTACTCACTTATGCACAGGCAGGAACTTGTGTATTTGATTTTAGCTGTAAGAGTTCTCTCAGGCCTGTTGTTATTATTGATTACTCCCATGTGCAGATTGTTCTGGGTGAGAGAGAGACCAGAGGGTGAGACCAGAGGGTGAGACCGGAGGGTGAGACCAGAGGGTGAGACCAGAGGGTGAGACCAGAGGGTGAGACCAGAGGGTGAGACCAGAGGGTGAGACCAGAGGGTGAGACCGGAGGGTGAGACCGGAGGGTGAGACCGGAGGGTGAGACCGGAGGGTGAGACCGGAGGGTGAGACCGGAGGGTGAGACCGGAGGGTGAGACCGGAGGGTGAGGCCGGAGGGGGAGGCCGGAGGGAGAGACCGGAGGGGGAGACCGGAGGGGGAGACCGGAGGGGGAGACCGGAGGGGGAGACCGGAGGGAGAGACCGGAGGGAGAGACCGGAGGGAGAGACCGGAGGGAGAGACCGGAGGGAGAGACCGGAGGGAGAGACCGGAGGGAGAGACCGGAGGGAGAGCAGAGAGAGAGGCCAGAAAGAGAGACCAGAGAGAGGGACCAGAGAGAGAGAGAAAGACCAGAGAGAGAGAGACCACTCTGAAAGAGGACTGTGATCTGTCTGTTCTGGAGGTTCTTTATGAATCCAGACTTTTAAACCAAACTCTTAGTATAATCAATGATCTGGCTCCTGGAGCAGCCGTGTTCCAGCTTCTTCCCTCTGGCAGAACATATCATTCGCTGAGATGGATTTCTCATTTCTCAAGGACAAAAAAGCAATTGTCTCCTGCTTTTTTTTCCATCAGTTAGTTTTATTTTTGTACTTTTAACCTTGTTTATTTATGTATTGGGGACTCTTACGGATGTATTCCAATGTGGTTTACTAAAATGGGTAAATAAAAGGAATCTGAATCAGGAGAACACTTATCACACAAATAAAATATAACATGATTCATTAAAGCCAAAATTCCTGTTCCTGGCACAGTTTAGTTTTAGTTTTCGCAATTTTGATGAGCTTGAGAAAATTAGAGATTGCGTTTTAAATTTTTGGCACAGTTCTTCATGTATTTGTTCTCCCATACCACAGTAGACTTCAGCAGCATCATTCAGATTAGAGAAGAGTACATTATTTCGACAATGGGGAAAATTAAACCAATAATGTTTATCTGAAGTGCAGGAATAAATCCCTTTCAGCAACTCATTGATTACAGTAGTTAAAGTTAGAATAATAACTGAAAAAAAGTTAAACATGCCATGAAGAGGTTTTATTACTTAAACACTTCGAATGGGGATAAAACTAATCAATTTAAGCAAAATAATAACTCAAATAATCAAAACAATCAAACGCCAACAAAGCACCCCTTTTCATTATTATTTATCAAACTGTCCCCTCTCGTCGTCTCCATTTTTAACTCTGATCCAGCAACATTCAGACCAAAGCCGTGGTTCCAGATCAAAGCCGTGCGAGCTGGCTGTTAATCACACTGACAAACACAACTCCAAACATCTGCCACTTCCGCGTTTCCATAGGGGTGAAACTAAACATATTACACATTTCAGTCATTGTTAGCGGCAGTATTCTATTTCTCTTTGTGTTATTATTCACCATTTTTGCGTCCTGTGTAGTACTTTGACAAAGGCTGAGCTGAAATTTATTTCTGGGATGGACTATCTTTATGCCTTTGATTAAACAGACTTGCTTTCTAATACTACAATATGGCACATGGATTGAAACGGTTGAATTTTTAAGCTTCCGGCCGGGAAACATTGTTGGATATTATTTTAGCTAATGTCTTGAAATGGGGAAAATGGCCCCAGTTAGTGCTTTTCGTTTCAAGACAATACAGGCCAACATTCACCGTCTCATCTGTCGCCAAATGGCTCAAGACGGACACACACATACCTTCTCCACCTTGGAATCCCCAGTTAGTGTATCGGCAGCCAATGGGCCCCGGCAGACTGCACCACACACCACAGCGCTTGCATTCACTCACTCCCGGGAGCAAACTCTGGACCATCAATATGTTTGGGTCTCCTTCAGATAGGAGACTGGTCCAGAGGGAGTGCCACAAGCTGTGTATCGCACACACTTGAATCTGTTGCTGTGACTGCGGCCAGTAGCCTCAGCCACGGACACACAGGCTCTCGTACATGCAGCTTGAGGGATTATCATAGTTTAATTCAAAGACACATTTGATGTTCCCTTTTGTAATGCCGTTTAGGTTTCCATTCTGTTGTAGTGGTCCGGAAGTGTTGAACGGAAGGAACTAAGTGTCATTGTGATTTAGATAGATACAGTAGATACTTTATTGATCCCTGTAGGAGAAATTCAGGTGTTCAGTAGCAACAAAAACACATCTCTCCAAACAAACAAAATAAATAAATGAATCATTCTCATTCAAGAGTATAAAAGTAATAAGAGTAATAAGAAACAGCTCTTCAGGTCACAGCAGCAGAGGTGGAGCAGCCGCTTGGTTCGGAACATTTTCTCTGCTCTAATCCAAAGTAAAATGCTAAATGCTTTGTTACTCCGGTGGCTTTTCACCTGATCCACTTGATTCGGACCATGAATCCTCTCTGCTCTGCTCTGGACCAGTGTAAAACCATGAATCCTCTCTGCTCTGCTCTGGACCAGTGTAAAACCATGAATCCTCTCTGCTCTGCTCTGGACCAGTGTAAAACCATGAATCCTCTCTGCTCTGGTCTGGACCAGTGTAAAACCATGAATCCTCTCTGCTCTACTCTGGACCAGTGTAAAACCATGAATCCTCTCTGCTCTACTCTGGACCAGTGTAAAACCATGAATCCTCTCTGCTCTGCTCTGGACCAGTGTAAAACCATGAATCCTCTCTGCTCTGCTCTGGACCAGTGTAAAAGAAAACAATGGAGTGATTCAGTGAAAAATAACAATGGAAAACACAAAACAACAACTATTACAGAGACACTTAGGACTTGCTTTGAAACAGTTGAAAAATCTAAAGTAATTTATTAGTGACGCAATTTGAGTATTAACAAAAATGGCACAGAGCATTGACATTGGATATTTGTGTTGTATGCGCTCGGTTTTGGCTGAAAGATGAACATTTTTTACTTTTCAGCTGAAACGGGTTGAAATCATATCTTAACATATTTATTCTGTGCTGTCTCTTTTCAGTATCCCAACAAAAATGTGGCTTTAGTGGCCTCGGACATTCTCCATCTTCTGATCAGCTATGTTGATCACCTCCAGAAATTTCCTCCCGATATGCCAAAGAAGATTGTTGAGGTAATATATATATAGTATCAAGTCAACAAGTAATATAGTTTTCAGGTTAATTACTCCTCACATCATATTTTGATTTAGATTTTGATCGCCACAATCACATACTTGCTACCTGCTACAGAGTCTTCCCCGTATGAACTGGACAAAAGGGTAACCCACTTTTGTGTATTGTTCATAGTATATTTGTCTCCTTCTCTAATTAACGGTGTGTGTCTCTTTAAGCTGGTAGTGTCTCTGCTCTTGTGCCTTCTGGACTGGGTCATGGCTCTGCCTCCTGAAACACTTCTTCAGCCTGTGCACTCAAGAAGCCCTCCAGAGAAAGACCAACCTACCAAGACCCTTTTAAGCTGTATTTACAAAGTATGCATGTGTCACAGTTAAATAATGTATAATTAAGAAAACTAAAATGTTATCATTAATCCCAAATCGTTTCCTCAGGTCTTGCATGGCTGTGTATATGGAGCACAGTCCTTCAACAGTCCCAAATACTTCCCTCTGCAGCTGTCGGACCTGTTCACTGCAGACTACGACCCATTCTTGCCTTTGGAGTGTCTCAGAGAACCAGAACCACTCCACAGTCCTGAGTCCGAGCGTTCTGCCAAACTTCAGCCCGTCACAGAAGGTAAAATATCTACTTTTAGAAATGGAACTTTGATTTATTGATTTAACATATCAATCCAATTGTTGTATACCATCTTCAGTCTCCACTACAAAGAACCCAATGTTTGGATTCTTAGTTTGAGTTTAATTTTTGGGTCCATTCAAGGGCCCTCTGCATTTTACCCAGCCATTTGATTAAATTGTACCATGAGTTATATATAAACCAATATATATATACACCAAATATTTATAATGTATATATATAGATATATAGGGCAACAGTGGCCCAGTTGGTAGAGCTTTGGGCTTGAAAGTCGTGGGTTTGATTCCACCTCAAGACCTACTTCACGACTCTCACTAATGTCTGCTGTCGTTGTGTCCTTGGGCAAGACACTTAACCCCACTTTGCCTGAAGCCCCACTGCAAGATCAAGGCTCAGTGAGGGGCTGGTGCTGTTAATACATTACTAATACATAGATTATTATATATTTAGTTAAAGGATATTTTACATATGTTCTGGGACACATTTATGTCTTTATTAGAGGTCCTTAAATACAATTTTCATTTAAATTTACCTCAAGTTAATTGTTTTGTGTTTTAGAGAAAATAGACACGGATTGTAGGGGGTGGACATACATGGTGAATTGCTTACTGCAGTTAAGCACACACATAATCTAATCAAAACACATTTTTGAACTTGGATATCATGAATCTTCAGCTTTCATTATGTCAAATGGTGAAGACACACATTCTTATTAGGTCCCTGATGTCACCAGGACTGTGACCCAGCGCCTCAAAGAGCTCTCTCATGACATATTGGAGGAGTGCTTCTGTGGCTGCACTGTGAGTCCGTGTGAGACTGTGTATTGTCCCCCGCTGAGTGCCACCGGGACACAGTGACTAGTCTAATGACTCGAGCACCCGCATTGACCATGCTCCTGCTACTCTTACCTTCAGATTCTTTCCTTGCTTTTATTTTTCTGATAAAAAAAACCATAGAATTAGTCCACCTTGTGTGTTTTTTCATTTTTGTATAGTTGAACTGCTGTCGTTATGCAGTTTATTTATTGTCCGTCTAATGCATTTCCTTTACTTTTCTCGTACGGAGAAGGTTGTTGGGAATGTCTAGTCGATACATATCTTTGTACTCTACACACAGTCGTCAATAAGGAGCGTTCTCCTGCTGTGGGCGTAATCATGTTTATTAGCCTGGATCTGCTGGCAGCACACGATGTGAAGGCATTGGATTCTTTACTGCACCTTTCCTGAATTACTTCTAAGTTGAAGTTTAGAAGTTTTTGTTGTTTTTGTTTTTTTACATCAGAATCAGAATAATTTTTATTGCCATGTAAGTAACACTAAATCACGGACTAGGAAATTGCTTTGGCTCGGGGCAACACTTTTAATTTTTTTGTCTTTTATTTTTATTTTTATTATTATTATTATTTTTATTTTTTTATCTTTTATTATTATTTTTATTTTTTTAATCTTTTTTTTTTATTTTTTTATTTTGGCTGTAAATGTATTTTGTAATAAATATCATATGCTATCTCTCCTTAAATTTATCCTTAAAATGCAATAAAAAAAAAAAGAGAGGTAAAGAATAGAGTAACATACAGTAATTATAATAAATAATAATCTTTTTTGACGTCTACAGTTAGGAGTCGTATTCAACAAGGTCTGGTGTCCATCGCCGCCCGGACAGTCATCACTCACCTTGTAAATCACCTTGGACACTATCCCATGTCGGGAGGGCCAGCTACTCTGTCTAGTCAGGTACAGCACTTGTGTTTTAATGTCATCAATCACAAATAGAAGAGTTTAACATTACGGTTCTCCCATCTCTGTGTGGAGTGAGAGACAAATGCCCTCAATTGTAAAGCGCTTTGTGTCTCTGGTCTGTGAAAGGCGCTGTATAGATAACGATTACTTAGCATTACGTTTCATTTGATTTTTTTCCCGATAGGTGTGTGAAAACCACGACAACCCCTACTGCGAGAGCACAGATCTTGGACCAGAACTTTTCCACTCCCCTAATCTACAATTCTTGGTTCTGAATGGCACCACTCTACTCTCTGTACTCCAGGTACTTTACGACATTAACAAAGTATGAGATGCATTCTATATAATATTCACCACGATAATCTGATCTGATGTGTAGATCCGGTCCGAGTCTGGCGTGCCCGGAGGTGGTATGACGGCAGGGTTGTCCTCCGCTCCCGCTTGTGTCCGCGTCATTGTCCGAGACGTAGCCGGGAAACACTCCTGGGACTCTGCCGTCCTCTATGGGCCGCCCTCCACCTCCCCAAGCAGCCCGGCACACACACTGCTGTCTCACATACAAGGATCCCTGCAAACTACAAATCTGCATTTACGGACCCCACCGGGAAGTCTGCCCAAAAGAATGGAAGTAAATAAGGAAGAGGATGAGGAAGGATTTCAAGAAGACGAGGGGGAGGACTTGGAGGAAGATGATGAAGAAAGCAAATCTGTGTGTATGGAGAAAGGGGACCACGGAGAGGTCGAAACGGAGGAGGAGCAGAACGAGGAGAATAGAAAGGAACAGGAAGTGAACGATGAAGACAACAAGGGCGAACCAGGACCGGAGCAGACGCTGGCACCACCTCTGGCTAAGCGTGTTTGTCGGGAGGTAGTGCCAGCTTGGGATTCGCTCAGGGAAGGAGATGACGCTTTGGATGAAATGCTGCAGTACATGGGATATTCCAGTCCAGAGTGTCTGCAACGGGCTGGTACATGTCCTGCTCTTATATTCAAATGCATATCACAAAATGGTTTTAACGTTTTTCTTCTTCTTCCCAGGCATGCCACTCAACATTCCCGCACCACCTCCAGCGTGTGTTTCGGAGAAGCAGGAAAACGATGTGATCAATGCCATTTTGAAGCAGTGCGCCGCAGAGAAAGACTTTGTTCTTCACGTATGTGTTGCTCAGAGTTATAATTTTACAGGTGAAACTCGGAAAATTAGAATATTGTTGTTTAAAATGATTATTCGCACTTCTGTAATATCAACTTACAATGTAAAACTAGCGTACTCTGGACATTTAGACGCAGTTGTATAAAAGCAGCACCAGCAACATTTGAAAAGAAAGTACATTTTGTTCACATATAGGCCACACCTGAATATAAGCCGCAGCTTTCATGTTGAAATGTAGCAGGTAGATGATAGTTTGACAGCTTACCCATTAGCTTCCACGCCTGTACTCATTCACCAGTCTATTTTGACAACAAACAAGTGTCCAATAGCTACTTCAAACTGATGGAGTCATAATAATAAATCCATAAACTCTGCCCTGACAACTGCCCAACTCTACCTGAAGGTAAATACACACATCAGCCGCATCACTGTATAAGCCACAGGGTTCAAAGAATTTGGAAGAAGCGGCTAGAATCCGGACATTACGGTATTATTTGACATTTTACTCTATACATTACATTAAACTCTATATATTACAATAAAGGCTGACATTACATGCAAGCTTTTATCTGTTATAATGTTCATTTTTGTCTCACAGCTCGTAAAAGCCTCAATTAAAACCTCAAAATTTGAATGTTTTGAAAAATTCCATTATCCTCAAAATTATAACAAAGACTTGGCACTTTGTCACTTTGCACCACTTTGTCACTTTGCACCTCATGAGTCGTTTAATGGTCTTACAATTTAAGTTGAAATACGGAAATGAAAGAACCTTTGAACAATTTTCTTATCAGAGTTTCACCTGTATGTACATTTTGGCTTTTACTATTTTGTTTTTTATTCTGAAATATTTCATAGAGAGGCGAGGGGTTGAACATGAGGGCTATGCCACATCCTGAGCCGGAGACAGAAACGCCACAATCCGCCTTTTACTATTGTAGACTGTTGATCAACATACTGGGCCTAAACTCCTGGGAAAAAAGGTAAGGCAGCCTCAGGTCATAATTTATCAGCCCTTCACAATCTTCAGTTATTGCATTTGTTTAGTTGACAAATACATTTTAACTGTAATCTCAGGTCAGAGGTAAAGAAACAATCAATAAAAATAGGCATTATATATTTAGCACACAATTATTTACTATTTCTTTAGGCTGAATTTAGGCTGTTAGTGAGAGAGTGTAGCAAAGGCAAGGCAAAGCAAGTTTATTGGTAAAGCACAATTCATACACAAGGCAACTCAAAGTGCTGAACAAAATTAGATTAAAATTAAAAGAGCATTAAAATCATAAATAATCACAGAACATTAAAAAGAAAGATACAAATATAAAATCCCTCAGTTGTATGCACAGCTAAACAGAACTGTCTTTAACCTGGTTTTAAACATTGTCAGAGAGGAGGCCTGTCTCACATCTTCAGGAAGACTGTTCCAGATTTTAGCAGCATGAATCTGAAAAGCAGCCTCCCCATGTTTATTCCTGACTGTGGGACCAGCAGGAGTCCAGCCCCTGTGCTCCTCAGAGTCCCAGCAGGAGTCCCGTCCCTGTGCTCCTCAGAGTCCCAGCAGGAGTCCCAGTCCCTGTGCTCCTCAGAGTCCCAGCAGGAGTCCCCGTCCCTGTGCTCCTCAGAGTCCGGGCCGGTTCATATGGGAAGAAATCCAAGCTCCTGCTGCTTTGACAGAGAGGCTGTTCTGTCCAAATCTGGAGGATCTAAAGTTCACTAAATGGTCTCCTCTGGATGTTAAATACCAAATGGACCTGGGCAGAAGCCGGGCCAGAACCAGCAGCTATTCAGTGGAAGGTGTTTTGGAAGATTGTGCTAGAAGCCGTGTTAATAAAAACATCTTATCTTTTGTTCGTATCGACATAGCACACATCATGTTTCTTGAAGTTCTTCTTTTTAGTCCGTGCCGCTTCTGTGTGGGAGTTGTTTTTGTCGAGTTGTCCTCACACACAAATGAGACGAGAAAGTTTTGTGCTAATTGGAGCTCGCACTTCCTTTTTCCACGTTCTTCATCTCAATGACTCCGGGTTAATACGCACAATGTGAAGGTATCGAGGTAAATGTGTCTCTGCAGCTAATGGACACTCACGGCTCTTCATATTTTGAATTACACTGCTCGCATTGAGCGCACACAATGGATTTCTTAACACTATGCATTTATGCCTGTGTGTGTATGTTCAAAAGACTGCGACCGTCATAATGAATACAGTAGGCTATTGATCAAACTAGGCCCATTTAGAGTTTGGATAAAAAGGCTGCAGTCAAAGAAAAGAATGATGGAGGGAGAAGTGGGGAATTAGGATGGATGGTGCTCGTGTATTCATCCTGGCAGAGAAAAACAACATTTGAAATAGAGTAAAATAATTGAGAGAATATGAAAAGAAGGATGGGTATAAATTGCACATTTTTGTGAAACAGGAGAACAGATTAACTAATTATGTATTATTGCCCCCAGCTGTCTCTCAAGGTATTCATGTAGGGCATTACCCACAGGAGCGGCTGACATTCACCTCAGCGTGGCGTGTGTCTGCACATGTGTGTCGCCTTTTATGCTTTTCCCTATAATCCAGAGTGTAAATGGAGTCTTTGAAAGCAGAGAATGAGGCCATTACCAAGTATCAGTTTAATAAAGGGCAAATTGCTCTCTCTCTCTTGCTCTCTCTCTCTCCCTGTCTTTATCTCCTGCTCTTTCTCTCTTTTCCTCCTCACTCAAAGAGCAACAAGAATGATGTGTCATTATCAAGACAGTCCGCTTTACTGATCGAGTCTTGGTTTTATTTTGGGCTGTGTCGAGGTTATTGACTGGTTCCTGGATGCTTCTCCAAAATTATGGACTACTTATACACTTTTGCATTTTGTGTGTAAAATGAGTTTAACTTTAAAAATGCACAATCAGCAATCCACTAATATTGGAAAACAAAAAGAGAGACACAGGAATGGTCTTTCCACAACATCAGCCGTGACATATTATTCTGTTATAATTAGGTGTAACAAAAGTAGTTTGCCAGTATTGATGTTTTATTTGTCAATATTGAGAACGTTTTTCTTCTGCAGGAGTAGCTTTCATTTGTTGAGAAAAAACGAGAAGTTATTGAGGGAATTGAAGAACTTGGATTCACGGCAATGGTAAGATTTCAGATTTCACTGTCAATTAGGCCTGAGGGTAAAATTGAGACCACTGTTTTCAATTTTGAAGAAAAAACATGGTGGATCTCAATACCCTTTCATTTTTTCATCATCATCATTAAAGGGTAATAACAGTAGTTCTGCCGAGATATTTGGATTTCAAAATGAGATTTACAGCTTCTAAATCTTGTGGTTTTCATTTTGATGTCCGGCCCTCCACCGTTTCACCAATCAAAGTATGTGATCCGGGCGCCAGAACTCACCCTGTCGAGCTAATCTCACTGGTAAAGTACCATGTGGCCGCCAGTGGGGGCGGGTCCCGGCTCAAAAGTGCCCAAAATGACGTGCGCTGACATGCTGCAATACCACCCCGGGCCTGTAGGGGTGGACCCGGAATAAGAATTAGCCAATGCTAACATATAGCATCTTCTGACCCCTCGAAAACATCTTTACAGGATGCTCCAAAAGTTGGCTCTTGGCCCAAAGCTTCGTTTTACATGTGTGTCAATGCTGAGGGGGGTGTTTTGGACCACTCTAGTTTAGTCGCTGTGAATTTTTGAAGTCACTCATTGAAATGAATGGGGCTCGTGCAGCTGACACATGCGCAGATGCGTTTTTTCACATTTTCCAGCCCCCGCGGCCATTTTGAAACTGCCCATAGACCGCGGAAGTTTTGGCGGAACGGCGAATAGTTAGAACGGCGGAGATAGACGTGACGTTCGTTAATAATTAGAGTCTATGGTGGCCGCAGAACTAAAAAAAGTCTTGTCATTATTCTCAAATCATTACTGACAAAACTAGGACTATAACACGGATTTCTATCTTTGTGAAAAAGGTGTTGGTTATAGATTTGTTATAGACACTTTATTCAGATATTATGGTCTGAGCTGGATTCGTCTGCATATCTGGCAACCTGAGTCAGGGAGAGTGCAGTACCACTTTTGGCCAGATTTTTACATCCTGCTCCTTTTACGGTAAATACAATCGAAGCATATTTGAAATTCAGTTAATCTTTGTCTTTTAGCCGCGAGACACACAAAATTGCAGTGTTTTATGTCGCTGAAGGCCAAGAGGACAAACACTCCATACTCACCAACACCGCCGGCAGCCAAGCTTATGAGGACTTTGTTTCAGGTCTGGGCTGGGAGGTAAGTCCAACATGAAACCAAACGTGGCTAGGTATGTATAGAAGTGCTCATCTTCTTACTGTTCTGCAAAAGGTGGACCTCACCTCGCACTGTGGCTTCATGGGAGGTCTGCAGCGCAACCGCAGCACAGGCCAGACCACACCGTATTACGCCACATCCACCACAGAAGTCATCTACCATGTGTCCACGCGCATGCCCCATGATCAGGACCACAATCTCACCAAGAAGGTAACTTACTACACACACACACACACACACCTCTCTTTTGTGCCTCTGATGTATAATGGCCTGTCCCCGGGGCCTGTGCACACCAGGTATAAATGTGAATGTTATTTAAGGACAGTTTGAAAATAAGTAAATGTAACTGCGCACTGTGCCGTGTAAGTATTGTGTTCTTTCTATACACTTCATCCAGCTTTGATTGTGAAAAGAGCTGTATACATTAATATCACTTGTGTACAAAGTCACAAAAACACTTTGCAATTATTCATTCACTTCGGTTGAAGACGATGTACCTTTTTGAAATACCAACTATCGGCCTTAACTTCTTCCCATTTGGCCGATATGCTATCATGTTATACCTCATTTTAAAAAACACATACACGCGATATATGAATATATTTATTTATTCAAACTTGTGTATACACACTTCACATAAAAATACAGAATTGAACCGTTATACACAGTTTGCAGGTTGGACAAAGCAGAGGCTTATTCATCATTTACCCCTCTCACTCATTCAATACATCACAACACACACACACACACACACACACACACACACACACACACACACACACACACACACACACACACACACACACACACACACACACACACACACACACACACACACACACACACACACACCACACACACACACACACACACACACACACACACACACACACACACACACACACACACACACACACACACACACACACACACACACACACACACACACACACACACACACACACACACACACACACAAGACAAGGCAGAGGGCCTCACTCTTTCTTCCACATACTTTTTCAATACTTCTTTAGAGCCACATATTTACTGTATACATACATATATGTACTGTATTTAATACATTTGTTGAAGTTGATGTTTAATGGGGAATGTACATGAATCTAACTGATCAGGCTTTGATTGAATTGTGTATAAAGGAGGTTCACGCACATCAATTGATTTTGATTTGTATTTACTAATCCTCTCTAACTATGTTTAATGCACCAGGGTGTGCTGCGTGTGCCAATGTCTACACCTGTCAGCCCCCAGGCTTAACGCCCATTGCACATGGCCGTAATGTCCTTTTAATCACATCACCTTCCTGCTTCTCGGCCTATCACGTCCCTTCAGGCTGCTCATTGGATTATCAGTGCCTGGTCTGACACCATTTGTCTCTCTGATCAGCTGATGACCCCATCAAATACACGTGTCTGTGCGCACACAAGTGGTTGACCCCACAGACCTGATCCATGTAGAGGCTGTATGACATTTTATTATTATTTATACGAACCTTTTAAATACAGCAGCTACAGCATTATTGCAGTTGCTGTCACCAGACTTACAAAACATTTGAATTGAACTCATTCCAATAACAAATATTGATTTAATTTTATTGTACTTCAACATGTGGTGACAAATAAAGAACGTGACATATTTTTCAAGAGCTTCAAATATAATTTACATACTCTAACAAAAATATATCCAGACAAAATGTGTTTTATTCTTAGTGTTAAATGTATGGTTGACTGAAACCGCTGCCATGCATCAGAAGGCATTTTTGTCGACCATGAAGGTTAACGACAGAGCTGTCAGGTGTTCTGGCTGTTGCTCCTGACTGAACGTTTTACACAGAACATTGGACTCCATCCCATCCGTCTTCCAGTCGGTATTCGATCTTATGGGCACATTCACTCCGTCTTGTCTTTGCTCTGTCCTTCACTCGCTCACTCCATCACCCCAGGGCCACATGCAGCACATACACACGTACCACAGGCCTTGGCTTTATGATGGATATTGACCGTCCAGCCAGTGTACTTCCATTGATTTACAGTTGTGTATTTATGAAACCACATCATGTTTATTCTACATTCTGATTAGTTCTGACTCTCTTTCAGCTCAGACACCTGGGCAATGATGAAGTCCATATTGTTTGGTCCGAACATTCCCGAGATTACAGACGAGGAATTATTCCCACAGAGTTTGGAGATGTCCTAATCATCATTTACCCAATGAAGAACCACATGTACTCCATCCACATACTCAAGAAACCAGAGGTAAAATAAACACAATCTGAAACTGTCATGGTTGGATGCTGTTGGGTTTATGGAACTTTTTCTTTCAATGACTTGTCAATGGAGGAAAAAAATCAGCTGGACATTGATCTGTCTTGTGCTCTGGTTAATGTTTCAGTCTAAAACACACAGACGTTAATACCGCAGCAACAACAACATAACTCTATTTCAAAAGACATAACACAATAAAATACTGATTTTTGTCTTTCCGACACAGATACCATAACACTAATGACGTAAACGTTTTCTGTTTCATTCATATCATAAATCTAAAAACGAGTCAGAGGAGATGTTTTCTGGTTTGAGGTCCTGGAAGCAAAGTACTCTGGCTTGGAGATCTGGATTACAAATAATTAAATAAGTCCTGATGTTAATGGGTATGTTTGTGTATATGTATGTGTAGCTATACGTGTATTTACACTTATATGTTTGCGTATATACTGTATGTATGTATGTAACATGTATAATTTGACTAATTTAGTTGGGTTGATGTTGTTTTGTTAATAGGGTAGACATTATAAGCCACAGCTTCAGTCTACACCTTTTCTGGATTCCTTCCTTATTTGCGACGAAATAGACAAATATATTTTGATTTGTTTGTAACCAAATAAACATTCATTCATTCCTCCCGATCTGAAGTTGTTAACGCCCTCATCTTCTCCCGCCTCGATTACTGCAACTCCCTCCTCTCCGGTCTCGACGCTAAATCCCTCTCCCGTCTCCAACTGGTCCAGACGCAGCAGCCAGACTTCTCACTGGTTTTAACAGAAGGGAGCACATCACCCCTGTCTTAGCGTCCCTCCACTGGCTCCCTGTGCGTTTTAGAATTGGTTTTAAGATTTTACTGATTACTTTTAAAGCTTGTTTAGGTCTGGCACCCAGCTATATTCATGAACGTTTAACCCCCTACGAGCCCCCCCGCAGCCTTAGATCCTCGGGCAGGTCCCTGTTGACTGTTCCAAGGTCGAGGCTCCGGACGAAAGGTGACCGAGCCTTCTCTGTCCGTGCTCCTCGGCTTTGGAACGACCTGCCCGAGGAGAAAAGGCTCCATCAGTATCCTCTTTTAAATCACTTCTTAAAACCCACTTTTAACAGCTTTTAACTGCTAGTTTTAAACTTCACATGCTTTATTTTACTGTCTGCTTAGTCTTTGCTGTGTCTTTCTTTGTGTGTTTTGCTTTGTTTTTCCGTATCTATTATATCCAATTATTTTGACTTTGCATTATGACTGTTTTATTGTTCATTATGCTGACTGTGCAGCGCTTTGTAAACATTGTTTTTAAAAGTGCTATACAGATAAAGATTATTATATTATTATTATTATCCACTAGCAAACAATTGAATACACAAAGTTAACCAAAGCCTCTAAGCCATAGCGCATTATTCACAAAGAGTCGTTTACCAGAAGGATTTGTTTAAACATAGTTGTGAATCTGACTTTCCATTTTTTATTTCAAGGTGCCATTCTTTGGACCACTGTTCGACGGTGCTGTAGTGGACATGAAGATTTTACCCACAATGGTCCGAGCAACGGCCATCAACGCCAGTCGGGCCTTGAAATCCCTCATTCCGCTCTACCAGAACTTGTATCCTTTTTAAGGTTGTCTGAATATAACTGCTCACTTCAAGGTACGTTTTTTTTTCTATGGATTCATTAATGTTTCTGTGCATCTTACATAGACTAGTGATTATAACATTGTGTCCGTTTGGTGATAATATTTTCTTGTACTGATGATATTGGACTGATGGATGTTGTCTTCCTGCTCTTGGTTCGGCAAAAGAAAAGCTAATGCGCCGTGTACAGCTTGACTGAGGCAAATCGCATGGCGCCGTGGCAAGAGCTCTGGTGTGTGCTGTCTGGTGCACACTGGGGTAGTCTTGCACAGTTTTTCCAATGTGGTTTTACTGCAAATGGAAAATAAATAAATTAATTAATCTGAATCTATGATGCTGTATCTTACATTGTGTTAAGGTTTAGTGTACACAAGCAGCAAAGTATAGATGTGTCTCAAAAGAACTCCTGTGCGTCATATAGAAATATTTCCCTCTGTGCTTTGAATGTTTATAAAATAGAAGTTTCACAGTCAAGTAGGATGTCGTTATTATGTAGCAGACCAGTGTAGTTGGAGTGCAGAAATGTTTGAGCATACACTATGTGTTTTTTGTGACGCAGCTTCCAGGCGGTGTTGGGTCTGTGGACTCTCTGCTGTGGCCGTGTCCACATGCTGAGCCACAGAGAGGCAGTGGTCAGTGTCTTTGTAGGTGTTTGTGTGAAGCGGCCTGTGTCCTGGTGTGTATGGATTGGTAGTAGCAGCAGGTCGATGTCTTTGACAGGCTGAATTACAGTAATCAGTCATTATTGACTCTCAGAGCGGCACACCTCTGTACTCCACTCTTCAGTCACTTCATCTCTCTTTCTTCTGTCCTATTACTGTCACTCTCTCACTCCTCACTATCTTTCTGTGTTACATATCTCATTTTGTGGTGTGTTTCTCGTCTGTGCTCATGTTATTATGTTCATCTTTCTGTCCCATTTCATCCCTGTTTACTTTCTTTAACAGCCCCGTCCATGTCTCAGTGCCTCTGTTTTTCTCTAATCAGATGTCTGCTTTATGTCTGACAACTTTACTTTGTTTTTCATTCAGATTTTTGTTTGAATGGCTTCATTCATGACTTCTGTTTTAATAGTATTATTTTTTTTATTATTTTATGCACAAATCCTCTTTTTTGCTTGTTATTATAGGTTGGAAATATAGATTTACAACTATTTGATATTGAATATATTGCTTATACATAATTCCTAATACAAATAAAACAAGCAATTCATTTGTTTTTAAGCATTATAAACCATTATACAACTTTTGAGCATTACTAACCTTAATCCCTGCATGTCTGTGCTTAGTTTTATGTTTAGCGGAAACTTCAAGTGTATCCGCGCCAAGGGGCAGCAGTTACACAATAAATAGTTTAACACAAACAATGAAATGAAATCAGGTAAACTGAGATTATTGCCACAGTCTAATGTTGTGTAATTTTCAATATAGCTGTAATGAAACGCAAAATTAGAAAATACTGGTGGTCCTGCTTGTATTATATATGTTATATTTGTTTTGGTGCCATGTAAGAGATGGGTTCACTATAAAAGCAGTGTGAGCATGACTATGTGCATCGATGGTTGCACACAGAGGTTTGTGGGGGATAAGTTGGCAGGCCTAAGTGTGTCATTGGTAACTGGCATTTTTGTCTTTCTATTCTCCCTCATTTTTGTCTCCCTGGCCCTCAGGGCAGTCCATCTGCCTTTTCTCTTTCTCTGATCTTTCATTCACCATGACTAGAACCATCCAAAATCTCTCAAGCACACATGGGGCATACACACCACACACAGAGGGAGCCAGGCCATTGGGGCAGTTGTTTGTAAGCACAGATCAATCTTGCATATCAAGTCTCTGCAGCGAGAAAACATTTCCAACAGACCACACTGATATAAAACAGAGATTGTAAACTAGCCAAGTCTTGTTTATATATTTTGTTGCATCCTAATGGTTTTTGTATGTTTTAAGGAACATTAATGTAATTGTTTTTCTCTCTCATTAGATTGTTTCTAGTTTATGGCAATTTACTATTAATATATTCAAGCCGAAAAAATGCAAGCAAAGGCCATCTCTGTGCCTTAGAAAAGTGCAGTGGAGTCTTGCAACAACATGTCATTCTGTCCCTGAGCTCAAAGTTCACCTGTGTCGCTGCCGCAGCTGCCTAGCCATCTGACGGACATATGACTGTATACAGAGTGAATATTTGTGCGAGGGGATATGCGCACGTCTCTATGTGTGGCCAGCCTCCATCTGCTCTCGGGTGATTGCGCTTCTGGGGAACAATGTTGGAAATGTGCTAAGCTCCTTCTCACACACACACACAGATCCTTCCACTCTGCCAGCCAGTTATGATGGGCATTAGTGTCCAAAACGTGTCATCTGTTGGTTTACATGTATGTATTTCATAGTGCCTGTGCTGTACCTGTTTGACACTTTGGATTAGAGTGTTTTGTTGTGTGTGATTGCTTGGGACATCCCCTCTAGTTGTTGATTGGCAAAGATAGCTGTGCAGAGGCAGGGGTCAGCATATGGCCTGGTGTGATAGCAGTGCTGCGGTTGTGCGTGTGCGTTTTATGGGTTTCTGTGTGTGTCCCTCTTTCACACTCTGTTCCCACTGAAATGATGGCAGCTCTGGGCATGTAGTGCTATTATCCCCCATATCCACACACACATAGACACACGGTGAGGGGAGCAGCCAAACGCCTACCGGCCTGCATGGCCTTCCTGTGCCAGGCCCCACAATAGGCTCCATTGTCCCAGTCAGACTACAATCTGCAGTGTGCGACAAGGAGAGTGTGTCCCTCACCACAGTAAAAAGGTGAGGCCACAACCTTACAAATTGAAGACATTTTGTTATTGGCGATGCTAAAATGGGGTCATGGTATCCTTTATACTCTACGGCACCTATTTTCTGTGGAAGGAGCACCTCTTTTGACTTGCACCTTTAGCTGCACCGCAAGCGAAGCCTCCGACAACTGAAGAAATAGGACACAAAGCAGATTAAGATTAGCAAATTGATAACTTTGCATGATCATGTTAGTCATAAGGAAAAAGGCTCTTGGGTATGTGTGGCTGAAACAAAGGCAGGAGGAGGTGCCTAAGCTTAATTGTTTCCCAGGGTGTAAATGTAGGAAATGAAAAGGCCGGGATGAGGAGGAGGGTCGCGGCTAATCTCTCCTCGGCCTCCCTTGGGAAATGTATCCTTTGTCTGTGTTGCTGTTTGCACCGATAGTCGAATGCCTGTGTCACAAAAATGTGTAAATGGCATAATGCATTTACTTTTGGCTTGGAAATGATAATGGGTTAAATACTGGTGAGTTGTATAGTTGTCACGGGTAAACAAGGAAGGACCCAAAAGCAGAACTGCAAAAATAATATAATTTAATAAACACCACAAAAAGTATAACTGAAACCGGGAACAAGACATGGGGGAAAAACAACAATGAACCAACAACAAGAGGACAGGAGCACAGGGTCTAAATACCCACAGGTAGACACAGGTGTAGCACATCAGGGAGGGGCAAACAATCAACGAGACAGACATGAAGTAAAACTTGCGACAAGAGAACAAACATATCAAAATAAAACCAGATACATCAACAGAAAGTCCACACCATGACAGTACCCCCCCTTCTAGGACAGATGTCCCAGATGTCCAAAAAACAAAAAACTATCCCAGGAGGGCAGAGGGAGTCAGGAGGAGGACGTACTGGAACCCAGAGTAGACCTCTCTCGAAGAACAGGGCACAGGAGACCACCCCGGACGGAAAACAATGTCCAGCGGTGGCACAGAGTCACAAGCAGAAGACGACCATCCCAGACGGAGACTATAGTCTGGCGGTGGTCACAAATCGGAGGTAGAGAGGTCATCAGTGGGGAGCAGACGAGAGAAAAAATGCACAAAACCTGATGGTGGGAGAGGTACGGCCAGCATCTCAGGTCAGGGACAAGGAACACGCAGGAGCTGGAACCCAGTGTAGACCTCCAGGTCAGGACAGGAGCAAAGGGAACCACCCCAGGCGGAGACAAAATGCCCGGCAGTGGCTCCGAGGGAAAAACAGGAGACCACCCCAGATGGAATTCTTATCTGGCGGTGGTTCAAGGTGAGGTCCACAACTGGCAGAAGGCATGTAGGCAAGATGACCTTGGCAGAGATGAGGTCCAGAAAAATTATCAAGGTGTGGGTAAAAAAGAAAAGCAGTCTGCGGAGTCCAATAATGGTTGGTTCATTCTGTCACGGGTAAACAAGGAAGGACCCAAAAGCAGTACTGCAAAAATAATATAATTTAATAAACACCACAAAAAGTATAACTGAAACCGGGAACAAGACATGGGGGAAAAACAACAATGAACCAACAACAAGAGGACAGGAGCACAGGGTCTAAATACCCACAGGTAGACACAGGTGTAGCACATCAGGGAGGGGCAAACAATCAACGAGACAGACATGAAGTAAAACTTACGACAAGAGAACAAACATATCAAAATAAAACCAGATACATCAACAGAAAGTCCACACCATGACAATAGTTTGAGAAAAATAGGGTTGGGTTAGCGAGTGGAGAGTGTAATCGCAAATGCCAACGGATTAGGGCTGTAATTAACACTTTTAAAATCAATTAGTTGGCTGATTATTCTCTATTCATTGATTAGTTGTTTCAGATCATGATTTTTTTAATAATTTTTTCCTTTTCCATTTTAGCTCAAGTGCTGCCTCTGGAGAACACCTTCATACAGGAGACTCACACATTGGGTTGTTTGATTAAAATACTTAATGAAAACACATTTAAATTAAAACATGCACTAGTATAGTAATAGCTATTTAACTAATCACTTTAATCAATTAACACGTCGTAGCCTTACTGAGTAGTGCTAAATATTTTTGTTTTTTATTTTTTTTAGGATATAGCCTTTTAATTAATGCAACTTTTCCATTCCTAAATCTCTTCTTTTCTTGTTCTCGTGGCCACAATACTATTCATTTCAATCCAATTTATTTTTGTCATGCCCTAAATCACAACAGTAGTTATCTCAGAGGACTTAACCAAACCGTTTCAAAATAACACAAAAATTAGGAAACGCATATTGGTCCCTAGGGAGTTGACCAATGTCTATAAATGTTGTAGAATGTCCTGGCTCATCCCCTCAGCCCTTTCTGTTGGACCCTCCTCCATCTGCACGAAAAAACTCTAAAACCCAGTGAGAGAAAAGTGAGAACCCAATCTTGTGGCTTTCTTTCCTTCCATTTCTAATAGTAAAAAGTAATGTTTTTTTTTTATTTTTGGGGCGCTACAGGAAATAGATTTTTTTCTTCTTCTATGAGTTACAAGTCTGAAGTTAATTATTATGTGATTCTTGTAACATTTCAGAAGCACTTCTTACTCTTCATGGTTTACATTGTCGACGGCCCTAATCTTTGACCAGAGCGAAAATGAGTGTGTGTGTGTGTAATGGCTTGTGTATAGTCAGCCGGTGTCTCCCCGTGCACACACATGAGCTGCAGACATCAGCGGCTCCGGGGCACCTTCGCGGCGCCCGCACCCCGCTAGCCGCTAAACAAGCTAATCTGCCGCGCGCCGCCGCTTATGTGTCCCGGAACATGGATGCACTTTGTCCGGTCGCAGATCTGAACGTAAGCATTTTCATGTGATGAGCTGTTTAAGATTCAGACAGGGAGATCATACACACACACACAGACGACACACACACACTAACACGCACACACACATACATGCACACATATAGACAACACACAGACGACACAGACAAACACAGACACACTTTGCATATACACACACACAGACAACACACACATACACACACACATGCATGTACGCACACACAGACGACACACAGACAAACAGACACACTTTGCATATACACACACACAGACGACACACACACACGACACACAAACACAGAGAAGACACACTTAATCGCACAGACACACACACACAAACACGCGCACACACAGACGACACACACCCGCATGTACGCACACACAGACAACACACAGACAAACACAGACACACTTTGCATATACATACACACAGACGACGCACACACACGACACACAAACACAGAGAAGACACACTTAATCGCACAGACGCACACACACAGACGACACACACACACACAGACGACATACACACACAGACGACACACACAGACAAACACAGAAACACTTTGCAAATACACACACACACACGACACACACATACGCACACACACACACACGCACACACACACAGACAACACACACACACATACACACACAGACAAACACAGACACACTTTGCATATACACACACACAGACAACACACGCACACAAACACGCACACACACACACAGACAACACACACGCACACACACACATACACACACACGCACACACACATACATGCACACACACAGACAAACACAGACACACTTTGCATATACACAGACAACACACACACACACACACACACATTCTACAGATGTGTTTATTCTGCATTTTGGTCAGCTCACAGTCGCTCACTTCTACAACTACATGATGTATCGATCATTTGAAGAAAAACAAAAAAAACATCTTTTATCATTTTTCATTTTTGAATTTGTTTATATTTTTGTGTTTTAATTTTTACATAAAACGCAAACACACACAGACACATAGAAATACATATCATGGCCCAAAATATGCAGTACCCACAGAACTGTAATACATTTGTTCATAATTTATCTATTCTGATTTTGGCTTTGTCAAAATAGATAAATTATGAACAATATATACAATACATGAATTATGAAGAATATATATTATTATTAATATTAGTATTATGTTACTGCGTTGAGTTTAGGACTTTTAAAAGTGCTTTAAGGGGACATTTTCATCTGTTGAGAATTGTCTTCATATGAAATTAAATAAATGTCACTTTTGGCCCACAAAAGGCACGCTTATACATTTAGCTTATTGTCTGGGAAAGTATTGTTTTACAGCCTTAAGATAGGATTAAATACATCTGTCAAAAGTGTTCTTGTTATAATGCCTCGCGTGTGGAATAAGCGCTGTTGCTTCAGGGGCCTTTAGTTGCTTCTGATAACAATCCAACGCGATGTGTTTTAAAGTAAAAAAACGGGTAATAATCATTTCAAGATGTTTTCTCTTCATTTTTAGGGTCAGTTTGAAGTGAAGATAAATGGGATTAAGCTTTGATTGTGCCCCTAACAATATATCTGCATCAGAGTGACCTATCGGAGTCCCCATCTCGGCCGCACACGATCACACACACACACACACACACACACTAATGAAATCACAAAGCCTCCATATCATTGCTATCACAGAAAGATATAAACCCATTAGCTTGTTCCTTTGGGCATGAACGCGCGCACACAGGTTTATCATTACACGCCGTAAAGCTTTTCCAATTGTATTATCCCTCTGATGTCCCCTTCTCTGTTGTCTGTTCCAATGCCCGGGGTGCAGGGGACAGATAGGCCGGACCTCGCACTGGGGAGATGCGGCCCGAGATACAGTAAATATGAAAGGGAGGCGTCTTCTACAGCTCCAGCTTGTCGTGCCCATGTGACTTCTACATATGTGTTTAAACTGTGTCAAATATGGCAAAATGAGGCCTGTGTGGAGAGGCATTTGCACTTCATTTAGATATACAGTGGTGTCAAACTTATTTTGGTTGAGGGCCGAATAAAAAAGGAAAGAGCAGGTCAGGGGCCGAAAAAATAAGTGGCTTTCATTTATTAATTTTTTTTGGAATATGAAGGTATCTATATAAACAACTTTTAGTTGGATTGGACATTCTTTTCTGATTAGAATTAGTTCAGTTCCTGTGGACAAAACTGGACCAAATATTGAAGATATATGGGAGGATATTCTACTTCTGGGTGGATCATCGAGACTATTGCTCCTCCCAACTGTCAATCATTCTGATGATTCGTGCTCGTCCAATAAGACCACAGAGTTTTGTTCAAAAAGTGGAGAGGGCGGTTCTTTCCTAATAACATTGGGAAATCCTGCTTCATATCTTTAAGAAGAAATGTAATTGAAGACTCGTAACAAATACAACATAACAATACTAACTTCTCATTACATGTTAGCTTAACATTTTTTATGGAATTAAATTTTATGGTTGTTTTCTCAGTAATGGATAACATGCCATTGTCGGCCATTACCATTTATGCTGCTATTTATTATTATAATTTAAAATCATCTCAAGGACCACTGGAAAAGGTCTCGCGGGCCGAATCTGGCCCCCGGGCCTTGACTTTGACACCTGTGATTTAGAAGAATTGAAATGCATTGTTACATGTGTTTAAACTGTGTTCTTTCAACCAAAATACACTTAAAAACATAACATACTTCATAATTACTATTTCTGTCAAAAGACGTACTGTAAATCTGTAAATTACCGTCAGAAATAGTGTTTTAAATTAGTGCTGTAATAAGCTAATCGATTATTTAAATAGTTCGGGATCTAAACAACTCATCAAATATCAATGAATTCAAATAATATTCTTTCAACTAATTGCTGAAATTATAATTGGCCAAAACAATTGTTGCATTGTTTTGAAAAGATATTAAACAATGTTGTAGAATGTGTTCTCCTGATCACTTCTGACAGTCCTCATACGTCCTCATACGTGACATTATACTGAGTATACTGAGCTGCTTCAAAGACCACTTCTGCTTGAGGGATCTCACTCGACCAGTATCGATCCGCTCACACAAGCTTTATAGAAACTGTCAATACTCCCATTTGTATGCAGTTAGCACCGAGTCAGTTGTCACCGGCTTCAACTTCAGCCGCAAAATGTGGCAGGAGTTGTGTTTTAAAGTGGCACACAGACGACACACAGACACACAGACACACAGACGACACACACACACACAGACACACAGACGACACACGCACACAGGCACAGACACACAGGGGACACGCACAGACACACTTACACACACACACACTTACACACACACAGATGACACACACACACACAGCCTACACATGTGTTTACTTCCTGCATTTTGGTCCGCTCACATTCGCTCACTTCTACAACTACACAATGTATTGATGTATCATTTTGAAGGTTGTGTGTCTCTGTGTGTGTGTCTTATTTTAAAGTGGCTAATCGTTGTTTAAGATTTTTATGTGATTAATGGCTAAATATCCACAAAATTCAAGCAAGCTTCACATTGTTTTCATTCCGGTTAACGTTATTTTATACTAAATTTTGGCCACAAAATCTGTCGCCTGCGTTGGACCTAACCTGCAATCCATTCTATTATCTTTTTTCAATGTTAGTTTGGGGGAAACCAGATCACCAGAGGAAACATGGCGAGAACATGCAAGCTGAACGCAGAAAGTCCCTGTTCTCACTGGGATGCGAACCCAGGACCTGCTCGCTGTGAAGTTAAAAGGCTAACCACTCTGCCGCCCTGATTTCTTTCTTCTACTGTACTCTTTTTCTTCTCATATCGAGCCAGATAAGTGTATGAACGACTATGACTATCACGTTAAATATTCAAATCTGCAGATGGTGTTCGCGACCCCTAATGCGCTAACAAGCTCCCTCCTGCTCGTCCGGTGCGCTCTGTCTCAAGTGATCGCAGGAGTCGAACATCAGCACAATGAAGAGCTCTGCGGGAGAGTGAGGGACAGACAGATCCTGAAATGGACCGAGGACGGCACCGACGCGCTCTCCACTCTTTTCCACGGTGCCAAGAAAATGTGTTTCTGACTTCACACAAAAGAACCTTTTTATCTTTGCCCGGCGTCTCTCCGTCCTCCTTTACACTTCCATGGGGTTCCGTCTCCTTTCTCTCTGCCACTCTCCCTTTATAATCTTTCTCTTTTCTCTCCTAGAAAGCGAGATATTTTGCTGCTAATGACTTAATAAGAGGGCCTATCTGAAATTCAATTACAGCACATTTCATTGGTCCCATTTGGACAAATCGCAGGAGTGAATGAGGCTGAAGACACGAGTGAGACTGATACAACCTTTACCGTACAATTTTAAAATGCTTTACCCAAGTTTATCAACGACTTCTCATACATTTGCCAAATAGATAGATACAGTAGATAGATAGATAGATACTTTATTGATCCCTGTCGGAGAAATTTAGGTGTCCAGTAGCAGCAAAAATAAAAAATATATCATTCATAAAAGCTAACAATAGTATATTAAGCAACAGTCCTTCAGGTCACCGCAGCAGAGGTGGAGTAGCATCTGGGTGGAGCAGGACGGGTCACAGCAGCAGAGGTGGAGTAGCCTCTGGGTGGAGCAGGACGGATCACAGCAGCAGAGGTGGAGTAGCCTCTGGGTGGAGCAGGACGGATCACAGCAGCAGAGGTGGAGTAGCCTCTGGGTGGAGCAGGACGGATCACAGCAGCAGAGGTGGAGTAGCCTCTGGGTGGAGCAGGACGGGTCACAGCAGCAGAGGTGGAGTAGTCTCTGGGTGGAGCAGGACGGGTCACAGCAGCAGAGGTGGAGTAGTCTCTGGGTGGAATAGGAGCAGAGGTGGAATAGCCTCTGGGTGGAGCAGGACAGGTCACAAGGTGTAGCAGCCGCTTGGTTCGGACCATTTTCTCTGCTCTGGTCCAAAGTAAACGGCTTCATTAGCGTTTTTCAAAAAGTTAGCATCCCTCTAGTGGATTTTCATCTGATCCACTTGGTTCGGACCATGAATCCTCTGCTCTGGTCTGGACCAGTGTAAAACCACGAACACTGTACTGCAGCAACATCTAAGGTAGAAAATAAGCAAGTAAAATAGGATTGATTCAAAAACATGGAAACTCCAAATGGTGTAGATAACTGAAGATATTTTCGGGCTAAATCAGTTTAGTTCGGATTATTGGCAGTAAATCATTATTAATTCCACAGTGTCTTTCTGGTAAATCGCAGCAGAAGGAAATCCAAAATTGGGTTGTTAGACTTGCCAAAGACACCAGACTTTTCTGTATATGTCCTCAGAAAGCCGTGAAATAACTACAGACTGAACACTTGGTTAAATAATATAGTTGTTTTTATTAATTGTGTATTGTCAAAAAAACACTTTTTTATAGATAGATAGATAACTTTATTTGCAAACTCGAGGTCCAGATCAGCATAGACACAGACGAGAAAATAAACTATTATAGATATAGAATTCATTTTACAGTACAATATGTAGCTTTAGGGCGAGGGTTTGTACTTCTCTCTTAATGCTGCAACTATAATTAAACAATTCAGAAGTATTTTTGTCCTTTTGAATTTATTTCGTATACGTTCTCGTTTGAACAAATTGCCTAGAATGAGTCTGGTGTGTGTGTGAGTGGTTGGTGGTGGTGGGAGGGGCTTCTGTCAGTGTGCCCCAGGGCAGCTGTGGCTACAATACTAATTTATCACCACTATGTATGAAGTGTCTTTGAGTGTCCAAAAAGCGCTATATAAAACCGATACATTATTATTATTATCATTATCCACCATCAATACAAGTCTCTTTCGTCGCCCTTTAAGCTAACTTCATAGACATTGCGCACGTTGTTGTCCTATGTTTTTTTTTCTAATTGAACCCATGTTATCAAAGTTGCAAAAGCTTCTTGTGTCTTGTTGTGTTGTCGCTCAGTGTGAGTTGGTGTTTGTGCCGCGGTGCCACAGGGCCACATGCCGAACGCTCACGCTGGGAGCAAGAAAGAGCAGAGACAAAGGAAATGGACGCTGAAAACGGAACAAAAACTCCACACATTTATCACAGCTGTGCGACAATATCTATTTATTTACTTTCTGCTCAATATTAGTCGCTTCTGGAGTCCCTCTGACCTCATCCTTTTGTCCCAAGACTTTATAAAAAGAGCGGGAACGGAAAGACTGTGGCGAGTTGGATGAAATTGTCTGTACAGAAAAAGAGTCAAGAGTCATGTTTGGGAAAGACTTTAAAGTTGAAAGAGGGAATGAGGTTACATTGGGGACATTTTATAATCATTCTACCTTGTAACTTGTGAAACCATCCATCTATCTATGCTCTATGGAAAAACAGAATATCGTAAAAAATAAAATGAAAGGTCTTCTCTAATTCAAGCTACAATGTGAAACTAAAATACAGTAGGACTGACATCTTACGTGCGAAGTGAGATGTTTCAAGTTTTTTGTTATATGATGACAATTGATAATGATAATTGTGACTTGAAGATATCTCAAAAAATAAAAAATGTGCTGTATGCCATAATTAACTTAAAACATGTGCAGCTTTAAGCCTTTGTTTATCATTTGGATAATTTACAGAAATGCCTGCATTTTTCAACGATATTCTTATTTTTTGGGTTAGGATGTGTGCGTGTGTTCGTGTGTGTGTGTGTAATTTACATATTTAACTTTTGCTGTAGGAGTAAGTGAGTATTCATAGACACCCATTTTGTATTTTAGCCACCAAATCATCCACTAATTGTAATTTGATCAACCTATTTGTTATTCAATCCTTACATTTAAGTTTTTCTCTCTCTCTCTTTTCCCCGTCGGCCCACCTCTGCTGCTTCACGCTAACACAACAGCACACAGCGTCGTTCGGAAATGATTAAATTGATTCCCCTAATTGCCTCAGAGCCCGGCACTCGTGGGGGATTGGCAGGGAACGGGGAGAGGCGCGGGGAGAGGCGCGGGGAGCTGCCCGTGCCTCCTCCACACACTGTGATTCTCACCTGGTTTTTACACGCCGACCCCTGCCTCTCCCCTGCCTCCCCCCTGCCTCTCCCCTGCCTCCCCCCTGCCTCTCCCCTGCCTCCCCCCTGCCTCTCCCCTGCCTCCCCCCTGCCTCTCCCCTGCCTCTCCCCTGCCTCCCCCCTGCCTCCCCCCTGCCTCTCCCCTGCCTTTCCGCCCTCCGCCTCGCACTTGCTTGGCACCTCCGCTCCTCTTCATTTCCTTCATATGCCACTGTGATTCACCGAGTGCTAACGGAAAACAAAACTGCTATTTTTATGCCGAGCGAGTCAGAGAGTTCTGGGCCAGTTCTGTTCCGTCATTAATACGGTTGGAGCATTATGGCATTATTTTCAGGGGTTGATTGATATCAGATGTGCACTGGGGACATATTTCTTATTTTTACCATTTGGTCTGTGGCATTTATGCTTTCAGCTCATAGTTGCTCATTATATGCCCCTTCTAGGTTTTTTCAAAGAATTGACAGATAATGCCCTGAACCCTTTTATAACAGAGATTATGAATGAATAGAAAAAGATTAAAGAACTCCTGCTTTTTTGGTATTCTGAAAAGTAGCTTGAAGAAATTGTATAAATATTTCCTGTTATAATTGATCAGCTGTGAATATAGATGGATGGATTAGGGCTGCACGATATATCGAAAAAATATTATCGCGATATCGGTGCGTGTGAAATCCATATTGAAAATATGCGCAAAAAAAAAATTATATATCTTTTTTTTTTTTTTTTTTTTTTTTTTTACTTTTCCCTTATTAAAGACAACAAAACAGACGGATACATACCCACCAAAAAAGTATATAAATATATGCATTTGAATATCATGTTTTTTTTGTCTCTTGCGTTTCAATACAGATTGCAATTTAAGGTGAAAGAAAAAAATATTGCAATAATATTGCAATAATATTGTTATCGAAATACTAAACTAACAAATATAGAGTGCCTTGCGAAAGTAGTTGAACCTTTCAACATTTCGCCATATTTCAAGCTTCAAACATCAAGATATAAAATTTTAATTTTTGTCATGAATCAACAACAAGTGCGACACAATCGTGAAGTGGAATGAAATTTGTTGGATAATTTAAACTTTTTTTACAAATAAAAAACTGAAAAGTGGGGCGTGCAATATTATTCGGCCCCTTTACTTTCAGTGCAGCAAACTCAGTCCAGAAGTTCAGTGAGGATCTTTGAATGATCCAAGGTTGTCCTAAATGACTGATGATGATAAATAGAATGCACCTGTGTGTAATCAAGTCTCCGTATAAATGCATCTGCTCTTTGATAGTCTCAGGGTTCTGTTTAAAGCACAGAGAGAACCATGAAGACAAAGGAACACACCAGGCAGGTCCAAGATACTGTTGTGGAGAAGTTTAAAGCCGGATTTGGATACAAAAAGATTTCCCAAGCTTTAAACATCTCAAGGAGCACTGTGCAAGCAATTATATTGAAATGGAAGGAGTATCAGACCACTGCAAATCTACCAAGACCCGGCCGTCCCTCCAAACTTTCATCTCAAACAAGGAGAAGACTGATCAGAGATGCAGCCAAGAGGCTCATGATCACTCTGGATGAACTGCAGATTATTGCACGCCCCACTTTTCAGTTTTTTATTTGTCAAAAAAGTTTAAATTATCCAATAAATTTTGTTCCACTTCATGATTGTGTCCCACTTGTTGTTGATTCATGACAAAAAATGTAAATTTTATATCTTTATGTTTGAAGACTGAAATGTGGCAAAATGTTGAAAGGTTCAAGGGGGCCGAATACTTTTGCAAGGCACTGTTTAATCATATAATTACAAATTTGTTTTTATTCTTATTTTATGCACATTATGTATAGATAGAATATAGAACTGATGTGTAATGTAGTAAACTAAATACAGAGAGACTTCTAGCAACACATATCTGCTTTCACCATCCCCTTGAGTTTTCCCGTGACTTTCTCGGCCATCCAGTCTGTCCCTTGGCCTTAACTGAGCCATACTGTTGCTATTACCATTGTCTGTAACCGGATCAGTTACCATTAGACCTGAACCTCTCCTCTTCTGAGAGCCATAGACTGCCACTGTAACCCAATAGAAAACCCACGGGTGCTGTTACAGATGGCTGCTCCATTCACAACACGAGGGCACGCATTGAGGCACAAACACACAGATTTCATTCTGAAGATTCATCGGCCTAATCCTATTTAAGCGGGGAGACATGCACTTACATAGACAGCGGGTCATAAAGCTCGTTCACTACCATTTCTGGAGCCCAGCCTTATCAAATACAGATACATGCGGCCATTGAAAACCCCTGTTATTGCAGTAAATGGCTTTACTATTGGGAGCTAATGGGGCTGAGTTATGTGTGCGTGCAGCAGCTGCCGCAATGGCCGGGTGTATACGGCGATAAGAATAGTATAGACAAAGGCCGGAGTTGTTTTTCAAAACCAAACATGAAACAGTATAAGTTATAGATAATTTTGTTAAGATCTAACTAAACTTTGCTTGCACTAGAATACACAGTACTTTATACTTCTTTTTTAATATTATTTTCAAGAGATTTTATACTTGTTCTTTGATGCTAGAGTTAGAGATTTTGTTTATTTTAATTAGTTTAGCTATTCGTTTATCTTGTGCTGTGTGCTCCTCTTTCCTACTGTTCTATAACCTGTGATGCAACACTGAAATTTCCCAACAAAAAAGGATCTCTTAATGTAGTTTTTTTTATGTTAAGTAATGTGTTTCATGATCTTTGTTTTTGGGGACATTTTACTCGCTAATCCTGAGGGGACATTATACAAATTAATAACAATGCATGCTACTTGTGGAGTACTTCCCAAGGTGGTATTGCTGTAGCCATGGCTGCCCTGGGCCAGACTGACAGAAGCAAGTCTATTAATCTGAGCCTTTGTCTTCGCTCACCACTACCAATCGTACACACACACACACACACACAGAATCATGGCACTTGGCAATGAAATGTGTGAGTGAAGTGTTTGCGACCGTGATAGTTTGGCACTTTACAGCCTCCGTCGCCTCATTGTGGCACCTGCTGTTCCCAGAGGTCTTCCATCACAGACCAGTGGGGATGTTTCGATCACTATTTCTTTGCCTCCGATCCAATTATTTAACTTCAAATCTCGAGTCTCAATCCAATGCTTTTGATCATTGTTATTGCACATTTTTTAGATTTAATATTTTAATCATGTCATGCCATTTTCTACCCCTTTATTAATCATGGTTCACATCGACAGCAGACATAAGTGGGAGCCGGTGACATGGTCCGTGGTGGACTCGAACCCATCGGTTGAATTCCATCCGACCAATCAGAGAGCGCGGGAGGCGGGTGTTGTAGTTAGATGTGGGTGACGTCAAGAGTTTGCGCAGAACGGGAAGGTTGTAGTTTGGCAAAGAACGCAATAGTAAAGTAATCCGGTCTGGTTCTATCAAGAAATTGAAGCCAGAGCAAGAGGAATGTTTTGCAAATGTAATCGCTGGCAAAGATTGTGGCGCTACTCCTCTCGGGCTCAGTTAGCGGCAAAGGAGATGGCTAAAGCTAGGCTAGATGCTAACGACTCACTCGGGCTCATTACACACGTCACGGTAAACTCAGATTCAATGGTTTCAATCTGCTAAAGGAGTTAGCCCCTCCCACCTGTTAACGGAGTCAATGGAGCAAATCCAGACCTTAGTACGAAATGAAATGTGTACTATGGTGTGGTATGACCAGGCTACTGAATGTCCAAAGTAATTCTGAATGTCTAAAGTAACTTTAAAGAACCAAAGTAACACCTTTTTTCAGTTTCATGTTCAGTCTCAAATAATCAGATTTGTGTTGTTGAATGTAGCTCTAAATAACTCTAACTCTCGCCCCATACAAAGTGTTGCACATTCTGCATGTTTCTTTTGTGCTGTCCTCGTTTTCTACATTCTGCCACACTTTTGACATTTTTGAACGAGTGACCACACAAACACCACTCTGAGTTTTTACCATAACTGAGCTTTACATTATTGTGTGTGCAGTTACCATAAACAACTGCTTCTTCTCAACAGCAGCTCTAAAGATCGGATCAGGACTTCCCTACTATCCATCTATCAGGCTTTCACATGAATATAATTTTATCACTAGTTCTTTGTTTGGAGAATGGATTTAACAAGGTTTTATATTCTATTGCAAGAGGGTTTTATCCTGTATATCTTTCACAACAACTTTTACTCATCCTTTCCCTTGTTTTCTGACCTACTTTTGTGTTGTATTTTGTGTTTTTGTACGTTTTACACCTTAACCGTCGGCTTCAGCTATGAGGAGCGAGCCCGATACCTCGAAACCATTGTGCAGCATCACCAGGAGCCCACGACCTTTGAGGATTACGCCGCTCGGGTCTACAGTCCCGCTCCTTGCACTCACTTACCATCTGACACAGGTAAAGCCAAAATAATCTGAATAAAGTCTGGTTTTTAACATCTAAAATAAAAAATATCAGTCTATTAAAGGTGCAGTGAGCGATGTTGTTAGCTTAGCCGTAACACCGACTGGAAACCACTCCCCCCTCCCCTCCCTCTCCACCAAACCAAACATCCAGCATTTTCTTTTCTTAGTCCCAACAGGGAGAGTGGAGCAAACGTGAAATTGGCATTTTCTGTTCAGCCATTTTAGGTTTTGGAAAATCATAAACTCCGGTTGCACTCGCGAGAAACAGGACGTGGGTGAAGGGGGTAAACGCATCCCATTGGTTCGTTGGGAATGAACAAATCCCATTGGTTAATTTTTATCGGCCCGCTCAGAAATATTTGTATTATTTTTGGAGACTATAAACACATAACTTGACTACTTTTAGGGTTTAGAGATGTTTTTCCACAATATTTATAAAAAATGCGTCTGGAAAAACTCACTGACTGCATCTTTAATTACATTAGGTGAGTTATTAGTGTAGAAATGACTCAAACAAATGGCCCTTTTCTGGTATAATGATAAAAAAGGGCTGCCATGACGACTGCTGAGGTGTGACTGTCTAAACGTGTGTGTGAAATTGAAATCCTGCTTCTTGCCTCTCGAGCTAATGTGCCGCAAATAATCTTGACAATAACCACCATAAATTGATCATCCTGCCTTGGGGCTGAATAAATGCAAAACGCAAAGTCCTTGTTTTGTCTTGTTCTGCTCCAAGTCAACATTTCGGAGCCCAGAATCAAAGCCGTGCCCCTGAAATTGGAATAAAATTACCATAATCTTTGATTCTGGGTTCTCAAATCACGTACAAGTCTTGCTCTTGTCGTCTCTCTCCCTTCCTCAAAGTAACTCGCAGGTCCCTTAACTGCAAAATGAATGAAGGTTTTTTTCTTTTATCTTGTTTTTTTACCCATTTTTATTTAACCTTAAATTCCCTTCTTTTATTTTATTTGTTTATTTCCCCCCCATCCTGTAGATCGTAATGTCTCACTTGCCTATTGCTAAGAAGGTAAGCCTGGTCACATGATTGACTCTCCCTGTTCTGATTGGTTCACTGACATTTTCTGCCCTAACCATTTTGTTTTCTAATATCTCCTTGTTATCTGTTCACTGGCCCTACGTGCTTCCTCTTCTCTGAATGTTACCGTCAACACATTTCTGACAATGTAAAGTCAACGCTCACTCCACTCTCAGTGCGATTTAGTCTCTAATTGTAACACAAATATTAGTTTTTAAGAATTCACACAGAAAATGACATGCTTTGAGCCTCATAATCTACACTACCCAGGCAAAGATGTGATTGCTCTCTCATTTATTTAGTGGTTGTGTGAAGCCATTTATTGTCAAACAATTTATATTTTTATGTTTTTGCACGTTGAGTAACTATGTAGAAAACCCTGGAATGTGCAGGAACTTGAGAACCGGGAACTGGAAACTTCTCATCGGAGTCATTTCAGTAGTTTCTTCTGTTATTATTATGATTTGAAAATAGAAATAGCATTCATTTGTTTTTATTTAGGGGAGCGACAGTGGCTCAGTTGGTAGAGATTTGGTCTTTGAGCCTCAAGATAAGAAAGACTTCCACATTTGGCACAGATAGAATCACTCAGATTTCTGCAAAAGACAGAACCCTAACCCAAAATGTTAGAGGCAAAAAAAAAAAACAGTTCAGAATATTATGTACAATAAAAAGTGGCAATTGAAGAAACAGTGGCATTTTTTTGTCCTAGTGCAAGTGACTTATTGTACAGTCTGACAGTAGTGGGTTTGGGCCCATCGCGAGAACTTCTCCACCGACGTCATGCTGCCGTTGTGTCCATGGGCAAGACACCTAACCCCACTTTGCCTGAAGCCCCCGCTGAAAGATCAAGTGAGGGGCTGGTGCTCTGACTGCCACTCATTCCCCTTGACCCAGAAATGGATTAAGGCTTCACACAACCATAAACAATGAGAGAAATGAAGCGTTTTGCCTTTTTTTAATTCATTATTTCCAGAATATGGCTCTAAAACAACATATCGATGGCTTACATGGACAGATAAATACTTTTGGGGTCTGAAATGGTTTGATTTTGTTATTTACTTAAAGCATTACTTAACACAGCACACATAACCTGTAGCTCTTCATCTAAATTGCACTTGAGGGAGTGAGATGTTCCTTCATATAACAAAGTTTAACTGTGTTTACTGTCACCAACCTGTTTCATTAACCTGCATTGTGCGACACTGATGTGGTGGAACTAACATAACCTTCTGTTTGCTCCTGTCCTGGTGAGGTTGAGGATTGTCCACATGTAGCTTGTTCAGTTTCATGTATAAATGTATAAATATGGTCTTTACGTGTGATACTATTTATCTTTGATTGGGTGGGATTATGATGTATTTTGTTTAACCTTTCTTACCATCTTTCTTTTTCACAATAATTCATGTGTTTTCATTTCCTTCCATGCTTCACGACCTCACCTGTAGAGGATCATAGTGACATGTATCTGATGGTTCCTAAACCAGTAGACAGTTTGCACCAGCTCAGAGTGAAGGGCAAAGGGTTGAAGCAGAAGGTCCTCCATGCTGGCTGCGAATGGTAAAGAAATGTGACGCTCAGACCCCAGAGTCCTGTAGACGCTAGACTCGTAGTGTCCTGAAAGGAAATACGTGAATGCTTTAAGAGTGGAGGCAAAAGTGAAGTGGATTTTATTTCTATTTTTCTGTGTGAAGGGTAATTAGTTTTCAGCTGGTAGCGAATCAAAATGTCATCACGTTAAAGGAGCCACAGTATACAGTAGTTTCTGCAGGTTTTTCTCAGTTTGAATGTTTAGCCCCGCCCCCAACTCGCTCACAGACTTCTCATTTCCCCGACGCTCTCATTCCACGGAGCCATCTAGTTGATACGTATGCTAACATTAGCATTAGCACAACTTAAGCTGTACAACACATGTGTCAAAGTCAAGGCCCGCGGGCCAAATCCGGCCCGCGAATGAATTATCTATGGCCCCCCGGGACATTGCCTGCCATTGAGGCAATGTATTGACCCCTTAAGCTCGCTAGCCCCCGCCGGCGGGAGCAAACGAGGAAAAAAATACATCTGCTGCCAATAGCAGATGTATTTTGAACTTCATAAGCCACGAGCTATATATCATTTTAAAGCTTATTTTCTCAGCTATATTTATATGTAAGTGTAAACTATATCAGACTTTGCATTAAAAAGATATAACGCATAATATGGGCACAAAATAAATCACGTCTGTATTTGTTTTTTACCTTTCATCTTCTGCTGCTCCAACAAATTAGACTTTCCCCATCCTTGCTTAGTCGCTTTCTCTCCGTAACTGTTCATTGAAGAAGAACATCCACTTGTATTTCCCAAAGTATAATCCATTCTGCAGATTTAATCAAAAAACGCCCCGAAAAGAGGTCCAGACTGCTCTTTTACATTTCACCAAGTTTGAGCTTTTTTTTTTTTTTTTTACTATTTTCATGTTCTCAGATGAGGATTGGCTTTAGAGCATATTTTATCGAGCCAACAGGTGTCACCGGCACTGCCTCTGGATGTTGAGAAACATTGAACCAGTCCGGCCCTCGGCGCGTAGCAAACATTTTTTTTTGGCCCTCTGATGTATTTGACTTTGACATGCCTGCTGTACAACAATCACTGATGAAATGGTACAAAAGCAACGCACTGCTAACAAAATATATAACTGAAAGATTACCGCTAGTTTAACGTCCAAATGTCCGAGCGTAGATAGTCCAAGCATAGATAGTCCGAGGCGGTCCCGCAGGTCTCTCCCATAGACCAGTCTCTCCAGAGGATACGATGTAAGCTAGCTCTGTTCAGGGCTTGATTTCTTCTCTGATCATGTTTTGGCTTTAGTTCCTCTTCTCTTCCTCACTGTTGTGTGGTTTGGGCTGTTTTGCTGTGTCTGCAGTTACAGCCAGAGGAGTTATAGCCACTTATGCTAACATGCTACTGTGTTTAGCAGCGCTGTAGAGGCTAGAGGACGCAGCCTCGTTCTGTGATTGGAGGAGAGCAGGCGTCACGCTAAGTCTCTACTCAGCACTTTTTACGGCCTGAACTCATACACAGCTTAATGAGCTCAAGTTTTCAATTAAATTACGGATTATTACACAACTTGTATGTAGTAATAAGCATTTTTATGAACTCATTAGAAAAAAAAATCGGGCATAGCTTCTTTAACAACATTTAATTCAATTTTCTTTCGCTTCATCCGTTGCCGGGTCACGGGGGCAGCAGTCTAAGCAGAGACGCCAGGACTTCCCTATCCACACACACTAGTTTACAAACAATGCAATGGGTCGACAAATAACTTACCGGTATCTATATCTAACAAACAATGATAACAAGATTTTTCTCCATTGTGAGATCAATAAAGTTTATTTTATCTTAATAATAATAAAGTGATTATGTTTCTTTACACTCAAATACATGCAAATACATATGAAGCTTGTACAGTTTTGATGAAAAAAAAAAACTTGATTCTTATATTTTCTTCACTTTTGCCTTTCTGATTTTTGAGCATTCTAAAATTAGCATAACACATGGTCTATATTTTGATATTTTACATGAGCATTTTACATGAACAACACCTGTAAACAGATGTTGTATCTGGTATTAGAAGAAGGTGATGATTGTGTTGAGTGCAGTCGAGAAGATTATATCGGCACTTATCGCGTCGGGGGATTAAAGGGGAAGTCTCACATTGGACAGAGTTGTTAACTTTAATTTTCAAACATCTGTCGGTTCTGGGAGTGCTTTGTTCGATCAATAGCGACTTATTCACTAGTCACTTGAAGCCAGTATGAACCTTTTAGCAGCCAAATTAGCAGAATTAATACACAAGCCCAGAACAATTTCTTTACAGCAGCCTGGTTTCCCTACATTTTTATTTTTCATCTGTTAATTTTCTTTAGTTACCGGTATTTATTTGAGTCATGCTTCATCTAGGGCTCTACTTTTTGTCTGTTTTACATTATTCTGAAAATTCGCCGGTGCCTAAAGGGTCGACTCTTTTTCCTCTGTTCTTATCTAACCCCTTTTTGCTAAATCCAGATTAAATATATACCACAGTAGTCCAGTAGTTTAGAAAGACCTTTAAATCCTTTAGCCATCTCTCTCCTCTCATCCCATCTCATTCGTCGAGAGTTTTTGTGGAATGGTAGATTTGCAAGTGATTTAATAATTACTGTTTATTTCCCCACCATTTTGTCTGCTCACTCGCCCCCTTTCCCATCAGGCTCCTGCCTCGAGATTCTTCGGGGAGAAAGTCCGGCTCTTGGGGAGGCCGGGAGCGACTCGGCGTCCCCCATGTCTCCCAGGACTAGCAAAAGTCGCATGTCCATGAAGCTACGGCGCTCATCCGGGTCTGCCAACAAAACTTAGGCTTATAGACTTCCACTCAAGCACCAAAACAAGGCCATATCACAAAACACAAAACGGCTGGTGTCATATATCCCCATCATATCCCACTATGGACTGAAAAATGTCTTTAGAATTGCTGTTATTTTTACTGAGCAATGCTTTTGGGAGGATAACATTGCTGTATGGAGTATTATTATTATTATTATTACGGAGTATTATTACTTTGTCACTCCCCACAAGAGAGAAACCGCTGCGTCGAAGCTGTATATTTGTACCATAGTTGGATAGGGATGTACAAACAAGGCTGAGTTTTGATAGAAAAAGAAATTAGACTGTTCCAAAAGCGCCGCAGCTATATTGTCAAATGTCTATTTTTATGCTCCGCTTTGCCTAAAAAAGAGAGAGGGAGAGAGGTCCTGGTTTGTAATGGCGGTTCTACTGCTTTTGGACGAAACGTTTTGAACTGAATCTACTGCTTTTGAAATGCCAAAAAATACCACAGTCGGATCACCGAGCGGATGCGTGGGTTCCGAGTACTGATACTGACGGATCAAAACGGCGAGCGCTGGTCCAGGTTTATTTTGCTGATTATTTTAACGCACTGATATCACTGCATTTAGAACATATATTTAGATCCTTTACTTGACTGAAGTTGGCAGAGAACGTTGCTGGTTTTCTTTGTTTTTTTGACGCAAGAGAATCAGCCATGTCTTCTTGCTCTTGTCATAATGTCGTACTATGTATATCTATGTATGTTTGCGTATATATCTATAAACTGTAAAATATGGATGGTTTGTACAGTGACAGAAGGCTGCTTGTGTATATACTGTTTTATGAGCATTGCTGCCGTAACACGTCTCTGGTCTTGGCTTTTGACCGGAGCTGCTAAGTATGGACATGGATATACATGGTTTAGTAAATAATATACCTTGATTATGTCATAAGAGAATTATTCAATCAGTCAGCCAAACCTTTTTTGTGATTTGATCTGCTCTTGTACAAGTTTCAAATGGTTTTTGTACCACTGTTTGACTTTGTTTCATTTCTGATTCAGTGTATGGATATATTTTGCACACTCCCATCTATACAATGTGTATTTCAAATGCAAAGCCTGTGGTATTAAGACGTGTATGATCCATTTTAATGCTTGTCTCTGCTTTGCTGCTTCTGTTCATGCAATGTCGCTTATACTTTTATCCACATCTAGAAGAAAGGGATTTTTGTATGTCACTTCTTCACTCTTACTTTTGGAAATCTGTTGTGTTTTTATTTCATCACTGCTTTTATGTTGCCACGTGTCTCATGTAAATGGTCAGACTTTTGCTAAAGAAAGTGCTGACCTGGCCGTGTATATCTGGGTAAATGACATGTTGTAAACTGGCAGATATTCAGTTATAATGACATCACTGTTTGGGTATCGAGAAAGTCTGTTACTAAATCTTGCTTCTGATTCCACCATTGTCACATTTTTATCAACACATCCAGGAGCCTCACTCTCACAACTACTGCAGTTAAAGAATTGAATCTGTTTGAGTCCATACATTTATATTGTGCTGACCTATATTGACTCAGTGACTGCTAATATGCCACAAGCTACATATATTCCCTGTAGGTTTGTGAAAATACATGTAGAACAGACTTGACAACAGCTGATGTAAGTGTCTGTACTGCATGAGTCCATATATATATATATACAGCCCATGAGTGCACGTGTCTGACCCCGTCGCAGCTGGAAGAGCATGACCACTGAAATCTCAAACTGTACATTCAGAGACACCCCGTTACTGTTGACAATAAAGCATCAATAAATAACAATGAAATGATGTCCAGACCTTTTCCACGTTTGTTTATTAATACTCTACATGAACAATTACACTTTATATAAAACATATTACGCAAATGTATGTGTTTGTTTTCAGAATTCATTTTATATATGATACAATTCTATATATTTTGTGATAGAGGGAATTATGTGATGCAAGTTTATATGCTCTGACTTCTGTAATCACATTCACAAAGTGTCCTATTCACAATCCACTGTTTGATTTTACCTCCACATTCATTTGCATTTAATCAGAAAATGTGTGAATGTTTGGTCAAGACTGGCCAAAGTTTGTGGCTTTCTTTTTTGTAACTTGTCCAAACAACAGTTTTTGTCAGAAAAACTACTGTAGTCTTTAAGTTGTGTAAGAACTTCATTATTTCGCTCTGGCCCAGTTTTGTCTCTCGTGGGTCAGCAGCATGAACAGAGCGGTGCGAATTGGCGAAGCTTCGTTTCAGCACCAAGGACAGCTCCGCGTCTTCAACGTCTTTGACGTTGGAAAGAAACGGTCAAAAAGGCACCGTGCGTGTGATCCTCACCTGTTTTGTTTCATGAGTCACTCAGACAGAGCTGGTCACGGCCGCACGCTCATCTGCAGCAGCATGACGTGCCGCTCCTCAGCGCTCGGACTCTTGTGGATGTGCGTGAGTCCGGAGGCGCTGAAGAACGTGGACGCGCACTGTTTACCGGAGAACAGGTGCTGAGGTTCCGGTAGCTCTGTGTCTCTGCCGCTGTCCGCGTCTCTGTGCGGGTGGAACATGTCTCCAGCCGCGCCTGCCGCTAACAGCTCCCCTCTCATACTGTGCCACACTCGGTGCTTGTCCCGGATCTCGGCGCTCGGGAATCGAGCCCCGCAGATGTGGCACACGAACACGTGCCTGTCCCGGGGCTGGGTGTACGCGCTCAGAGGAGGTTCGTGCGCGGCCAGGTGCTTCTTCAGGTACGCCTGACGCCGAAACTTCTTCCCGCAGCAGCGACACTCATAAAGCTCTTCTTCTTGTAAACTCTGCACAAACTGTAAGGCCAGGCTCGCAGCGGGGCTGTCCGCGGCTCGCACGTGCTGTGCCTCCGTGTGCGTCCGGTAGTGGGAGGGGATATTGAGCGGGGGGCCCATGCTCTCTGTGCGGGAGCTATCTGATGCATCTATCCGTAGCAGCTCGTTCTCTTTCCCGTCCGTCTGCAGTGAGAGCCCCCGGGGCTGGCTCTTCGTCTGACCCTCCGGGACCTGACCCGTCACAGGCCGCGGCTTGTGCCACCGTCGGTGGGAAGCCAAGTTCGCGGGGCAGCTGAAAACTTTGTCACACTCAGGACAGCGGTACTCCACACGCACGATGCGAGAGCACTTGTGCTGCGCCAGAGAGAAGGGGTCGCGGTACTCCTCTTTACAGAGCTGACAGATGAACTCACCCAGCGGCTGCTTCAGGGACCGCTCCCGCTGCGCCCTGGAGTCCGGGGCTTCTTTCTTGATGCGCAGCCCTAAAACTGGAGACGTTGTTACTTCATCTTCAAAGTGGAGCTTGCGGTGGATTTTGGGTTTCTTTGTGACGCCAGCCTTATTCGGTCTCCGGTCGGGGGAGCGCTTTCTCACTCCGTGGTGCCCTTCGTTGAGCATAGAGAGGGATGTGTAGAGGTGCGCGTGCATGTTGGGCTCGTGGCTGTAGGGGCTGGCGCGAGGGAACGGCACTAAGGCGGGAGTGGAGCTGAGGAGAAACGGCAGCTCTGGACTCGCACATCTCCCGCGGAAAAGTGGAGAGTCTCCCTCATCTTCAGCGTGCTGATCCAGGACCCGCGTGCCCACCGGAGTTACGGGCATGCACGAGCCGTCCCGTGAGGCTAGAGGCGGGAAAAGCCGCGTGGACTCTGGACTCACCGAGTACTGTCCCCGGTCCTCTGAGTCCGGGAGCTGAGCGCGCTCGTCCACCTCAGCCTCCAGTGCGGGCTCTAAGTGCGGGCTCCACACGCACGCACCCTCCTCATGGCGCACGGGGGACTGTGGTTCTGCGTGGATGCGCTCACTCTTGTCTGGACTCTCTAAAGCTGTGGGGAGTTTTCTGCTCCGGTACGAGCCCGGACTGCGCCGGTTACGCTTCACCAAAAAACCTCGAGGCATCACGCACCGGAACCGAAGCAACTGTTGTCAAGACGGGACTTTGAAGTGAAGCTTTGAAGAGCGCACTCGTGAGAGACAGAAGTGCGCGGAGGGAGGGGGCTTAAGAGCGCGGGGGGAGGACATCACTGTCACTGTTTGGATGGAACTGTCTCCAGCAGCTGCGCGCGCAGCATCAGCACCAAACTGTGGAGCTGAGGAACCACTGGTGCTTCATGATTCTATGGAGCTTCTGTTTCAAAGTTTAATATTTAGGTTTATAAATAAACAAATGCAATAAAGGTGAATTTTCTTGTCTGCATTTGACCCTGATGCCATTTATGTCACTGGTCGGCGTCACCGGGACCCATCTCCAGAAGTTGGTGCTCGGCTTGGTCAGGACTGGAGGATCTCCCACTGCACTCGGGGGAAACCTACGCAGGCATGGGGAGAACATGCAAACTCCACTCAGAAAGACCCTGTTCCGACTGTGCTTCGAACCTATTGCTCTCCACTCAAACATGAAGGTCTGATATATGTTTAAACTGCTGTTTGTTAGATGCCTATAGCCTCATTTCAGGGTCTTATTGTAAAGCGAGGGATTGAATGAACTTCCGCACGTGCCCCAGCTCCAGACAAACATTAAAAAAGATGTAAACTTTACAAAGTGCCCTTGTTTGTGTGTGGTTCAGTGTGAGATGTTGATCAGTCTGTGTTCAGCTCGGCCCGCCCCCAGAGACCTGCTCTGGCTGATAAGAGCTCGAAGGGCATTTCTCCATCAGACCCGGGGGTGCAGCGGCTGGGGCTGTACATGTGTGCGGGCCAGACGCTCTATATTCGGGCCAGAGGAGGGAGCCAGCAGCAGGCCTGACCCTGGACAATCATCACGGAGATGAGCGTGAGAACAGAGTCTGGGTCATGGGTGATTGGCTTGATACGAATCCTCTTGATACCTCCAACAACACTATGAAGGTCTTTGTGTTTACGTGACAGCAAAACGAAATATTCTTTACAATGTGTTGAATTATTGACCTGTTGTTTTGGCTTTTATCATAGATCCAGATTCAGGCTTTACGGTTCAGCTGGAACAATTATAATCTCAAAACAATGCAACACACAACTATGGAGGACCCAAACTGTCAAAATTATAAATAAATGAATAAATAAATAATGCCAATAATTATTAAGATAACACAACAAATCATGATATTTGTTGTGTTATTTTACTAATTATTGGCAGAATGTGACTTTTTTTAATTTATTAATTTATATATAATTTTGACAGTTTTGGTCCTCCATACACAACAGTCATAACAGTTTTATGTAGGCTGAAAAATATATGCATTTTTTAATTTGCATGCTTTTATTTTTGGTGTGTGACTGTATTTTGATGCTGGTTCAGGTGTTAAAATCTGCTTTGTCATTGTCAATACTGAGAAAACCCCTTTTTTTATTTATTTTTGTGATGTCACTAAGAGCCAATCCACTGCCACACATATATCATGCTTTCATGTATTTCACCATAACTTTATGTTCCTCAGCTTGTATCACAATTATTATTGTAGGGAACGCCCCTTTTTGGTTTTATTTTGAAATTCGTCGGGGCAACTTGGGTGCTTCCGTATTGTACTAAAGGTTGACATGGTGTGTGGACTCGGGATGGTCCTGTCTGAACTGTCTGTTTAGCGCATAGCTGAAAGGGGGATAAAAGGTGTGTATTTAAATGAGATTTTTTAATGATTTTTGTATGCCTTACTGATTTGATGTATTCATGGTTTTAGCTCTTACGGTGATCTTGTGCGAAGGAAATTAAAGGAAAATATGGCACATGCATCAGTACGAGCATTCATTCCGCTAAATGCGCTACAGTAAGAGCTTTTCCTTACGGATTGATGCATGGTCGTCCTCGCTGACTACGGAGCCGGCTTCTACTCGTGCGTTGACGGTGTGGAGCTGGTGGTGCCGAGGTGACTGTGTGGAGCTGCTACGTGAGCCGTGAACTGTCAGATCGCTCCGAGCTGTTCTCGCGGCGAAACCCCGGTAAAGTTAAGACGGAGGCAGGACGGGACTGTGTGAAGCTTATGGATCCGCTGACATTGTGAGTACAAAACTTTTGATCTCTCGCGGCGTGGGAGTGATACATCCGTGAATGGATGCGGGAAGGCATTAAATGACTCCAAAGCGCCTGCTCTCAGGAAGATCACATCATCATATGAACCCCTTCGCGTTTTTCCAATATTTCAAAGACTAATAGGGACAGCCTTTCTCAGTCGTTGGGATTATAACAAAAACTTTGCATTTTGCACAATTACGGCCTATTTGCACAACACTTTGCTTATTTGCACAATACTGGAACGTATATATTTGGACTCATTGTAATGATTTCTTCCTATCTGGGAAATTTTAAGGTGTTCTTGTGATAATTTGTATGTAATTTGTATTTAATATTCCTTTGACATTTGCTTCATACTTTAAGTTAAATATCATGTCTTTTTAAACAAATTACGAAGAAATGAAATGATTTAAGGGTGTGTCAGACGTGTACATAAGCAACAAAAATAAATATAAAAAAGGGATACAATATACACTTAAAGGGGAACAAAAATGGATCAGGGAGTGCAAGCAGCTGAAGAATCAATCCTTGAAAAAATAGCAACTAATACACAACCGTCAACCGAGGAAACAGAACGGCCCCAACGTAAAAGGCAACAAACTGAAAGAATGCAAGAGTATCAAAGGGAAGAGGCACAAAAGCGTGAAAAACGGCTTCTCTTCCTTTATGAAAAATGGAAGAAAAATGGTTAGGGAAGTAAGAAAAAACTCAAAAAATATATATGCCAGAAGAAGAGGTTTGGGCTGTAATTGAAACGTTAAAGGAAAGCCACAGAGAAATAACAAATGTTTTTGAAGAAATAAGAAAGACATCAACACCTACGGTGGACACAAGAAGAAGAGTCGACACATGCAATGCTGTCACTACTGAAATGTTGTCCATCGCTTATGACAGAGCAGTCGACGACAAGGAGGATTTTGATGAACATGGAGCAGGAGGGAGAATGCATGAACTATTGTCTCATGATTATGCACGCTCTGTCTATGGATCCGATGCCTCAATATCCTACTGTAGTCAATCCCATAAAGGGTCAACAACTTCCCTGACAGCCCAGAGGGTGCAAGCAGCCGCTGATCTAGCTGCGAAAAGGAAGGATTATCAACTTAAACTTGAAGAAGAAAAGAGACGAATAATTATACGAAATCTTGAGGAACAGCAAAAACGAGACTTGGAGGATCAAAGGCTGGAACTGGAACGACTACAAGCGGCAAGAGAAATCAGTGTGGCTGAGGTGAGACTAAAATTTTTAAATGAGGAAAATCCCAAGGATGAAAACAAAATGGATTTATGTAACGAGGCCTCCGCTTTGGACGAAGACTGCACCACATTGAGGGCTCCTCATACTCTACCAACATCTGCTCCACCTGCACATCAACCAACGTTTGTCACCATTAAGGCCCCTGCCCCACACTCGCCTGTAGTTGGCCAGCTCTCGAGAGGCCCTGCTGTTTCCGCATCCATGCCAACATCCACTGAGTCTAGCCTTCCCTCACTGACTCAAATATTGCAAGATGGCCTTGTTTTGAGTCGCCTTCCAGTCCTGAACCTTTTGTTTTCTCTGGAAATCCAATCAAATTTATAGAATGGAGGGCTGCATTCACATCACTTATCAGTCGGCGAACTATAGATCCCGACCGAAAAACTATACTACTCAAAAAATATGTTACTGGACCAGCTCGACAAGTTTTGGAAGGAACATTTTTTAGAAATGATGACGAAGCATTTTCAGATGCATGGGAGAAATTGAATAATAGATTTGGCCACCCGTTCACTATCCAAAGAGCCTTCAGAGAGCGTATTAATAACTGGCCAAAAATCCATGCTAAAGACGCAGAAGGCTTACGCAACTACTCCGACTTCTCAACACTTGCCTCGAGGCGATGCCACATGTTAAGGGATTAGACATTTTGAATGATTGTGAAGAAAACCAAAAATTAATCTCAAAACTACCTGATTGGGCTGCAGCTAGTTGGAATCGTCAGGTGACTCAAGGTTTAATGGATAGAAAATACCTTTCCAAGTTTCAAGGACTTTGTTCGATTATCACTCTTGAAGCAGAGATAGCATGCAACCCCATAACATCTCTTTATGCATTGCACTCTCCAGATGTGAGAAAATTCCAATCAGAACAAGGGAAAACAAGGGCTAATATTTTAACTACACAAACCGTGACAGAAAAAAGAGCACCAATGGAGACAAGAATCCCACAGTCAATATGTCTCTTCTGCAAGGAAATCACCCACCAGCTGCCCACTTGTTCAAAATTTAAGGAACTATCCATCAATGAAAGGAGAACATTTGTCAAAGAAGGAGCATTGTGTTATGGTTGCTTAAAACGGGGCATGGAGTGAAGTATTGCAGACAAAGATTTTTGTGTGACGATTGTGGTGGGAGACATCCGACAGTTCTCCACAATGAACATTTTGAAAGAAGGGACGTCAGGGCACAGGATCCAGAGGATACTTCAGCCACATCTCTTCATGTTGCATCAAATTCACCCCTCCTTACATCCATGATTTTGCCCGTATGGGTCTCGTCTAAAAAAGGCCCAGCCCAAGAAATCTTGGTATAACGCTCTCCTTGACTCTCAAAGTGACACCAGTGCTCAAAGTCTTGCTGATTCATTGGACACTGTTAAGCAAGCTGTAAAACTAAAGTTGACAACAATGAGCGCTGCTGGAGTGGTTATTTTCAGTGAAAGATTGTCGGACCTCTGTGTTAGAGGTTTCAATTCAAGTATAAAAATAGATCTTCCAGTTACCTATACAAAGGAATGCATACCACTGGATGTTAGTCACATACCCACACGAGAAACCGCAAGGAAATGGAGTCATCTCAGGAAAACTAAGTGAAGAAATGCAACCTTTACAAAACTGTGAGGTAGGATTACTCATCGGATACAATTGTTCACGTGCAATGGCGCCAAAGACAAGTTGTTACCGGGAATGATAATGAACCATATGCAATTCGAACAGATTTGGGATGGAGTATAGTAGGAGGGGCTCCTCAATATAGCAATCTTTGTCAGAACCGCATCTGCCATAGAACCCTCACAAAGGAGCATCCTCTACTGTCTCCAGTTGATGCAGTGAAAATGCTTGAATCCGACTTTAAGGATATGGCTGACGAGGCAGAGCCACTCTCAAAGGAGGACATTGATTTTTTGAATGCGATGAGCCAACGGATATTGAAAAATGAACAAGGCCATTATGAAATGCCATTACCGTTCAAGAAAAGGCCAATCTTGCCTAACAATAAAGAGATGGCACTAGCGAGGCTTCTGCATCTAAAGAGAAAATTTCTAAGGAATGAGGACTTCAAGAGCAGTATGTTAAATGTATGGAGGAAGTAATCAAGTCTGGAAATGCAGAGCTCATCAATGACGAAGGCTGTCCAGGAGAAACATGGTATATCCCACATCATGGTGTCCGTCATGCGAAGAAACCAGATAATCTCAGAGTCGTTTTTGATTGCTCTGCTGCATTCCAGAATACTTGTTTGAATGACCACCTTCTTTCAGGCCCCGACTTAATGAACAGCTTAATTGGGATTCTTATCAGATTCCGCCAACACCCTGTAGCCTTGTTATGTGATATTGAGAAAATGTTCCATCAGTTCCATGTGGCTAAAGAGGATCGAGATTATATACGTTTTTTCTGGTGGAAGGACGGGGATCTGTGCTCTCCTCCCCAATAAATTTCGTATGAAGGTGCATTTGTTCGGAGCTGCGTCTTCCCCTGGATGTGCTAACTATGGATTGAAGCATTTGGCTAAGGAGTACTGTGACGTCTTCCCTCAAGCTTCAAGGTTCATTTTGAATGATTTCTATGTGGATGACGGCTTAACCAGTGTTGAAGACGCTGCAGTAGCCATTAAACTGGCCAAGGAGGCAATAAAAATCTGCGCTGAAGGGGGGCTCAGACTACACAAATTTGTGTCGAATGATCGAGTGGTCATGGATAGTATTCCAGAGGCTGAGCGAGCCCCTAATGTTAAGGACTTGGATCTGACCATTTGAAAAATTGCACTTCTCAGATTGGAGTCCAGTGGAACGCACAAGGGAACAACCGCGACGAGAAGAGGACCACTGTGTTCGTATCTTCGTTTGTGGCACCAGTTCTCCTCAGAAAAACCATCGAGAGTGAAATGGAGTAAAATGGGATGTTCACTGCCCCATTGTGCCTTTTCAATACCTCGTCCCTGCTCGGAAAAAAGGTGGAGCTCCATCATTTCTCAGATGCCAGCACAAGAGTGTCTCGTTTCGATGAAAATGGTTACAACAAATCCCTCGTTTAGAGTTAACTGCTGCAGTTGTTTCGGTTCAAGCAAGTCGGCTAATAAAACAAGAATTGACTTTATCAAAGATAACAGAGTACTTTTGGACCGACTCCCGTGCAGTTCTGGGATACATTAAGAATGAGGCTCGTCGATTTCATACATTTGTGGCTAATCGCATCCAACAGATCCATCTTGCCTCTTCACCAGACCAATGGAGATACATTCCAACTGAGGAGAACCCTGCAGACCATGCCTCCAGAGGTTTGTCTCCCAAAGAACTTTCAATGTCAAACTGGTTTAACGGGCCCAAGATCTTGTGGGATAACAATCTTTTCATGCGAGCCACAGAAGAGATTCCAGAAATATCTCCTAACGATCCAGAGGTGCGAAAGGCTGCGGCACTTCATACGGAAGGTACCTCCTGCAGCAGTCTGATTAATCGCCTCTGTAAGTTCTCTTCATGGGCAGCTGCCATCCGAGCCATTGCAAGACTATTACGACGAGTCAAGGGAAATAAGGCCAACTGCATCTCTTCTGTAACTGAGAGACAGGAAGCTGAATGCTGGATTATAAGGAACATACAAGAAGGCGCTTTCACGGAAGAATTGAAATGGATGCAAAATGGAGATCAACTCCCTGCGCGGAGCAAGCTCTACCCTCTGGACCCTGTCCTTGACGAAAGGGGGCTCCTCCGTCTTGGAGGACGTCTCGAGCATTCTCAGCTTGATTATTCTGTCAAACACCCAGTTATATTTCCACGAGAGCATCCTCTCACACGGTTGCTGATCTCTCACTGTCATGAAGCTGTTAAACATCAGGGCAAGGGAATGACTATAAATGCTATCCGAAGTAGAGGATACTGGGTTATTGGAATTGGCCATGCAGTTGCGTCTTGTATTCATAAATGTGTCACTTGTAGACGCCATAGAAGACCAACCGAGAGTCAAAGGATGTCAGATCTCCCTCCTGAGCGCGTTGCACCATCGCCCCCCTTTAACTTACACGGGTATGGATTGCTTTGGCCCCATTCATCACGAGACAAGCAAGGAAGGAACATAAAAGATATGGTCTGCTCTTTACATGTTTTAGCTCACGTGCTCTACACATTGAAATGCTAGAAGATCTTTCAACCGATGCATTTATAAATGGATTGCGGTGTTTTATGCATACCATCAGGGGTTCAGTACGGCAAATCAGATGTGACCAGGGTACCACTTTGTCGGAGCAAGGAATGAGTTTGTTAATGCTCTGAAGGACTTGATGAGGAGAAGATATCGGCTTATCTGGCAGGACAAACAGTGTGATTTTGTAATGACTTCTCTCTCAAGCAAGTCACACTGGCGGGTGTATGGGAGAGGCAAATACGAACTGTGCGAAATATCCTTCGTGTCACTGTTGACCTTTCCAAAGGCTTAAAAGATTGTGCCTTAAGAACCTTCTTTTATGAGGCCATGGCAATCGTAAATAGCCGCCCCTTAACAACTACTACATTACATCATCCGCATGGCCCTCTGCCACTGACACCTAACCATCTACTTACTACAAGACGACGAGGGCCCTGCCTCCCCCAGGTCATTTTGTACGTGAAGACCTGTACAGTAGAAAACAGTGGCGACAAGTTCAATATTTGTCAGAGCAGTTTTGGAGTCGGTGGCGGAAGGAATATCTTGCCAACATATCTGTAAGGCAACGGTGGCATAAACCACAAAGAAATATCCAGGTTGGAGATATTGTCATTTTGAAGGATGATGAGGTGCTACGAAATGAATGGAAGTTAGGAAGAGTTTTGGAAACTATAACGAGTAAGGACGGCTTAGTTAGAAAGGTAAAGCTGATGCTTGGAGATCGAAGACCTACTCGCGGTGGAGTACGCCACACAAGGACATCAGAGATTGTGCGGCCTGTACAGAAACTGGTGGTGCTTGTGGAAGCAAATGTGAACAAAAATAATGATTGATAAAACCAACATACGCTTATCCAGATTATTATAATCCCTCATTGAATTACTCGTGATTGGTGGGGAGTGTAGGGAACGCCCCTTTTTGTTTTATTTTGAAATTCGTCGGGGCAACTTGGGTGCTTCCGTATTGTACTAAAGGTTGACATGGTGTGTGGACTCGGGATGGTCCTGTCTGAACTGTCTGTTTAGCGCATAGCTGAAAGGGGGATAAAAGGTGTGTATTTAAATGAGATTTTTTAATGATTTTTGTATGCCTTACTGATTTGATGTATTCATGGTTTTAGCTCTTACGGTGATCTTGTGCGAAGGAAATTAAAGGAAAATATGGCACATGCATCAGTACGAGCATTCATTCCGCTAAATGCGCTACAATTATTTTTATGATATTTTTTCATGTTCGTGCGCTTTGTGAAGAATCATGAAATGTCGCCATCTACCGGTGGAAATCATCACAGCAGACCAAAGATTTAAATTTTTGAATAAACGTCTTTCTTATTAGTAATGCAAACCAAAACAGATACGTTACATATTATATTTACGCAAAATAAAAATCGTGCTAAAATATAAAATAAACTGTCACCTGAACAGAGTAGACCAAAGACAAAAGTGGGTTTTTTTAATGTTTCTTTGCAGCTATTTCTGATTTATTTTTCATTTTTATTAATTATTTTATCGTCGTTGATGTTATTATTATTATTATTTTTATTTATTTTTTCAACACATTTGGCATTTTTTTTACTATTACTTGAAATTTCATGAGCTCCAAAAGAAGTATTTTTCCAGAAAGACCTAATATTGTATTTTTTTGCCCAAAAAAGTGTAGATTATGTTATGTTTAAGTTTTAAATCAGGCATTTTAGGGATTTTATGAGATTTTAACTTGTATGAACTTCTGCTTTTGTTTGTTTGTTCTGTATTTTAATCTGTAGTACTTCTTAGAAAGGTAGTGCAATATATATAAAGAGAATTATTATTATTATTATTATAGACTTTGAACAAATTTGCTGTGTCATGTCTTGGTGAGTGTTTTTTTCTGGTCACGTGATGCTGTGGTTCATTATAATAATCCTTCCCTGCTTTGTTCTGGACAGTTTACACATGACTCATCATTTACATGTTCGGAAAGTCCAGGGAATCCTTCACGGTATTTTAGAGCTTTAGTCACATGTAAATACACAGGCTCGACCTGGGTTTGGATGTCAAGTTAAGTTTGAGGCAAGAGATCAAATACAAGATTAATTTAATACTATTACTATTACTACGAAGATAGATACTTTATTGATCCCTGTAGGAGAAGTTCAAAAATACATCATATATATTACAAACACTCAATAATATAAATGTTATAGATATAATAATTTCTAAATAAAACAATAGTGCTTATTTTTAACTCAGGTTTGTTGTACAGTCTGACAGCCTCAGGAATCTTTCTATCTGAGAGAGCTACAATATATTTCTGTAGGAGCCATACACTTTTGTATCACTGTGAATATGTGATTTTTTTTTAAAACAAGATTAACACATTTAGTCTAGTGTGTGTGTGTCTTTGTGTGTGTGCGTGTTTGTGTGCGTGTGTCAACCTCTCGCTGGCCTGTGTGTGCGTGTTTTTCTTTGTGTGTGTGTCTTTGTCTTTAAGAACCTCTCGCTGGCCTGTGTGTGTGTGTCTTTAAGAACCTCTCGCTGGCCTGTGTGTGTGTGTGTCTTTAAGAACCTCTCGCTGGCCTGTGTGTGCGCGTGTTTCTTTGTGTGTGTGTCTGTGTCTTTGTGCGTGTGTGTCTTTAAGAACCTCTCGCTGGCCTGTATGTGCGTGTGTTTCTTTGTGTGTGTGTGTGTGTGTCTTTAAGAACCTCTCACTGGCCTGTGTGTGCGTGTGTTTCTTTGAGTGTGTGTGTGTGTCTTTAAGAACCTCTCCTGTGTGTGTGTGTGTTTATCTTGAAGCGCCTCTTGGCCTGTCTTGAGTATTTGGGGAAACTCCACAACACTGGAGCAAGTTCTAGAACATTTTTACTGAGTTACTGTGGAATAAACAGACTGAAATCACGTGTCAGTCACAGATTAACTTTTGGCAGAAACTCCGGAGCGTTTTGCAGATGGATTATGGGCTGTGGCACTCACCTCTGCTCACCCGAGTCATCAAGTAATCACAATAGTAACGTGTGCAATAACACCAAATAGCATTGCACCCAAAACACACACACATACACACACACACGCACTGCAGAGATTAAAGGTGAAACGTAATAGAACCTTAATAATGTTGTTTTTTTATTATTATTTCACATATTTTGACCAGCTTTTTTGTTTATTTTTTTAGAAATCTTTAGACCAGATTTCTGAAAAATTAAGAGGACCACCCACACTTCAGCATCAGCTCTCAGCCCAAATAGTGTGTACCAACAGGTCTACAGGTAAGCACAAAATAATATGTATTCTACAATGACAAAGACGGAATGTTGTGGTCTGATTTGTTAAAAGAAACTAAATAAATCAAAGGGGGGAAAAAATATATTTGTTTTTTGGGCTGTATTAATTTAATTTATCTGAGCTTTCGTTTTGTATATTTTTCTATAGTTACTTATGGTTTGCTTCAGTTATTATTGGGCAACTTTGATATTTTTGTAGATTAGATTAGGACGTTCGCCGTGACGTCAGCAAAAGGGTCACGTGATGCACCGGTTGACAAAACATTGGAAAAGCAATGGTGGGTTTAGTTTAGTTTAGTTTAGTGGTTCTCAGAGAACAACCGAAGGCAGTGCAGGACGGGCCTTTATGCACCTGGGTTTACCGAGATGCAGCAGGGGCGGGTTAGAAGTTGTTCAATAAACCTTTTGAACTGTTTACATTTTGATCGGACATTTGCATGGATCTATTTGTTATTGTTTACTGCATAAGCCACATACCCATGATGCATTGCAGTGATTATTTGAGCTTGTTTGGTCATAAGTTACATTTCCAGCTTTAACAGCTCTCACATGTTAAGGGTGAACACAGGGTGCATGTGCTGAGTCTTCCAACATGTTTATGGTGTGCAGTATGTTTATGGTGTGCAGTATGTTTATGGTGTGCAGGCTTCATGCAGAGAAAGCCCCTTGTGCTTCCACAGTCTATGTTCAGAATGTTCAGGAGCCACAGATCTGTGCAGTTATTCTGAGTGACAGTGTGGAAATCCCCCGCCTGCAGCAGGCCCCGCCCCGGCCCCAGACACAGACACACGGGGCTTTACACTGCTCTAACCCCGGATCCACACGCACAGGCACCATGGACCAGCACCACACCACTTTATACAGCCCGGACTACAGCCAGGACTTCAGCCAGGACTATAGCCCGGACGGCAAAGAGAAGCCGTCCACAGAGGAGCGTCTGGACAGCGGCATAGACTCGATCCAGGAGCAGGACTATGCGGCCCTGGCCGCGGAGATCCGAGGACTGCGTCTGCAGACCGAGTCCAAACAAGCCGTAACCGGAGAGGCTCCGCACTGGACCTCACAGATCACGGAGGACGGCGACACGTAAGTGAGACCATGACGTTATGGACGTATATTTAGAGCCAGGTCTCAGTCTGCTTGGGTAGGCCTCGCTCTGCTCCTGGGACGTAACATGATCCATTCCTGTGGGAAACTACTGTATCTTTACAAAGCGCAGGCCTGGGCCTAAGGTCTGCAGCAAATCCACATTTTACGGATAATACTTATATTAGTGGTTAACAATGTGCTCGGCTTTAACAATGGAGTGAGCTGTGTCCAGACCTGCTGCTGCTGGACATATACAAGAGACTTTTATCCAGAGAATCCACTGCGTCCGCGGGTCACAGCACAGACTGAATATATACACTATAGACTGTATATAACAGACTGGTCACAGCACAGACTGTATATATACACTATAGACTGTATATAACAGACTGAATATAACAGACCGGTCACAGCACAGACTGAATATATACACTATAGACTGTATATAACAGACTGGTCACAGCACAGACTGAATATATACACTATAGACTGTATATAACAGACTGGTCACAGCACAGACTGAATATATACACTATAGACTGTATATAACAGACTGTATATAACAGACTGTATATAACAGACTGAATATAACAGACTGAATATAACAGACCGGTCACAGACTGGGAAAGTCCCAGCGCGCTCCCGTGGAATCCGACCGATGCGCGCCCCCGACCACATACAGACCACATAGTGAGCAACTGAACCAAAGTGAACTAAAGTGAACCAAACTGAACTAAACTGTTGAAAAGTAGCTCCTGAACAACGAGTGTTTTTACTGCAGACATAAAAGTCCTAACATTGAACTATTTCTGCCTACCGAGATAGAAACACATGATTTCTCCTTCAGCCTCTTTACAAAGACAAGGCACGTTTATTGATATAGCACAGAGCAACTCCAAGTGCTTTACAAAACAAACTATAAACAAGTAAAGGCCTATAATCACAGTACATTCATCTAAAATAACACATCGGGAAATCTTTCAGCCTAAAGGTATAATTCATTTAAATTCAATGTATTCTTGTTTAGCCCTAAATCACAGTATCATCTCAGAGACTTAACAAAACCATTGAAATTGCCAACACAGATCAGAGAATCAACAGTTAAAACACGGGTGGATCATCAACACTATTGGTCATTCCAATTGTCAATCATTCTGGTGATACGAGCTCGTCAAATAAAACCAGAGAGGACGGTTCTTTGCTAAATATATTTGATAAATATTTGATACCACTAAACCTATACATTGCCATATACATTTTTTAAATAAGATTCATACTGGGCTTGGATCATAATTCCTTCTCATTGCAGACAAGTGTAAAGTTAATGTTTTTTTTCCCCTTTGTGTTTTTAGGTTGCTCCATCTGGCCATAATCCACGAGGCCGACGACTACATCAAACAAATAATCGAGCAGTCTAAAAACACAGACTTTCTTGACGCACAAAACGACCAGAGACAGGTACGTGGCCCTGAAGCAGCACGATCTCGGTCTGATCTCGGTCTGATCTCTGTCTGATCTCGGTCTGATCTCTGTCTGATCTCGGTCTGATCTCGGTCTGATCTCGGTCTGATCTCGGTCTGGTCTCGGTCTGGTCTCGGTCTGATCTCGGTCTGATCTCGGTCTGATCTCGGTCTGATCTCGGTCTGATCTCGGTCTGATCTCGGTCTGATCTCGGTCTGATCTCGGTCTGATCTCGGTCTGATCTCGGTCTGATCTCGGTCTGATCTCGGTCTGATCTCGGTCTGATCTCGGTCTGATCTCGGTCTGGTCTCGGTCTGGTCTCGGTCTGGTCTCGGTCTGGTCTCGGTCTGATCTCGGTCTGATCTCGGTCTGATCTCGGTCTGGTCTCGGTCTGGTCTCGGTCTGGTCTCGGTCTGGTCTCGGTCTGGTCTCGGTCTGATCTCGGTCTGATCTCGGTCTGATCTCGGTCTGATCTCGGTCTGATCTCGGTCTGATCTCGGTCTGATCTCGGTCTGATCTCGGTCTGATCTCGGTCTGATCTCGGTCTGATCTCGGTCTGATCTCGGTCTGATCTCGGTCTGGTCTCGGTCTGATCTCGGTCTGATCTCGGTCTGATCTCGGTCTGATCTCGGTCTGATCTCGGTCTGATCTCGGTCTGATCTCGGTCTGATCTCGGTCTGGTCTCGGTCTGGTCGTCTGGTCTCGGGTCTCGGTCTGGTCTCGGTCTGGTCTCGGTCTGGTCTGGTCTGGTCTCGGTTGTCTCGGTCTGATCTCGGTCTGATCTCGGTCTGGTCTCGGTCTGATCTCGGTCTGGTCTCGGTCTGGTCGGTCGGTCTGATCTCGGTCTGGTCTCGGTCTGGTCTCGGTCTGATCTCGGTCTGATCTCGGTCTGGTCTCGGTCTGGTCTCGGTCTGGTCTCGGTCTGGTCTCGGTCTGATCTCGGTCTCTCTCCCCCCTCTGGTCTCGGTCTTTGGAACTCTCTCCCCCTCATCTCTGGTCTGGTCTCGGTCTGGAACTCTCTCTCCCCCTCACCTTTGGAACTCTCTCCCCCCTCACCTTTGGAACTCTCCCCCCCCCGGTCACCTTGGAAACTCAGACTCTGGTAAACTGCTTCAAAAAACAGCTAAAAACTCACCTCTTCCTGGCAGTTCATTTAAAAAAAATTAAAATAAAAAAAAGCTTCTTTGTCCACTCTGTACTTATATTCTCATTTGAAAAAAAAAAAACAAATTAATAAAAAATATGAGAAGCAATACAAAATCACACAAAATTCAAGAAAAAATAAATAAAAATGACAACAAGAAAGTTCGAAAGGGAATGGGAAGAAGTGAATAAGTAGTAACCATAGACATAACATTTGGATAAATTTGAACCTACTTGTAATTAACAAAGTAATTCATGATTATTAAATGACCTTGATCACACAAAGCTTAGAATAACTCAAAGATAAAAACCATTCATTAGATTAAACAACAATAATAATCAATTGCGACTTTCTGTCTTATTAAAAAGAACAACATATAAACACAGACTGTGAATCTGAACCAGAGCTTTCTCTTGTTAAGAAAAAAAATAACTTTGATTTTAGTTAATGCAGCACAAACATAACATTATATCAAACTATTTTGTATGTGTGTTATTAATCAAACAACAAAAAGGCCCAGACAGTCCTTTATCTTCCATGTTATTGATATCTGTGTATGCATGAATGAATGAATGAATACTTTATACCAAGCCATGGAAAACAAGAACAAAGAACAACAAAACAACAGAATAGAAAAAACACAATACATGGTAATAATAAAATATAATAAAAATACAGCATGTTTTGTTTCACTAAAGAAAAGTCAGCTCAAAATATAAATATATTAATATTTCAGAGAATTATCATTAACAAAACTAGGGGTGGGAACCTCAGGGAACCTCACGATACGATACGATACTATACGATACAAAGCTCACAATCACGATTATATCACGATATGACGATTATCGATACATTGGTCAGAAATATACTGTTATAGAAATCATTTAGTAAAGCAATCTTAATAAACACAAAATAGTTATAAGTGTAAGTCTTTAACTAATTCTCAACTCTGGATTCAAATACAGCACATGTTGGCATCAAGATGGAGATGTGTTTCTTTATCTGGGTCATAGAACACTATGTTCAGGTCAAAGCAGATTATTACGAGATGCGTACTGTAGCCAATTATTAAGTATTGATTCTAATTTAAAAATGAATAAAAATAAGGATAATTTATTAATAAAATAAAAAAAATCGATTATCGTTATGCCAAAAGCGTGAGAAAGTATCACGATACATCACCATATCGATGTATATCATCACACTCCTAAACAAAACCCATAGAAACAGACCAGAGAAGACCTGGTCCCACCTCCGCAGTTCCTACAGTGCAGTCGGTGTATCTTTCTGCTTCTGAAACATAATTGGGGTCAGTCAAAATGGCCACAGGCTGCTCTTTCACTGTCATTCATCACAGATCAGGTAAATGGCTCCACCGTCTAATGTTTGCATGTGCAGAGCCATGTTATCCACCGCAGCACAATGAACGGTCTCACGTATCAGCGCTGGAAAGTCCCCAGATAATTATACTGGATTTTCTCTTTCTCTCCGTTCTCTTGCCTTTCTCTCCGTTCTCTTGCCTTTCTCTCTGTTCTCTTGCCTTTCTCTCCGTTCTCTTGCCTTTCTCTCCGTTCTCTTGCCTTTCTCTCTGTTCTCTTGCCTTTCTCTCCATTCTCTTGCCTTTCTCTCTGTTCTTTTGCCTTTCTCTCCGTTCTCTTGCCTTTCTCTCTGTTCTCTTGCCTTTCTCTCCGTTCTCTTGCCTCTCTCTCCGTTCTCTTGCCTTTCTCTCCGTTCTCTTGCCTCTCTCTCAGTTCTCTTGCCTTTCTCTCAGTTCTCTTGCCTCTCTCTCTGTTCTCTTGCCTTTCTCTCCGTTCTTTCCTTTCTCTCCGTTCTCTTGCCTCTCTCTCCGTTCTCTTGCCTTTCTCTCCGTTCTCTTGCCTTTCTCTCCGTTCTCTTGCCTTTCTCTCCGTTCTCTTGCCTCTCTCTCCGTTCTCTTGCCTCTCTCTCCGTTCTCTTGCCTTTCTCTCCGTTCTCTTTCCTTTCTCTCCGTTCTCTTGCCTCTCTCTCCGTTCTCTTGCCTTTCTCTCCGTTCTCTTGCCTCTCTCTCTGTTCTCTTGCCTTTCTCTCCGTTCTCTTTCCTTTCTCTCCGTTCTCTTGCCTCTCTCTCCGTTCTCTTGCCTTTCTCTCCGTTCTCTTGCCTTTCTCTCCGTTCTCTTGCCTTTCTCTCTGTTCTCTTGCCTTTCTCTCCGTTCTCTTGCCTCTCTCTCCGTTCTCTTGCCTTTCTCTCCATTCTCTTGCTTTTCTCTCTGTTCTTTTGCCTTTCTCTCCGTTCTCTTGCCTTTCTCTCTGTTCTCTTGCCTTTCTCTCTGTTCTCTTGCCTTTCTCTCCGTTCTCTTGCCTTTCTCTCTGTTCTCTTGCCTTTCTCTCCATTCTCTTGCCTTTCTCTCTGTTCTTTTGCCTTTCTCTCCGTTCTCTTGCCTTTCTCTCTGTTCTCTTGCCTTTCTCTCCGTTCTCTTGCCTCTCTCTCCGTTCTCTTGCCTTTCTCTCCGTTCTCTTGCCTTTCTCTCAGTTCTCTTGCCTCTCTCTCTGTTCTCTTGCCTTTCTCTCCGTTCTTTCCTTTCTCTCCGTTCTCTTGCCTCTCTCTCCGTTCTCTTGCCTTTCTCTCTGTTCTCTTGCCTTTCTCTCCGTTCTCTTGCCTTTCTCTCCGTTCTCTTGCCTCTCTCTCCGTTCTCTTGCCTCTCTCTCCGTTCTCTTGCCTCTCTCTCCGTTCTCTTGCCTTTCTCTCCGTTCTCTTGCCTTTCTCTCCGTTCTCTTGCCTCTCTCTCTGTTCTCTTGCCTTTCTCTCCGTTCTCTTTCCTTTCTCTCCGTTCTCTTGCCTCTCTCTCCGTTCTCTTGCCTTTCTCTCCGTTCTCTTGCCTGTCTCTCCGTTCTCTTGCCTTTCTCTCCGTTCTCTTGCCTTTCTCTCCGTTCTCTTGCCTTTCTCTCTGTTCTCTTGCCTTTCTCTCCATTCTCTTGCCTTTCTCTCTGTTCTTTTGCCTTTCTCTCCGTTCTCTTGCCTTTCTCTCTGTTCTCTTGCCTTTCTCTCCGTTCTCTTGCCTCTCTCTCCGTTCTCTTGCCTTTCTCTCCGTTCTCTTGCCTTTCTCTCAGTTCTCTTGCCTCTCTCTCTGTTCTCTTGCCTTTCTCTCCGTTCTTTCCTTTCTCTCCGTTCTCTTGCCTCTCTCTCCGTTCTCTTGCCTTTCTCTCTGTTCTCTTGCCTTTCTCTCCGTTCTCTTGCCTCTCTCTCCGTTCTCTTGCCTTTCTCTCCGTTCTCTTGCCTCTCTCTCTGTTCTCTTGCCTTTCTCTCCGTTCTCTTTCCTTTCTCTCCGTTCTCTTGCCTTTCTCTCCGTTCTCTTGCCTTTCTCTCCGTTCTCTTGCCTTTCTCTCTGTTCTCTTGCCTTTCTCTCTGTTCTCTTGCCTTTCTCTCCGTTCTCTTGCCTCTCTCTCCGTTCTCTTGCCTTTCTCTCCATTCTCTTGCCTTTCTCTCTGTTCTCTTGCCTCTCTCTCCGTTCTCTTGCCTTTCTCTCCGTTCTCTTGCCTTTCTCTCCGTTCTCTTGCCTTTCTCTCCGTTCTCTTGCCTTTCTCTCCGTTCTCTTGCCTTTCTCTCCGTTCTCTTGCCTCTCTCTCAGTTCTCTTGCCTTTCTCTCAGTTCTCTTGCCTCTCTCTCTGTTCTCTTGCCTTTCTCTCCGTTCTTTCCTTTCTCTCCGTTCTCTTGCCTCTCTCTCCGTTCTCTTGCCTTTCTCTCTGTTCTCTTGCCTTTCTCTCCGTTCTCTTGCCTTTCTCTCCGTTCTCTTGCCTTTCTCTCCGTTCTCTTGCCTCTCTCTCCGTTCTCTTGCCTCTCTCTCCGTTCTCTTGCCTTTCTCTCCGTTCTCTTTCCTTTCTCTCCGTTCTCTTGCCTCTCTCTCCGTTCTTTCCTTTCTCTCCGTTCTCTTGCCTCTCTCTCTGTTCTCTTGCCTTTCTCTCCGTTCTCTTTCCTTTCTCTCCATTCTCTTGCCTTTCTCTCCGTTCTCTTGCCTTTCTCTCCGTTCTCTTGCCTTTCTCTCCGTTCTCTTGCCTCTCTCTCCGTTCTCTTGCCTCTCTCTCCGTTCTCTTGCCTTTCTCTCCGTTCTCTTTCCTTTCTCTCCGTTCTCTTGCCTCTCTCTCCGTTCTCTTGCCTTTCTCTCCGTTCTCTTGCCTCTCTCTCTGTTCTCTTGCCTTTCTCTCCGTTCTTTCCTTTCTCTCCGTTCTCTTGCCTCTCTCTCCGTTCTCTTGCCTTTCTCTCCGTTCTCTTGCCTTTCTCTCCGTTCTCTTGCCTTTCTCTCCGTTCTCTTGCCTTTCTCTCCGTTCTCTTGCCTCTCTCTCTGTTCTCTTGCCTTTCTCTCCGTTCTCTTTCCTTTCTCTCCGTTCTCTTGCCTCTCTCTCCGTTCTCTTGCCTCT